GAAATTTTAAGTCCCAGAATTTATTTTTATTTTTAAAAAGCCATGCCTGTTTTCTGATATGGACTCCCACACATCATAGTCTGCCTGGATCAATTTGAACATGTTTTACCAGAATGAGCAGTGGGCATGAATACATTCACTTGATCCTTCAGACTGTGAGCTGTGGAGCCACTTCTGTCTGGAGTAATCCAACAAGACATTTACAATTGTATTCAGGCACCAAGTGCTCATGGGATTCAGGCTTCCCTTTTGAGAAACAGCCTCCTGAAGGTATCGCTGTCACACTTGTGAAAAATAAGGTTTCAGTCTACAGATTAACTAATGTTGTGGCTCAGCCTGTCCATATGGCTTTTAGCTTAGTTGGGGGAAATGGATGCTGCTTTTTCATTTCAAACCACATATGATGGAGGATCCAGACTTCAAGCCAGGTTTTCATTCACCTGGGACATTTTACAGCAGTTTTATTGGGTCACCTTTCAGAACTTCCTTTGAACCCATCATCCCCAAGAGCGAGTGGCTGATGACTAACTGGTGAGTAAGCCTTATAACCCTAACCCCAGACCCATTCTAGTCTGTGTCATTCACAGACCAGACAGGAGAAAATGATACTTCAGCAAAATAGTGAGACTAAAATAAATAGGAGGAATTGTGACCCCCTTTGACCGCACACCCCAGTATCTCCTTCCACAGGATTTCCCCTCAGTTGCCTGAGTATCTTCTGCTCCTCTCTGTGGTTCTCTCTTGCTTCCCCAAAGTCCTGGAACTCCCCTCAGAACACCCACCTCTCTGACTCATTGCGAATCCCTCCTCAAGGTTCTCAAAGTTGTCTCACTTTTCCTTAGGATGTCCCTATTTTCATCAGAGAAGTGTTAGAGGGTATGCCATATATCATCTGGGACAGGTAGCCATCGAAATCCACCTCCCCCAACTCCTGTATACTACATACTGGGTTCCAGAAAGTCTCTGAAATCCATTAAGGGACAGGGACCTGTAGCAAGTTTTGGTACTCTCAATAAAATGCAGCCAGCAAATTCTGCCCAAAAAAATACGCAAATATAAACAATACATCCAAATGTGAAAACCCAGTATAAAAGACACACATTCCTGGAAAAGCTATGATTAATAAATCACAATTCCTTATATGGGGGAGAGAGAGAGTCTGGGCACGACAGTTTCAGAAGGCTGGGTTTCCCCTGGGGAGAATCTATATAATCAAGCTTCCTTGCTGCTTTTGGTAGAGTTCACACGAGCCATTTACAGGAAACCCCCTGCATGCAGAAATGGAAAAACACAATGGAAAAGTTCTGTCAGGGGCTGGTTTCCCCTGATGACAATGATGAGATCATAGACTTGCTTGCACAGTTTCTCCTTTGGTATTGTTACCCATGGAAAAGTGAAATCTCCCTGGAGTTCAGAACCCATGAGAGGGAGTTGAAAGAGGGAAGAGTTAGACATGCGAATACTGAAGGAAAATAGGCCTGGTATTCATTACATCCTCAGCAAGAGTGCAGAGCAATATAAGAGCTTCCAGAGTGTACAGTCCTCTGACATGAGCCTCAGACGCGTTTTCCTTAAAAAGTCAACTCTCCAATAGAGCAGCCTTCCCTTGATTCATGGTTTGCTGTCATTGGGCCAGAATTTGATAAAACAATAACTTTCAGGGAGCTTTAGGTCTCCTGAGTCAGAACTTTGAAGTCCAGACAAGTTCTTTAACTGTTCCCCTGCTGTAGTAGATTCCAGCCAAAAAACATGGCTCAGGCTGGTGCAAATTCTTTCAGGTTTCAGAAACTACATCTGCTCTGACAGTGGCTAATACGAACCAGGGATGGGGCAAAATCGTTCCGGCTGTTGTGTCTGGATATTTGAAAGAAGGAATCTGTTGGTCAAGAGCCCAGGCTTGTCATGTATAGGCTTTGCCTAAAGTGGACCAGGAAGTATAATGTTAGTAACTATTAAAGAATGCTCAAAAGGCAGCAGAGCAGTGATTTGAGATGAATTAATCTGCAATGCAAAGAGTGTGATATTGTAAAACATTTGAAAAATGCAAGGAACAAAGGGCACAACTGAGGGATTCTTATCATAATAGGGTGGTTGTTTTTAGCGTCCACCGAATTGATATTAGAGAGCTACAAAAGAGCAACAGCAGTCCTTTAAAAAGATGTGCATTTTATGCTTTGAGCACAGAAATAGGGATTGGAGTAGACTTGTGGAGCAGCCACTGATCATAGAAACCAAAGGTGCAGGTTTCCGTTGCCATCTAGTGGTTAATGCAGAAGAGGCCTCTGTCTCCATCTAGTGTTACACCCAATCCACGGATTGCAGATGTGACTAGGCTTAAGCTTAGGCCTTTGTGTGCACCCTCGTTCATTTTCTTGCCTGCTGACTGGTGATTTTCAGGGTCATGCCTGGGTTAAGGGCCACCTCAAGTTACGAGTTGAAATCTCTATGGTAGTTTTTGAATGGTGCCACGGACTCCCTGGGTAGGTTGTACCCAGTGGCGTAGCGTGGGGGGTGCAGGGGGGCCGGCCGCACCGGGCGCAACATCTGGGGGGGCGCTCGCACTCGCAGCTCTCTGCCCCTACCTGGCTCACTCACTCTCTCTCACTGCAGTGCTGGCTGTGCGAATCCGATCCGAGCCACTGGGTCGCCGCCCACTGTGGAGGGGGGGGTGCCAGGCGTGCGGTGCGGAGAGAGAGCGAGGGACTATCTGGGGGAGGGACAGTGCAGCGGCCGCCCAGCGCAGCGCTGAGCGCAGGAGAGAACCACACCAGACCAGCCCAGGCAGCAGCAAGAAGAAGCTGGCAGCGGCAGGTTAGGGTTAGGGGCGCAAATTACTTGCCTTGCCCCGGGTTAGGGGGCGCAAATTACTTGCCTTGCCCCGGGTTAGGGGGCGCAAATTACTTGCCTTGCCCTGGGTGCTGACAACCCACGCTATGCCGCTGGTTGTACCCAATGTTGATGTACAGGACTCAACTCAATTCCACCCAAATTTGCGAGAACTGCTATGAGGCAGGCAAAACCCGCCCACCGACAGGCCCAATTTGCAGGCAAATTTCTTCCCAGCGGGCCCTGAATATGGCAACCAGTTATACCCACATCTTAATAATGCAATACCCACAGCCCATGGTACCTAGTGGGTCGGCAGGTTGATCTGCCACCAACTGTGCCACTTGGTCAGAGTGTAGCCAACCTTTTAAACTGCCACAGCAAACCAGAGTGAAGCCTTGCTCCCTCTGCTCCACTGTCAAAGCTCTGCCCACCTTGAAGACCACGACTGGCCAATTTACGTGAACTGTGGTTTTGGTGAGCCATCCCAATGTTACCCACAGCTGGCCAGGGCCAAAGCCAATGGTCAGCTGCAAAGAAGGGAGGCATCGCTCACTCCCCGTCCCCAGAAGCCAAGCTGGGCCGCAACCATCACCCACTCTGAAAGGGTAAGCAACCATTTACATTTCAGTTACTTGAGCTATCAGTGAGAATTCACATTTCTCCTTAAATGTGGAAATTTTGAAATATGGTCAGTAGTACTATGCTATATAATTTAAGGAATGAATGCTACTTGAGAGTAAACTATTCATAACATTTTACATTTACGTTTTAACTTTTGGAAACATTTCAAAATGTAATAAATATAAGCTTTGTGTTGTGCTTACATTTCTATAACATGTTTATTTTGCAGTTTATAGAAATTAATATCAAAACTATAACATATTTAAATTTTACATTATCCTCTCTCATTTTTATCATCTCAAGAACCTTATAGGCAGGCTAGGCTGAGAAATAATGATTGGCCCAAGGTCATCCAGTGACCTCCCTGGCTGAATGGGGATTTCAACTGGGGTCTCCTAGGTCCTTATCTTGTCTAAATGCATGGACTGCAGTGTTTGGAAATCTAGTTGCACTGAGCCAGCTATACGTATTACGAACATTTGTATCTGGCAGCATCACTTCTATCCATCATGCTTGTAGAAAAGTGGTTTGGAAATAAAACAAATGTATTCAGCTAAGAATGAGGAGAATCATCTGAGGTCTTATTAATATTGTTACAAAAGTCAGGTGCCCGAATCTCTGCCAAGTGGTGGCAAGAGCCCATGGGGTCCCAGGCCTCATAGATACAAGATCTGTGCTCCTTTGGAGAACTGAAGACGTGGCGGAGACTGTCGTGGCTTTAAGAAATATAGTTTATTCACTTATTTACACCCTCAGTCTGAATGGAGGGAGTCTAGATCTCACTGCATGGTTATTTCAAGAGGCAACAAAACAAGCTGCTTGCAGCCAGCCTACCCAAGATGGATCTCAGCTCTTCCTTCTGTTTCTCCTTCCCAGCAATGCTTGCCCCAAAACTCCCCTTTCCTATCCCCTCAAACTCACATCCCATCACCTTAGTAACATCTCACTCCCCAGTCTAAATGATTCCTCTCCCCATGGCCCATCAAGACCCTTTGTCATGGTAACAGGTTTGCTCTTCACTAAGCCAGCCAGGCTGGTTTGCATAAGTCAGCCCAGGAATTCCCTGTCTGGCACAGCTCTGCATCTTGTACTTTAATCCATTTGTTGTTGTTTAGTCGTTTAGTTGTGTCCGACTCTTCGTGACCCCCTGGACCAGAGCACGCCAGGCACTCCTGTCTTCCGCTGCCTCCTGCAGTTTGGTCAAACTCATGTTGGTAGCTTCAAGAACTTTAATCCATACCCCAATCAAAATCTTGGGATTTATTAATTTCTAGGGTTTGAGGCTCCCCCCCCAAAAAAAACCTATATCAATATAGTGTGAAAAGTAGCCCTTAAAAGTTTGAAACTCACATTCTATGGGAGGTGGGGAATTGGCTAAGTAACAGGACCTAAAGAATGTAGTCTGCGTAGATGAGTGCCCTTGTCAGTCTAACCTATAGTATGCAGGTGTTATAAGAAAAAACTGCTCCTTTTCCCTTATGGGTTTTCCAAGGGCCCATATAGACTACTCTATTAGTAGGAGAAAATAACAGAGGCCAACCAGAGAAAACTGAGAAACAAAACAGCTAGTAAGCCTGATCTTTATTAAACTGCTGCAACAGGATCCTCACTCACCACACGCAGGCGGGAGGAGGAACCCAGAACAATGGTGTGCAAGCCCTTATATAGATTTCTGAAATTGCCCACCCTGTAGTCCAAGACCACCCCCCAAAACATCATACATACATCACAGAAGGAGGCGGTCTACAGCAGAAATCCTGTTTTGATTGCTTTACCTGCAATCTGCTTTACCTGCAATTCTTTACCTTTACCTGCAATTCTTATAACAGCAGCTTTACTCAGTAAATGCTGCTAAGTTCTGTGAGACTTCCTGGAGTTTGCAAAGCGCTCAGCAAGCTGCAGGGCTGAGAGGGATGGCGTTCTAAACTAGAAGGGATCAGAGCTCAGCTGCTCAACTCTCCAGCCCCTCACAAATAAACCCCAGAATGCTGCCAACACTTCTCTTGCGCTCTTGGCTCTTTTCACACTCCAAGTTCAGCACAGTTCAGCTATAATCAGCCGCAAGATGGCCCTAGGATGAGATTCACTAAATTAACCCATGTGTCTCTTTTCCTTTAAATGCTGTGCTGCCAGATGCTTCTTATACTAATATGGTACAAACATAATGTGGCTGTGTAAATATGGCATGGGCAGACAAAACTTTTTGTCACAGCATCACAATTAGCTAAAAGCATTATTCTCTTGTCAGCAAAAAAGAAAATAAAAGAAAGCAGATCTGGGTCTCTGCTTGCCAGGTTGGGGGGGGGGGGACCAAACTCTATCAATATATCGCCCAGCTCTATTTGCAGAAGGCAAACATGAGAAGGAATCGCCAGAGAGAGGTTGCTCCTTTGACAAGTGAAGGAGCTCAGGACCAGCAAAGTGTCAGGGGATAAGTCTGAGCCACAGGTGACTTACAACCATGTAAAAATTGCAAAAATAAAACCGTTTGAACCTATTTAAAACAGGCTAAACAATACAATATCATGGGCGCTATCCCCAAATGCTGAGGAAACAAAAAATGCCTTTGTCTGCCATCAAACAGATGACAAGGTTGGCTCACCACACAACAGAGTGTGAAGTCTTGTTGCCACTCTCAAGGGTGATGATCTTAGGCTCCAGGCAGGTTCATATGGGGGCAAGATATTTCAAAACTAGCAGCAAGGAGGGAGAACACATTTGCAGGGACTATTTATTTGACTGAGTAAAGACCTATTACTTCCCCACCAATTCTCTCCCTAACCTCACATTCCATAGAATCATAGAATTGTGGTGTTTGCCTTATATAAAAAAAAAATCCTAGTTGAGAATTAAGGTGGGAATTCAGTTACCAGCACCTTCAAATGTAAAGTGCCTCTTTCTCTCTCTGCTACATACTTCCTGAAAACAGAGAGCAGGTTTAAAGAACACACGGCAAAGGTGAGTGAATGGAGGTGAAAGAACTCACAGCTAACAGCAACCTCCACATTCTGGCATTCTAAAGTCTATGTTGCCACCCTGTGGAATTCAGAGGGAAAAAGATGCCGAGGAGAACCTTGTCGACAACGCCAGAGAACTACAGCAGGAACAGGACTACCAGTCAGTGGCCCTGACTAGGCCCTGCCCTCCTTGACTAGCCATCTCCTCTTGGCAGTGGGGGATAATGGGCATCCAAGAAGCTTACTAGACTACAATATGGTGGCATCATCTTGAACCGTTCCCAATGCAAACGCCCAGCTCCTTCTTGATGCTACTTGCCTGCTGTTGCTACAACAATAATCTAAGGAAACAGCAAGGTTGAGCCTCAAGACGGGCATATTTTGAATAAATCTGTCCAAAATCTGCTACCCCTAAATTTTGCCCCAATTCTCTGGCTATAGTGGCAAATAACTTTTTCTGATTTCCTAAGCACTGTTTCCAATAGTGGAGGCGCGGCAGCCTGGGAGAGTACATTTGAGTGAAGAACACAGGAGGCTGCCTGATGCTGAGACATGCCATTGGTCCATCTATCTCAGTATTGTCTACACGGACTGGCAGCAGCTGTGCAGGATTTCAGACCAGGACCCTCCCAGCTCTAACTGGAAAGGCCAGGGATTGAATCTGCAACCCTCACACCAAAGTGATCACACCCCACGTACAGCACATTGCAGTAGTCCAAGCAGGAGATAACCAGAGCATGGACCACTCTGGCGAGACTGTCTGCGGGCAGGAAGGGTCTCAGCCGGCATAACAGGTGGAGCTAGTAGAATTAACCTTCACCTCCATGGACAACTGTGAGTCCAAAATGACCTCAAGGTTAGGGTTGCCACAAAAGTTGTTGAGTTTTTAGTTTTGCCCAAAGTTGTTGAGCAAAAGAAAATTGTCATTTTTGAGCTTTTTTAAAAGGAAAATCGACAAAACCAACACTGCCAAGATGGGTTGTCATACATCCGGATTTGCCCATTTCTGCCCAGACACTGCTTCTGACTGCAGTATTCTGGATATGTCCAGGAAATTCCTGATGTATGGCAACCCTACCCAAGACTTCAGGGGCACAGTTACCCTGTTCAGGACCAGGGATTCCCCCACACCTGCCTGCCCCCTGTCACCCAAAACAGTACTTCTGTCTTGTCAGGATTCAACCTCAATCTGCTAGCTGCCATTATCAGATCCCACAGCCCAGAACCTACCAGTGTTATTGTTAGAAATGATTCAGAAAAGAACTGGAGCATAAATGTTGATATTAGATGCACAACAACAGCTACTCATGGGAAGACTTGCATTCAGATTCAAAAGGTCCCCTTCTGTGGACAGAGTAAGTCTTCCTGGCAGAATAAGTTCCTTCGGTCAGCAAAGGGAAACCTTTGGTTCCAGCCCTAATCACTGCAACCTAGGGATGGGGAATTTGTGCTTCTCCCAGATGCCGTTGTGAGTTGGAGTTCAACAACTTCAGTCGGCCGGCTGATAGCCAGGGATGATGGGAGCTGGAGTCCAGCAACATTTGGAGAGAAACAAGTTCACCACCTCTGTGGTAACCTGTTGAACACATGTTTGATATTAGAACACTTGCTGTAATAAAAATGTTACTGAGACAGGCCACAAGACTTTTTGTATTAGGTAGAATATATATATCCTACTATATAGACCCAAGAGGATCTCAGTGGCTTACAAAATATCCTTAAATATAGTACAGGAACAGAAATTAAATGGCACTCCACAATGAATCAGGATTACCTGGGCAGCATCCTTGGTATCATCTTATCAGGTAGCAACTCCCAACAAAATATTTTGAGGCAAAGGAGCCATGAATAGTGTGTGGGGGGGGGGGGAGAAAGTGTGTAATTTCTCACCCAAATACTGAAACTGAACAACATGCAGTGCAGCTCTACTTCTGCATGATGCTTAGGCTGCAGTCCCAAACATACTTTCTAGAGAGTAACCAATAGATCACAATGGGACTTTGTTCTCAAGTAAGTATGCATAGAACTACATTGTAAATTTCACAAAGTAATCTGCAAGGACCAGATAGTTTTTTTGTCTCCAGCAACGCGGCTTCGCTCCGTGAAAGCAGCAATCGACTCACAGCACCGCGCCTCTCCCCCGTTCCGCTCCGAAGCCTCGGAAAGGGCTTCCTCGCGAGTTGGGGGGGCGCTAAAGGGTGCCCGCCGAGTCCCCACGTTCGCAGGCTTCACTGCCAGCGATTTCTAAGGGTCCCCGCTCCGCCACAGCGCTCAGGACCCGATTTTCACGGAGTCGACCCCCTCTGAGATCAAAGGGAATCCGCCATTAGCTAATGGCGCTGACCGGAAGCTTTTTTGTATTCTACAATTTCTAAATTGCCTTAGAAAAATGGTTGGAACCTCAATATGTCTAGCATTCATTAATCTGCTTTACAAAGACAAAACATACTTCAAAATTGGGAAGAATCACATAGGGACTTTTTATTTATTAAATTAAGGTATGAAAGTATAGAATCAATACAGTTTTCCTCCCTAGGAAGTGACAAAGCACACATTTTATATAACTGTTTTAACATCACTGGTACAAACACTTAAAATACCTCTTGCCATTTTGTTAGGTATGTTGCAACCACAAAAACCAAATACCATCTGGTGAGAGCACCAGCTTTTTGCTTTAAAAAAGTAGTAGTGACAATGAACCATCACCACATCCGTAGTTTAAAACCATTGCTCATTACCAGACTAAAACAGCAAGATACTATTTGGGCTATATTAAAACATTTTGTATCATTAGCTTTTGTAACACAATATAGATTTCAATAAACACATTTGTTCCAACAGGTTGGTGAAAAATAGATGCAAGTGCAAAAACAAAAGTGCCCCTCAATTACTAAACGTTCCATTTCGAGCAAAACCGCAGGACACCGTAATGTCCAAGTTCAGTGTGTGATAAAAATACCAGCTGGAACAAAGGAGGCAACTGGAATCAATAGCTACTGCATAAGGATCTAGGACAAAAGGAAGGCTTGCAGATGTTTTCAATACAACATCTTTAAAAAGTTGCTTACACAATAATCTTTCACAGTGGAACAATGGATTTGTGCTATGATGAGGAAAGCTCAGTAACTACCATTGTAGATTTTTGAATCTTGAGGCAAAACCAGCTCAGAATAGCAGGATTTGATTTCTTCACGTCTAAAAATGCTAATTAAGACTCTTTTGCTGCTAGGAAGTAATTTGCAGTATGGTTTTTGATGGTTCTCACAACATTCTACCATTGTTGATGAATACGTCACCCACATCTACCAGACAGAGAATCTCTAATTGCATAGATGGATATGAGGAGTTTTCCTGGCACGATACATGGTGTATTCTCAAGAGAGAAGGAACTTGATGAAATGGCAGTTTTAAAAGGAGTTAACTTTCCACCCTGTTAAAATCCCACTTAAACAGGAACACAGGAAAATAGTCAGTTATGGGAAATAACTGTACCAATTGTACCAAGCTGTCAAAGAGAAAAACATTACATCGGAAGCAGTACAGGAGGTTTCTGTCACTGCACTTTTAATATTCACTGCAGCTGTAAGACTACCGCCGGTATCTAATCTAGCACCAAAGCTTATAGCAGACTCCAATCACAGACTTTCTCCTGAGTCAAGGTGAGTCTGTATTGCATCACCCTATACAACAGGTACATCATTCTAGATTTATCCTGCACTTCTGAGATTCCTGAAGGAAGAAGTCACATTACTCTGGCCAATCCCTTCAAAATCAAAAGTCCATCCAAAGGTGATCAGTGTTATGACAGAGAAGAACTGAACTGGACCGCAATCAGATTGACTTCCTCTTTCACTGTACATCTTTCACTCTTTGGATAGGTTGCACTGGCAATTCGAAAGAATTCATCAGCAGCATCAAGGGCAATGAGACGATCCTGCATGAGAGAAAAAGCGTCTGAACTCCATGCAAACTCAACCCTTTATCTCCAGGTAGAATTTCTATCATAGTGATGTTTTTGGCCCTGCTGGGCAACTTTAAGACTCTCTTGGGAAGTTTTCCAAACATCACTCAAGGTTGTTCATAGCTTCTGCATATAATCTTAAACAGACAAAGGGCTTGTTTACAACACTCCCTCCCACTGTTGTTTTAACAAGCTTAATGGATTGCGCAGAGACTTCCCATATACTAGTTTGAGGAGCACTGAATCAGGATACGTGCACATCAAAAACATAAGGTGTTGGTCCCATTCTTTTCCATGAGCTATTTCAGCAACATGCACCCTATAGATTTATTCAGCCTTTCAACTAAGCCATTGATCCAATTACAATAAGCCGGGCTTGTCCTATGTTCAATTTTAGTAATTTCAAAAATATGCTGCATTAACCGGGACATGAAAGCTCCACCTAAGTCACTGGCGACAGTTTGTGGTAAGCCCCAGCGAGAAAAAACACTTAATAAAGCTCTTGCCACAAAAGGGGCACTAATTTGTGATAATGGAATCATTTCACAAAAACAAGTACAATAATCAATAACAGTTAAGTTATACTTCTTGCCAATTTTGTGGCTTGTGGCATTGGGCCAATAATATCTATTCCAGTTTTAGTGAATGGTTCCCCAATAATCTCACTGGGCTGTAACGGGAAACGCTTATGATCTCCGTCATGTCCCACTCATTAGTATACATCACAAGACCTGATATATAACATCTTGAAGCACATCAGGCCATAAAATTCTCTAGCAACCTTTCCCAATGTGTGCTTAAGCCCCAAGTGTCCTGAAAAGGCAGCTTCGTGAGCCAGATGTAAAACAGTCTATCTGTATGTCTGGGGTACTAGCAACTGTCTTCTCGGCTCACACTCTAGGGCAGATTTCTTTGGAAGGAAGTGTCTATAAAGCAACCAGATGAAACTAACTCTTGATTCAGTGCCAGAGACAACTGTCAATATGCCATCTGTGGCTCTTGGCACAAAAGTTGCTATATTTCTATATTAATGCAAGCTTGCAGTGATGTAGAATCTTGTGCTGAATAGGTCATTCCTAGTCCAATCCTGAACAGGACTGTATGCAGCTAGACAGGCACTACTAGGTCATAATCCAATATACTTTCCAAATCACACTGAGCAGTTCCATGAAAGCGTATGAAAAAGTAATCACAGGAGAGAGAGAAGTCAAGACTTACCACCACAAAGAGGTATCTCTCTGAAAGCTCCCAGCTTGTTGGGAAAATAGCTGTCTCCTCAGACAGCCTCAAGAGGATCTCCCGGGCTTTGCTCATGTTCTGAGAGTCACTGACAATGCTTCGTTTGGTCACTGATAACAGGGTATCTGCTTCCTTCAGAAAACCTAGGACAGGATTTTAAGTCCCATGTTAGCAAATGTAGGTTACTGCAAATATCTTTGCAAAGGATCAAAAGGTAGCCTTCATCTTGCAGACACATGGGAAACCCAGTGGTAAAATGAAATGGGGCACAGTATTAAGTAATGGGGGTTTGTTTTTGTTTTTAATATCTCACTATCACACAAAATTGAGTGCATATATCTTTTTCTTTTTGCGTCTTTATTAGGTTTCCCTCCCTCACATATACATACTGTTTGTATGTTAACTGTAAGAAAATAACCTGAGCTTACCCAAATCTTCCAAAATGCATTTCCACCTGTTTCTCACTTCCCTTCGCATTTGCCGTAGGGTATAGATGTCATAGTTCAGCTTTTGCCATTCCTGCAAAGGAAGAAGATCAGCCAACTTTACTCCCGAATGCCTTAATTCAGCTCTCTCTGATCTCCAGGGGTCTTCACATTCACAGGTACATTTGCCTTTTAAACACACTTTTATTCAGGAGCACTACATGTCCAAAAGCCAGTTTTTTTCCATACTGCACTCTAATTATGCTCACTGGGTGGGGTGGGGTCAGGGAGTTTGAACTCATCAACCAAATATTTTGCTTCAGGACAATTGCTTATAGGTGGATAATTTTGATGGGGAGGATTGCTTCCTTCTCACATAGCTATTCACAAACTTGAACTACCGACCTGAATGCAGAGGGGACTGGTTTAAATCAAAAAAGAATCACAGAGAGGACCAGCTTAAACATTACATCAAATTGACAATCTGAAAATCCAACTTTTTTCAACAAACATGCCTACTAAACTGGTTGCTATAACTTTTGAAATTAGTGATAATGTAGTTACCTGGTTCAGAATGCGAATAACAAACTTAGTTGGTCTCTAAGGTGCTACTGGAAGGAATTTTTTTATTTTGCAGTGTGTGTTGTGTTGTGGGGGGGGGGAGTGCCCTCCCAGCAGTGGCAGTGCTGCTGCTCAGCGGAATGGAGGTGGAACAGAGAGTGGCAGCAGCAAAGTCACAGAGCTCTTGATTTGTGGTGGCTGCAAAAGGGGGTGGGGACAGATGGCTAAACTGGGGGGGGGGGCAGATAAATACCAGTTCAAGCCAATTGCTGATGGGCAAAATAGAGGCTTGTGGGGTGTTTTTCTTTTCTTTTTGCAGAGACATGGTATATATTTTTAAACAGAATTAACACTGGCTTCCTGTGCCAGAGCAGGCCTGCACAAGACCTCCGTGCTCTTGTTGTTGTTGTTGAATATTGTTACAGTAGTTATAGCCTTCAGATGTGTTTTTGTTGTGCCTTCAGTGTGCAGCAGCATTTTGGTCACTGGAAATGAAATGGCTAGATTGTATTCAGCTGAGCAGCATATACAGGTAAGGGGTATGAAAATAAAAGCCCCTCCTACCCAGAGGGGTACATGACAAACTACCTTCCCCAAAAAATAAAGTGCACCAAAGACTCAGCTATACAGCTGCAAATAAAATATTTACGTGTGTTTTAAGCGTAATATACAATGTGACACTAGATGGCAATAGTGGGCCTTATGGAAAATTCAACGTATTTTTAAAAACACTTTTCAAAAAGCATTTTCAGAACGGTTTTTATATGTGTGCAGATTCCATCAAAGAAGCTTCCCTGTCAGCAGTGACTACATTTTTGTACTCGGCCATTTTTCCTCAGTGGATTATCCATGGATTGGGAAAATCTGGATTAAATGTGTAGGAATTTGGGGCTGCCATTTTGTTAAGGATGATGTGTACACGTTGAAAAACCTTGCTCACATAACAAAGAGCAAATGCATAGTAAACGGACATGTGGAGAAGCCCTTTATTTGTCTGGACATGTTCCAACTATTGATTTGCGGAATAATGGTTACCAGGAAATTGGGCATTTTTCTCTGCTTGCGACAATGTGTTTGACATATGTATGTAAGGAGCTTGAATGTTTTATGTGTCCTCTATCAGTTTATGAATGATCTATTCATTCAAAGCAGTAAACTTGTGAATTGGAGTGTTGTCTTTGTAGACCCTGTAGGTGGTGCTGTGGTGCTGTTTAGGAGCCTGTACTGTCACCGTGTAAAAAGGTAAAGGACCCCAGATGGTTAAGTCCAGTCAAAGGCAACTATGGGGTTGCGGCGCTCATCTCGCTTTCAGGCCAAGGGAACCAGTGTTTGTCCACAGACAGCTTTTCCGGATCATGTGGCCAGCAGGACTAAACCACTTCTGGTGCAACAGGACACCATGACGGAAACCAGAACACACAGAAACACCGTTTACCTTCTCACCACAGTGGTACCTATTTATCTACTTGCACTGGTGTGCTTCCGACCTGCTATGTTGGCAGAAGCTGGGACAGATCAACGGGAGCTCACCCCATCGCAAGGATTCGAACCGCTGACCTTCTGATCAGCAAGCTCAAGAGGCTCAGTGGTTTAGACCACAGCGCCACCCACAGCCCTTGTCACTGTGTAAGATCAGGAAGATACATACAGTATATCATATTGATACAGAAACAAAGCTTCATATTACAGTCTCAAGTAGAGACACACTTTGGAAATAACTAACATAGAAACTACTATAAGACAGATAGAACATAAACAACGAAATGATATATTTGGATATAGCCATTTTAGATCTGGTCCTAACCAATGTTGATGACCTGGTTAGTGGGGTAGAAGTGGAAGGATCATTAGGCGCGAGTGATCATGCTCTTCTGAAGTTTACTATACAGTGGAAAGGAGCAGCCAAGCATACTAGGACTCAATTTCTTGACTTTAAGAAAGCCAACTTCATAAAACTCAGGGAAGTGCTGGGTGAGATCTCATGGACAGTAATACTAAAAGGAAAGGGAGTTCATGATGGCTGGGAGTTTATTAAGAGGGAGATAGTAAAAGCACAACTTCAGGCAATACCAATGAGACGGAAGCATGGAAGGTGCCTAAAGAAGCCAGGGTGGCTATCTAAAGAACTTTTAACTGAGTTAAGATTTAAAAAGGATGTGTACAAAAAATGGAAAAGGGGGGAAACCACCAAAGAGGAATTCAAACAAATAGCCAGCACGTGTAGACACAAAGTCAGAAAAGCTAAAGCACAGAATGAACTCAGGCTTGCTAGAGAGGTTAAAAGCAACAAAAAAGGCTTTTATGGGTATGTTCGTAGCAAAAGGAAGAACAAAGAAACAGTGGGGTCACTCAGAGGAGAAGATGGTGAAATGCAAACAGGGGACACAGAAAGGGCTGAACTCCTCAATGCCTTCTTTGCCTCAGTCTTCTCCGATAAAGAAAACAATGCCCGACCTGAAGAATTTGGAGCAAATGATTCAGCAGAGGAAACACAGCCCAGAATAACTAAGGAGATAGTACAAGAATACTTGGCTAGTTTAGATGTATTCAGGTCTCAGGGGCCAGATGAACTGCATCCAAGAGTATTAAAAGAACTGGCAGATGTGATCTCAGAACCACTGGCAGTCATCTTTGAGAATTCCTGGAGAACAGGCGAAGTCCCGGCAGACTGGAGGAGGGCAAATGTTGTCCCTATTTTCAAAAAGGGGAAAGAGAGGACCCAAATAATTACCGCCCAGTCAGTCTGACATCAATACCAGGGAAGATTCTGGAGCAGATCATTAAGCAAACAGTCTGTGAGCACCTAGAAAGGAATGCTGTGATCACCAATAGTCAGCATGGATTTCTATGTCAGGAGTGCTCTGATGGTGTTTCCTGCTTGGCAGGGGGTTGGACTCGATGGCCCTTGTGGTCTCTTCCAACTCTATGATTCTATGAGTATCTTCTAACAATAAGTGGGGGCAGGGGGGAGGGCCAAGAAGCCGCGCCAGTGCTCCAGGTGAGCCAAGTGCCCTGGAGTATTCTCCAAAATCCTCCATAATGCGCAGGAGTTTCCAGGGGTTCCTTCACAGACAGGTTAATCTGGAAAGCATTCCATAACAGTCGCAAACCACTGTCCTGCACAATATTCCATCTTTGCTCCTTGGCAATGCTGTTTCTGCCAAGGGTTGCCAGCAAATCTGCTGTTTGTTATTATACCCTGTGCTGATTCATACCATCCTATTTCCAGTTTACACAGTAACTGTGGGGCAACTGAAGGGAATGGAAAAGGACAGCCTTGGGGGAAATGTCAGGAAGCAGCAGTGAAGGCAGGGGGCATCTCCTTCCACATTGGGAAGTGGCCCTGTTCTTGACCAGCTCCTGCTTCCCTCAGCGGGCCACATTCTGTGTTTAAGAGACACTGACTGAGATCATCCCTCCTCCAACTGCCACCTGCTGGTGGTCACCAGTATCATCAGTTGCCCCACAGAAGTTCCTGGACACTGCATCATTCTCCATTTTTATCTCCAAGGACCTGTGATTAGCAGCAGCTGTCACGTAGGAGACAGATCAGCTATGTGAAAGATCCACCAGAGAAAACTTAGGGTTCAGCTACTAAAAGCATTGGAACTCTGGCCTCAGTCACCCTGTATAAGCTGTATACAGAGTATCCCGAAGTATCTGCACCCACAGGAACAGGGGAGGGGTTTGCATCCCATGTCCCCAGTCTCTCAGAACAGTATCAACTCCACTTGGATTTCAAATGCTTTGGAAATCTGCTCCTATATGCTGTGTGTTTTATTTCCCTGTAATATTTATTTCCTAAAGAGGTTCTTTTCTTTTAGGTATAAAGAGAACATCCAGCATCTCTCAGCTCTCCACCTGGACAGGCCCATTGAACCTCTTGACCTTGCGGTGCATTGGGTGGAGTTTGTGATGAAGCACAAGGGGGCTCCCCACTTGAGGCCAGCAGCACATGACCTCAACTGGATCCAGTATCACTCTATTGACGTCATTGCCTTCCTCCTGGCTGTTGTACTCCTTGTCAGTATATGGAAACATCACCGCTGCAGACAGCCAGATTGCTGACATCACATGATGCGCCTATCTGTGGGAAAGAAGAATTTCCTAGGATGTTCACAGGCTGGATAAGTCTTTGTGAAGAGTGTAACTTGAAACCTTCTGCGTGCGCATGTTCAGGAAGTTTGCCTGACGTGCTGGAAGAACTGAACTGAAAGGACGTGTTTTTCTCTAGTGCTGTAATGTCAGAAATAAACATCATGTAAATAGATTTCTGACTTATTTTCTTTCCCCTGCGAAAGCAGGAGAGAGGGGTTGTGCATTTTACCCACTCTTGGGAAAATGTCACCTATCAAAATCTCCCTGGTCTGTCTGGATGTCAGCCAGAGGAGGTTACCGGTAAGCAAGCTCTGAGGACAGTGAGAGGGGCCAGCCTCTGTGCAGGGGGCTTGCAAACCGACAAGTGGTAGCAGAGGATGGTTGCAACAACAAGACGGCTGAGCACCAGGTGGGAGACATTTTTTTGCTGATAAGCCACGATCCACAGACCTCTGCGATGCTGATTTATGGCTGGATGGTGAACGCGAATTGAAAAGTCTTCGGTTCACTGAGAAAAAAGCTCCTGTTTTGGATAAAACAGAGCGGAGAGAGGCCACATACTTCGCATTCCAGAGCTGATAAGAAGTTCCGTTGCTATGCGACAAGTCGTGAGTACTTTTTGAGCTAAAATTTATGAGCTGGTTAGCTTAAAGAGCACAGAGAGAGAGAAAAGCTTCAAAAGCGAAAGCAAGGCTGGGTGTTTTTCAGCGGCGCTTGTTGTAAACAAACAGTTGGAAAGGGGACTTTCCAAAGCAGAGTGCAGCTTGCTGATTGCTTTTGGATTGCAGCGAAGGCTTGTTGTTTACAGATTCTGTGGAAGGGGAAAATTCCAGGCAGCTGGGCTGACTACCATGTGCAAGCAGCTTGTAAATAGCCCAATAGACTATTGGATTTTCCAGCTTGTAGCTGAAGCTGCAGCTTGGGATAAAGATGGCTCTGTTCTCTCAGAAACTGAATAGCCAAAACTGGCTAGAATGGTCATTTGCAATGGAATTCTTGCTGGTGGGAGAGCAATTATGGGACTTAGTACAAACCCCACAGCCTGTTGCTGTACAAGCACAGGGGAAGAAGGCTGCAGTTCAAAGTGAATTGAAGCAGCGTGTCCTGAGAATTTTGGCGGAAAATGTGGACGCTTATCTTGAGCCAGTCCTAAAGGGTGCAGCAGAACCAAGGGTCGCTTGGGAGTCACTCCGCAAAGCTTGTGAAGCTGGGGTGGGAAGCAAGGACCGAGAATTGGTTGCGCCAAAGGGGGAGAGCCAAGATGAAGCTAGCCAAATTCTTGAGAGCTCATCGAAAGCTGGGAGGAGCTTTGAGCTACAACAAGGAAATGAAGGGACGGTTGCTGCTGTTGCTGTTGATGATCCTAGCACTGCTGCAATGGCTGTTGCTGATGGGGGGAGTGAAGTTTGGAAATCTAGCACCCCCACTACAATTGCTACAGAGGAGAAAGCTGTAGCTCAGAACGCTGTTCGTCAGGAGACACCACGTCAGGAGAAAGGAGCTAGAGGGAGCTCTGTAAAGCCTGAGGCTTCAAGCAAAGGTCGTACCCAGTCCCAGGCAAAACCAGATATGGCTTTGATGTCACTAAAAGCCACATCATCCGTGGAGAACTCATTTATTGTAGACACAGGAGCGATGCAACCCATGGCATCACGCCGGGAACTGTTTTCTACGTTTGAGAAGCAACGCTTCACTGTGAAACTGGCCAATGGTCAGGAAATGGAAGCGACCGGGATCGGAACTGTGTATCTAGAAAGCCTGAACTTGACTATAAACAATGTTTATTTTGTTCCAGATTTCAAGTACAATTTGCTGAGTGTTTCTCAAATAACTAAGAAGAAACTGGTGTTATCCTATGATGAGGAAAGCTGCAAAATCTACAAAGATGGAGAGCTGTATCTTTCTGCCAGAGAGAAAGATGGACTGTATCTGTTGACATTTGAGGAATCGGACTATAAAATGTGCACAGCATGTGAATCTAAAATGCTTTCTCTTGCAGGTATCTCGAAAGAAGACACAAGAGGAAAGGCAACAAAGATTAACAGTGTTTTTCAGCGAGTGTATGCTGATGTAATTGGTCCTTTAGCACCATCTAGAGGCAATGCAAAATACTATCTTGTATTTGTTGATCATTTTTCTCAATATGTATGGATTTACATGTTGCAGAATCCCAGAGAAACCTTAGAAAGGTTTAAGGAGTTTTGTGATAAGGTTAAGAATATTCATGATGCTAAAATTGATTTTCTTTTCACAGATGAGAAACCAATTTTTCTTTCACAGGATTTTCAGGATTTCCTGGAGAAGGAAGGGATAGAGCACAAGGCTGCTGTTTCAGAGGCTGCATGGAACAAAACTGTGTGTGTAAAAGTGAACAGAGTGTTGCAGAATGGCATGAAGGCACAATTGCTGAGTTCACACTTGCCACATGAGTATTGCGCTGAATCTTTATCATGTTTTTGTTACACTTGGGTGAGAAAGGTTTCAAAGGGTATGGAATGTTCTCCTTTTGAGAGGCTATTCCGCAGAAAACCTTCTGTCTCACATTTTAAGGTTTTTGGATCTCAAATCAGGACGGAAACTCCAGATGGGGTGAAGAATGCCAGAGGCATTTTTGTGGGTTATGAAAAGAGTCTCTACAGAGTAATTTTGTCTGAATCTGGTCAGGTGATTCTCACAAAATTTCTAGAGAGTGCTCCTGGACAGGAGAGAGTAATTTTTCACACATTTCCCACTGCTGATGATTCAGATGATGAATTTGATTATTCTGATTATAGTGATACTGAAAGTGACACAGAAAGCTCAGAGAGTTCTGTTGACACAGTTATTGAGAAAGGTTCACACACAAAAGCTAGATCTTCACAGGTTAAGGATGAACCACTGTTTACTATTGGAACTGGTTCTTCGAAAAGTCCTGAGACTGAATCAGTCAGCAAAGAGGATCAGCACCTCATACGCAGGTCTGAGAGAATCACAAAGGGCGTACCACCAAAGAAGTATTCTCAAGAGTTTGCTAGTTCAGCTGTTGCATGTATTACTATTGCTGACAACTCAAGCCAGGTTAAGGGTATGTCTAAGTCAGAGACAAAGACACAACAGGTAGTTGCTAAGCGTAACACTACATTTCCTAGCCAAGGTAATGCAGATGCACTAGTTCCTTGAAAAACAGACAACCAGAGAGTTACATTGGTGAAACCAGTGGCGGGTAGTTCCAAGGGTGGAACTGAAACAACAGGGGATTGTTATATGTATAACAACTGTTTGTTTTCTTCTCTGGATCAAGCTTTGTCCGCAGCTAACGATGATTCATATGGGGGAGGATGTCAGTATATGGAAACATCACCGCTGCAGACAGCCAGATTGTTGACATCACATGATGCGCCTATCTGTGGGAAAGAAGAATTTCCCAGGACGTTCACAGGCTGGATAAGTCTTTGTGAAGAGTGTAACTTGAAACCTTCTGTGTGCGCATGTTCAGGAAGTTTTCCTGACGTGCTGGAAGAACTGAACTGAAAGGACGTGTTTTTCTCTAGTGCTGTAATGTCAGAAATAAACATCATGTAAATAGATTTCTGACTTATTTTCTTTCCCCTGCGGAAGCAGGAGGAGGGGGGTTGTGCATTTTACCCACTCTTGGGAAAATGTCGCCTATCAAAATCTCCCTGGTTTGTCTGGATGTCAGCCAGAGGAGGTTACCGGTAAGCAAGCTCCGAGGACAGTGAGAGGGGCCAGCCTCTGTGGAGGGGGCTTGCAACCGACACTCCTTGCCCTATTTATCTCACTGAAGTGCTGCCTGTTTTGCTGCAGAAAGTGTTGCTGTAAAAGTGGAAGGATGAGCAAGAAAAGCAAATCAAAATCACACTGAAATGGGGTGGGGCATGTAAGATGAAGAGGAACAGAAGAAATTGGGTCCTGCTCTTGGGGTTCAGAAGGCAGAGGTAGCCAACATAAAGTCCTCCAGAGGTTTTGGATTACAACTCCCATCAGACCTAGCTAGCATGGTCAGAGATGACAGGAGCTATGGTACAAAATATCTGGTGGGCACTATGTTGTCTACCCCTGTCTTAAAGCATCCTTCCTCAGTCTCATTCCCAATTTGCAGGAGCTCTTAAAAACACATACATGATGATTTGCAAGTCACATTTAGTCAATGAACAAGCAATCTGATAGCCAAGGGACTTGTGAACTTCCATACAGATCCCACAGTTCTGTAGTCAACTGATCTGTTGGGGAATCAATTGTTTGCATAACAATTGAACTGATGGGTGAGACCCACACATGGGGTCAGTGGTGCCACCAGTGTTTTTGAGGGAGGTATATTTTAACAGGAAGAGAGAGATGGAAAACACAATGTTCAGATAGCAGAGAAAGGAAGCTGGGCTACCTTTAACAATTGAGTGAGAGAGTGGACTCTGAGAAGTGGAGCACATTGCACAGGGTTGATAAAAGCTGCTTATGGGAATGCCGCCTTCCATAGGAACCCCCTGCCCCCTCATCCTGGAAAGAGAAGAACAAGGTATGGCCTTATAATGCCAATAAATATAAGGAGAAGGAGGACAGGCATATGCAATATATTTAAAGTGGAACCTGCTTTGCTGGTGGACCTGAGAAGGTTGGCTATTAATGGCATACATGAGCCGTTCCCGTGTTAGTTGAGTGGGTTAAAGGTAAAGGTAAAGGTAAAGGGACCCCTGACCATTAGGTCCCGTCGTGACCGACTCTGGGGTTGCGGCACTCATCTCGCTTTACTGGCTGAGGGAGCCGGCGTACAGCTTCCGGGTCATGTGGCCAGCATGACTAAGCCGCTTCTGGCGAACCAGAGCAGCGCACGGAAACGCCATTTACCTTCCCACCGGAGCAGTACCTACTTATCTTCTTGCACTTTGACGTGCTTTCAAACTGCTAGGTGGGCAGGAGCAGGGACCAAGCAACAGCAGCTCACCCCGTCACAGGGATTCGAACCACCGACCTTCTGATCGGCAAGTCCTAGACTCTGTGGTTTAACCCACAGCGCCACCTGCATCCCTTGTTGAGTGGGTTACTGGTGTCTAAAGTCAATCCAAGTCCAAGCACTTTCAAAACATAAATGCCGTCACAGATGACCCTCTCCCTTTGGAATGGCAGCACAGCCGTGTTTGTTGGCTGCAAGTGTTAATTAGAACATTAGAACAAACTCCTGTTTCCCCTCCTACTTCAGAAATGTTGTTGTGAAAACATCTCCTGTAATATTAAGAAGACAGTGAACATCCTTGTGAGCACCATACTAATACTGCCGGTTTGGTTGAACATCCTTGTGAGCACCATACTAATACTGCTGGTTTGGCTGTCTATAAGGGGCCCTTTTCAGAAACATCCTGTACACAGAAACATAAGGCCAGTGGTCCATTTAATCCAGCATCCTGTTTTCATGGAACTGGGGGTGGCAGGAGACAAAAAATGACTATTGAGGACTGAAAGTAAAGGCTGAACGAAATTATATCAGAGTGAAGACATAACAAACATAATGGGAGAAGAAGTTCTGCTGTGGCTCCGTGATCAGAGGAGCCCCCCCCCCGCCCCCCCACAACAACAATTAGGACAATGGGAGAGGTGAAATAACTCAGGAAAATAGGGGGGAAGACAAAATGGAATGTATGGGTATGGGGGGGTGGGAAGGATGGGGGAAGGGGGAAGGGAATGAATGGGATGGGTAATGGGTTATATAAGTATCATAAGACACGAGACCAGAAATTAAGAAGTACATTTAACTCATTGATAATGAAATAAGGATTTCAACCTGAAACATTAGAGGGCTGGGGTCGATTATGAAAAGGAGGATAAAAACATTACTGAATAAAGATAAAGAAGTTATAATATTTTTACAGGAAACGCATCAGATGAAAGAGGCGGTTAATGAACTCAGACTGAGAGGTATAAATAATTATGAAAAAGCATATGGTACTTCAAAATCTAGAGGGATAGCAAGTATAATTTCAAAGAGATGCAGGTTTAGTATATTAAAGATGAAGAAAGATCCTGAGGAAAGATACATTATAATTCAGGGAACAATTTTTCCCAATGAAAATCAGAAGGAATTTTTTGATGAAGTGTTTAAGGAAATGGAGGGTATTCAAAAGGGTTATATGGTTATGGCAGGAGATTTCAATATGGTATTAGATAAATGACTGGATAAGTCAAATCCTACTCCAGAGGAAAGATGTAATAACATTACAGGATTAGCTAAAATTATGAAAAGGAAAGATATGAAAGATGTTTGGAGAGTGATGAGGGGAGGAGAGAATAAATTTCCGTTCTTCTCGCCAGTGCATAAGACCTACTCAAGGATCAATTATATCTTTGTTTCAAAAATCTTAGTGTTCTAAAATAACGAATACGGAAATTGGAATAATAAAGGTAACCGACCACACATTGGTTAATATGGTATTAAAAATAAAGAATGATTACAAGGAAGCCAGAAGATGGAGGTTAGACAGGAGGATCTTCAATAACAGTAAATAAGATAGGGAAAGAATTATTAGATATATGGGAGATCAATAAGAAGAGCCAAAGTACTCAAGCAATAATATAGGATAAAAGCAGTGATGAGGGGAATTAGTATTAGTATTAGTATTAGGTGGACTGGGGCTCCCTAACATAAAGTTATATTATATAGCAAATCAGTTAAGATATGTCATACATGGGATAACAGAACAAGGGAGAGTTAGAATGGTTAGAGAGTGGTACACAGGAAATGAAGGAGAAGTTAGTGAATATATATTTTTATCAAACCAAATAGAAAATAGGGGCAGAATATTGAAAATCCCTTATTAAAAAATATTATTGAGATATGGGCGAAATATAAAGGAAAATTGATACCAGCAAATTCCCCACTAACCCTGGTGGTGATGATGATAGAAGACTTCCCGATAAATTTTAAAAAGGAAATTGAGAAAGAAGCGAAAGAGAAGAAAATACTTAAAATAAATGATTGGGTAGAGAAAATGAGAAGCAAAGAACAAATAAGAGATGCTCTAATAGGAAGTAAAATAACATGGTATAACTGTATACAACTGGAGCAATGGGCAAAGAAGTGGTTAAGGGAAAACAAGAACTGCAAAGAATATACAAAATTTGTAAAAAAATATTATTAAAAGGGGAGATTAAAAAAGAAAATACAGTTATAAAAGGGGAAACCAGTGAAATTTATAAAATATTGCTAGAAATGATCAAGAAGATCACTTAAAAGAGGTGTGGGGAAAGGAGACATCAGGGCAAATAGATAGTCAAAGCTGGGGGGGAAATATGGGAGAAACGTACGTTGAAAACGTCTATAAGAATAAAAAGGTAAAGGGACCCCTGACCATTAGGTCCAGTCGATAAAAGAAAAATATTATAAATTAATTTGGAGATGGTCTGATGCCAGGAAACAGGGAATTATGTTCACGTGGTGGGGGTGTAAATATTTACAATTTGGGGGGCAAAGGGTGTTTAAGGAAGTAACAGAAATCACTGGGTTAAAGCTGACTGAAGATCCAGAAGGAGCATTATTATCAATTTATAGGAAGGTTCGCAGGCTATGAAGGACTTGCTCACAAATTTATTGAAAGCTGCATGAATTATTATACCCAGGAAGTGGAAGCGGCAAGCTTTTTTAGGGCAGTCGACCCAATAGCCCCACTGCCGAGCCCAAGCCAGAGTCCAAGCCCAAGTTGCCTGTGCCAGAGCCAGAGCCTGAACCAACCAGAGCCACCCACCCACATAAAAAAAACCCCAAATCCAGGACAATTGCTTTCAAATGTAAAATCCCCCCCCCAACAGGCATGTAGGACCCACAAAAGAGGACACATCCGGGAATTCCCAGACGTATGGCAACCCTAAAGGAAACTGAAACATAGAAGCTGTAATTGGAGCTCAATCATTTGAGGAAAGAAGATGGCGACAGAACATAGAAAGGTGCCGTAGCCTGGCACAGAAACAAGAACTTTGTGTTGGCAAACAGCAGTCCCACATAGAAGTAGTTTCCTTCGCAGGCACTTGTGCAATTACTCCTTTTAACTTCAAATAGCATTGATCTGTGTAATTTCTCCACTAGGAGGCACCAAAAAATCACAAAAGAAACTACTAAGTGGGGTCTCCACTGGAAGCAAAAATACTGGCCCATATTAGATAACAAGTTTCAGCATGCTCATACTTTTGAGAGTGATATACAAAATTATTCCTTTGTTAAGTACATATGCAAACCATTCTTATGGAAGGACAAGTTTCTAAAATATCGTTCAAAACCTTTTTTGGGATACTGACAAAGCACGGCAGCATTAACAAAATGTCAAGAGGACAGAAGCAAGAAGTAAGACTTCTAATAAGTCTCCACTGTTTAAGGCTGATGGGGTGAGGCAGGAAGACTGAAAGACAAAAAATCTTGAACAGTGTCTTCCAGTCCCAAATTGTCTTTGTTGGGAACAAAAATGTCGCTAGGAATAAAAGGAGTCTAATTTCCCTGACTACTGGGTCCAGAAGAGAGATAAGAAAATTTTAAGTCCTAGGGCCTGACAGACTACAGACTTCCTTGCCCAGCAAGGAAGGAAGACCTGCTTTTTAATTGTGTTTTTAAAATTGTTTAAAATTGTTTTTAACTATGTGTGTTGCGGGGGAGGCTGTTCCTGATTATATTTGGTTTATATTTTTATTTTGTTTTTATTTTGATTATGCGCTTTGTGTTTTTCTATTGTAATTTTATCTTGTAAACCACCCTGAGGCCTGCAGGTATAGGATGGTATATAAAATAAAATAAAATAAGGCCTCTGAAAAATGCTTGAGATCCACAGCCGTAGGACCACTCCCCTCACAATTTCACAAGTAGCAGTTATTAGGAAAACCAAATTGGCAACACATCAGATTGTATTATTAATTAATTAATTAAAATTGTATACTGCCCTTCAAAGATCACAGGGTGGTTCACAACATAAAAAGAAATATTGTAAGAACACTGTAAGAAATAATACAAAAACTGAATGACTTTCTTGTGTCATATACCAATTGGGTGCATTTGAATTCCCTTCTTCAGTCTGTAATCTTAGCTGAATGACACTATTTTGGATATAATAATACAGCTCAACAGGAGTAGCACTGGGGAAAATATACAACTTTAAGAAAACTGAAATATGACTCTGCAGTGCAGTTGTGGAGCAGTCTGGAAGCAGAATAGATAAAGGGCTGGACTCCAAAGCCTCTACTGAACTTTCACAGGTGTCCATCCCCTGACACCAGCCCCCCCACCCATCCAAGCTGGCTTATGGAGGAGAGGGGACTCAGGGATCTGGCCTGCTGGCCAGGCAGTTCCCCACCTCTGCTTTACAACAGGCTCAGCTGAGCATCAATATACAACACAGAAAGCTCTCAAATGAGTGTGAGAAAAATATTTATGTATGTTATCAACTGCCTTAATCCTATCACAACCTATGCAGTCATTTCTAGACTTTAAGGCTACAGGTATTGTGGCAAAAGCATTACAAAATCCAAGAGCTTAACAGATTAGCTTTGCAAACCTCAAATCACCGCCCGCCGCCTTTCTGGGTGGCAGAACTCTACACGGCTGCCAAAGCCTCCCTCGCCTGGTTTGCTTCGGTGGTGGCACTGGGGCAGGATGCCTGTGGGGGCACTGCCTCTTGCGTTTCTGCCACCTGAGGCAGCTGCTTCACCCCACCTGATGGGTGGGATGGCCCTGTGTCTCCAGCCTTTCTGCCCAGGAGAAATGGACAACACCAAGTTGTCAGTCATCCCCAATATCTATCCTGCAAAATTTCTAGAACTTTTGTTCCGTGAGCTTAAGATTTCAAATGCATGCATAAAGGAGAGTACTACATGTCAAACGGAAGCCAAATTAAACACAAAACCAAAGGCTTAAATACACATCATGCCAACAGACCGTACATAATTGTTCTCCAAATGTTCTGTTCCTCTCTCACTAAGAGATTGGCTTCTTTTGTACTGCGGGATGTGACAGTCCAGCAGAGCAGCTTCATTGTGCCGTGAAGCTTAGTTTCTGTAGCATTCTTCTTGCAAGGTCACCATCAGCACTGAATACAGTTCCTTCAATAATTGGGACACCAAATTTGGATTTCTTTCAAAGAACGTAGGCTAAATAATTGGGGTCTATGTTCTCTTTGCCTTGTGTTGGTGTACTGTGCTGTGGCTCAAAGAAAAAGTTAATGTTCGCTTAAGATGTGGCTGATTTACCCAAGTGTCAAAGCCTTTCACAGTTCTCTAACAAGTCCTTGGGTTACTTTATTTTCCAATGTCATTATCTCCCTGAAACCATCTTCTCAATAGGGAAAGGGAAAGACTGTGATGTTGTAGAATAAAAGAAAGCAGTCAGGAGCCATTTTGAAAAATGTAGTAACCCACCTTCTTACTTAGATATGTGCAATACATGTTTTATTGAGAGCATTTTAAAATTAATATTGTTGAAATTTCTGCCTGCAATCCTACTTTTGGCTGCCTCTCACTTCACTGGCCTTGTGAAGTTCAACAAACATAATTATCTGAGTCACAGACATACAGTGTATTAACCACTGAAGTTCAAAACCATAAATCACAGGATTGAAAGGGACCCTGAGAAGCATCTAGTCCAACCCGCTGCAATGCAGGAATATGGGGATCGAATCTGATATTTTGGTGTTAACAGGACCACGTTCTAACCAACTGAGCTATCCAGCAGGTTTTTTCATTTGTGGGGATTGTTGTGGGGATCAACAAGAAATAAAGTACTTTGCACACTGAAAACTGCCGTGAAACTGGATTTTCAAAATGTTTATTAAATGTACTTAAATCAAGTTGCAGCTGTTCGTTGCAAGATTCCAACAGTCAGAAATCAGAAAAAGAAAATTATATGCATTCATTTTGTTATGAAAAGAATAAATGTTAAATGAGGAACAGGTTGTTGTTTCAGTGGAAATCAATTACATAGTAGCACAGTGGTACTTTCCCCAAGTCATTACAGGAATCAAACTGAGATGCAAACCTAGAAGTGAAAGCAACATGGGGACAGATTTCTCTTTCACTTTTTCAGTCTTGTGGCTTGGAACATGAAAGTATATTGAAGGTTACCTTCGGTCAGTATGTCTACAATTTTGCACAAACTTCTGTCTTCTATTCTTTAGACCAGGGGTTGTCCACCTGGTCCCTCCCGCCCACTGGTGGGCATTTCAGGATTCTAGGTGGGCGGTAGGGGGTTCTACGGCACAAGCTGAATCCTCCTTCCATCGAGCACTGGGGGGCGGTAAGGAAACTACCATCAAGAAAGATGCCTTAGTAGGCGTTAGGTATAAAAAGGTTGACTACCCCTGCTCTAGAGAGAGAAAAATCCACACACTATGAAATGGAAGCACTTTTGTATATAAGGCAAGGTTCCCCAAACTTCGTGGCTGCTTATTCTAGCTGCTGAACCCCTTTCATTCACATATAGACAAAAGGAACCCCCAAAATAGTTAACTCAGGGCTTAGTTCTCATAAAGGTACATAAAGTTTCCTACACAGAGTACTGCTGTATTTTTCCATCTATAAGATGCCCCCATGTATAAGATGCCCCCTGTTTTTGGGGACTCAGATTTAAGAAAATGGGGGGGAGATGGCCCCGTGTATAAGACGCCCCCTAATTTTTGACATTATTTTTTAGGGGGAAAACCTAGTCTTATACACAGAATAATACGGTAGAGTATATGTGAGAAAGATAGACTTGAATAACACCCACCACACACATTTTCAGTTACTCTGTTATTAGGGTATACTTGCAGGAAATAAAAAATTATATCACTGCAATTCTAAGCCTCAGTCCCACATAAATGGAAGATCCAGGATCCACTGAGCTGCAGGATTAACAGTCAAGCATTACCCTTAACCAGCAAAACTGACACCATCACTTGCTAACATCTCAAACCTATCCTCTGAATCTGAAAGGCTACCAGCTTATACTAAACCCATGTGGAGAGCTGGAATGTAACAACACTAAGAGGATTATGTCCAGTCACATGCCGTTATAGTTCCCATCTAAAACCACTGCTTGTCACAGAGGACCAAGTCCTCTTTAAAGAAGTGAGAAAAGTGATTTTGCTCTTTACTGAAGATGAAAGTCATTGCATATAAGAGCTTGCTGCTCTCCTAGTCTACTCCTTCCACCTCCTCTGAGCACCTTCAAGCGACACACACACACACACACACACACACACACTTACTTTACTGGACTTTTACTTTCCAAGATCACTCGCTAATCTGGAAGTATCTTAGTCTTATTTCTTCTACGTAAAGAGGGATTTATTTGACCATGTTGACACTATGACAGGGGGGATTATGGAGCCATTTCTGGAAACAGGAAAGGAGGTTTCGTGACTTCTATTCCAGGAAATCCTTTGTAAACATCTTTGCTGATTCAGTTCCTTGCTTTCATTCTTTTATCTGAGCAAGCTCAACAGCACTGCCTTTCAGGCTCATCCACACCTCTGCTGGTCCCATGCCTAGAAAGCAGGGGTCTGAGCTGTTTTCCCTGCTGCTTTCCCCAGGAAAACTCGCTCTTTACTGCTAAATCTGAGCAAACATCAGTCCATGGAAAACCCAACTGATGTTTGCTCCGATTCAGTGGTAAAGTGTGGGTTTTCCCTGGGGAAATGAGTCAAGAAAAGCAGAAGTGTGTTTGGCATATGCAGGGCTTTTTTCATTCGGAACTCACCAGAACTCGCCAGTTCCGGCCCCTCTCAGGCGGGTGCCATTGCCATTATAAGAGAACAAGGGAGATCTTCATGGTGAGTTCCGGCACCTCTTTTTATAGAAAAGTAGTACTAGGCATTTTTATAAGCCATCATCTAAATCCAGAAATCTATTTCTGGAGATCTTGCCAGTGTCTAGCAGTATGACATGCTTGTACATGCAAATTAACATTTTCCAACACTCCAGTCAATACATTTCTTCTGAATAGCTTAGGAGACTCGATATTTGATCCATGTTTTCCGTCACTCTTCTCTTGGGCATGGTTGGGGACTTCAATCAAGACAATAATACACTCAAACACTGTTGTATTTTAAAATATTAATACAATAAGTTACAAGCCTCTTGTAAGATAAAGCAGCTTACAACAAGCTAACAGAATCAGAAGTCATTTTTCTGGAACACAGTTTACAACTTCCCTGTCTAGACTAAGATGCCTGATCCATTTTGGCCCCACTTAACATCAGCCCGTGTCATTCATGTGTGCTCTAGAGGATGCATTGAACACCACTCCAAGGCAACCATTCTACTGGGGCAAGCAATCCCCCAGCTGCACGCTGCTACAAGGGTTCTCCTGAACCTCTTTCAAAGGCAATTTTGGGGGCATGGGGGGGGGATAAGGGAAGATACCTTGCACAAGCTCTTGCACAATTTCACTGATGGGACTTACTAGTTATAGTGGAATCAGAGTCATAAGGGACCCTGATGGTCATCTAGCCTAACCCCCTGCAATGCAGGAATCTAAACTAGCTCTAACAATCCACCCTCTGTTTAAAAACCTCTAAGGAAGGAATGTCCAGGACCTCTCCGGGGAGTCTGTTTCACTGTCAAACATCTCTTCCTGATGTTTAGTCAGACTCTCCTTCTTGTAACTAGATGCCATTGGTTCGGGTCCTACCCTCTGGAGCAGGAGGAAGCAAGCTTTCTCCACTTTCCATGTGACAGCTCTTGAGATATCTGAAGATGGCTATTATATTTCCTCTCAAGGCTCTTTCCTCTTTTCCAGGCTAAACATATCCAGCTTCTTCAACTGTTCCTCATAAGGCTTGATTTCCACACCCTTGAACATCTTGATCACCCTCTTGACTCCCACCCTTGATTTTAGTGTTGTTTGGGGCGAATCAAAACAAATGCCACTTTTTGGGGGGTCCAAATAATTTTTATTGGTTTTCATGTAAATACAAGAACAACATATAACTACAGTAACTTGTCCAGTGGTACATTCTTATTAAGTTTCATATGTAGAACACAGTACGCAAGCAATATGTTTATTTATGCATTATCAATTCAAGCATCCTCTCCACAGAGATTCTTGTATTGTGGGTGGAATAAAAGTACCTTTTGTCTCATTTATAAACGAAAGGAATGGAAGCCAAGTCTCGCCAAAAGTGTCTATTCTTGAAGTGCCTTTAATTACCCCTCTGTGACGAGTAAGGCGTCATGATAGAGCCACATTCCAAATATTATTTACCCAGATTGCAATAGGAATTTCTATAGGTTGTTTCCAGTATCCGACTACTGTTAATTGGGCTGCTGATAATAGAAAAAATACTAAGTCCCTGCATTTAAAGTTATTGTTTAAATTTAAGTCTAATAATAACAAGGGAAGAGCTGAATTGGGTAACCCAAGCCCACTCCCTGAGATCATCACCACCGCCGCTTGATGTACCCGTCACTGGCTGCTGCCGGCACCCCTCCGCTGGAAGGGAAAAGGCTCGCGCAGTGTGCACTTCCTCCCAGGATGACCCCGGTATGCGGCTCCCTGGCCTGCTCCCGTTTCCAGCCACCCATGAGGCTGTGAATGGCCTCCTTGGGTCTCCCAGTCCCTTCCTGCCTTCCTCCTGTGGTGGCGGCAATGGCAGTGGTGGCCGTGGAGGGATGCTCAGATGGGGGGCACCGCTGCATTCTTTCCTCAGCTCCGGAGAGGGGTGAGTTTCTTTGCTCAGCTCCCCAGGCCTCCGGGCTCTGTTTGGCTGCTGGCAGGGCAATCCGGGGCAGAGGTTGCTGGGGAACAGGGGGCTCCAAGTGGCCTCTTTGGCTCTCACATTGGGCTCCCCTGGCTCTCCCCCATTTGCAACGGTGGTGGTGGTGTCGGTGGCGTGGGGACCAGCCAAACCATGTAATTGTTGTTGGTGGTCCCTAGCAGCTCTGTGAGGACGTGGCGATCGCCATCTTGCCTCCCCTTTCCTCTCTTTTAAAAGGGATTTTTCCGTCTCCTTCCCTCTTATTTTTATTTTGTTATTGTTTCATTTCATCTACATTCTTGTCCCCTCTCTCTGCCAATTTGAGGAGGCAGGAGAGAGCTGTGTTAACTTTCAGCTGAGTATACCAGGACCCAGAGCTAGGGAGAACCGCACAGCAGCTGGTTAAACTCTGCCTCCAAAGATTTTAACCTTTTAACTTTCAATTTTTGGTTTATTCCTTCAAACCTTAATTTGTATCTTGATTTTGCATTTTTAACTCCAAAGAAAGAGGAGGGAAATCTTTACATTTTGATTTTTTAACATCCCATTTCTCCCATTTCTAACTTGATTCTGTCTTGAACTCTGACTTTTACCTCCAAACCCCTACTCCTACTCTTGCACTCTTTACCCTCATTCAATTCTTCCCTTCCCCCTTCCTTTTTCTTTTCATTTTGATCTTCATCTAGCCTCTCATTCTATTCTTCCCTCTACACTGACACTCCCCTCCCCTTCTCCCCCTCCCTTATATGAGTGCATAGATACACACAAACAGAGACACATACTAGGGTTGCCATATGTTGGGTTAAAGGTCTGATCTGCAGTCTGATCTGCTCTTCAAAATATAGCAACCCTAAATTAGAAATTCCTAAGCAACTCTTTTGCTTAATCTAATTAGCTGCTTAATTTTTTTCCAGCTGTGTTTTCTCTTGCTGAAGAGATATGTGCAAATTAACATTAAAAAAAACTATGTTCAAGATTTCTGGATCAAGTTAATAGAACTAACAGCATCCATCAGGTTAACAATAAGGGCATTTTTTTGGTTTTTTAAAATCGTAACCATAATCATTCACTCTCAGCATACCTTGAGCATTTATTCAGTGTCCGCATACAGGACTTACCTCAGAATCTTTGTCCAATTTGTCTCTAACCACAATTAAGTTGTACAATATCCGGTCATCATCCGCTTCGGTGTGGGAGATGTCGTGAGGGGCACTCCACAAGTTTTTCTCTTCATCCCATGCCTGAGTTGTTCCAAATGAAGCATAAGGATTGTTATTACTGAAATACAAGAAAGAAAGAAATGGAAGCTCTGTTAGCAATGCAGCTTTGAAATAATGATGTAAATCATATGAATTGCCAGCATCACTTATATTTTACACTTATATTTTATATCACTTCTAGCTTACAAGAAGGCATGCAATTTTAGTATGTGGTTTTATTATTTTATGTATATTTTAAACAACTGATTTAACTTATATTTTAATGCATTTTTAGATTAGCTTGCCTTTAATGTTTGGCTTTATCAATATTTCTATGTATGCTGCTTAGAGGTTACGGATGATTAAGCAGGGCCCATCCTATGTTAGAAACCACACATTACACAGCAGATCCAAGATTTATCTTTTATTTTATTCTCCCTTTATATGGCCACTCCATGGCAGGAGATCTCTGGGAAGCTCACAAAGCAAAGAAAACTTAATTCTAGCTCTTCTCTGCCAACACTTTGATTTTTAGTTTAGAGCAGCCCAGGGGATAGGAGGTGGGATTAGGGTTAAGAGTGATTCTCTGCAGGTAGTAAAGCAAAGGCTAGACCAAACAACCTCTCCCCCAACCATTTCCCATGTGAAGTGGTTCAGCCCAGAAAGAGATTTCTTCCCTCAGTGAAGGCCAAACTAAATGAGACAACAGGACAGCTGTGATCACATCTCCCACAAGGTTCTTTAAATCCAGCACTCTGGCTTCTTTTCAGATTGCCTAAAGCAGGTTGCAGAAAGGCTAAGTGCACCATGCTGATGCCAGGAAAGCGGTACTTGAGCAGGGTGGAGAGGCTATTAAACTTTCTCCCCTAGCACTGCAACCCAGTCCAAATCAGGAGCTCACTTTGTGAAAAACAAGGAGAGCCAAGGCAAAGAGAAAATGCACTAGAGCAACTTCTTCTTCAGTACTGAAAAGAAAAGCGTTCACTCACCAATTTTTTGCTTGCTTGCTTGTTTGCACTAACCGTGTGCAAACTGCTATACCAAACAGAAGAAACTCAGTCCTCAAATCCAGAGCGTACAAAATTAAGACTAGGGTGATCTCAGGTTTTCAACATCACAATTATCACCAGCCAAACATTGTGGGGTCTGGTGATATACCACAATGCATCACCCCCAGCCCCGTGAGGCGCCAGGGTGAAACTGCCACTGCTCTCGAGGGAGCCGAGGTGCTTTCGTGGGGACGACACAGCTTGTGCCCAGTGCTTGGCCTGGAGGGAACTTGCACTGCTTAGCTGGGGGGCTCCTGCCCCCTGAACAAGCCACATGAGCCAGAGGAATGTGGGGCTTCTGTGCGCTTCTCAGCCGGGGTGCAAGAAGGCTCTCCCTGCCCCCAGCTGAGCAAGCCCCACGTCCCTCCATCTTGCATATGAGCTGGAGGGACAGGGGGATGTAGCCTAACCTCCCAAGCGAAGGCATCCTCGCGACGGTAGCCAACGGGCAGGCTACCTCTTTTTCCCATCTGACTTCATGCCAAGGCAGTGGAGGACAAGGCAAGCACACACAGGCCTGTCTCAGTCACCATCACCTTGGCAGGCCGGGAAATAGAATGAGGAAGTCTAACTTACCCCCACCCCTCCATTGAGAAGTCTAAAGGAGCCCCCGCCCTATTTCTGGCTTGCACAAGCCGGAGGCGCGGTGGTGGCTCTGTTAGACTTCTTCAGCTGGGGCATCTGAAGCCTCCTGCTCCTCAGCTGATCAGCTTCAGTCCTTCTGCTTGCATGCAAGCTGGAGAAGGATGGGGCTCCCTCAGCTGGAGGGTGGGAGCCTTTTAATGGCGCTCCACCCTACCTCCAGCCCTGTAAAACTGCTTGACTGAGGCACGGCCAGCCAAGCAGTTTAAAGAAGCAGAGATAGGAACAAGCCGTATCGCGCCTCGTCGATGCATCTTGTATCTCCCTCTGTGCCAGTATGATGGCAGAGTGGTATGGCGGCTTCAATCAGCGGTATATCACGGGTGAAACTGCCGCCGCTCCTGAGTCCCTCTGCCTCCAGCGCCGACTGCAGCTTGTTTTTTCCTCAGTGCGCTGGTAGCAGAGGGACTCAGGAGCAGCGGCAGTTTCGCTCGCAATATACCGATATACCGCTGAGTGAAGCTGCCACCGCAGTCACTCCACAGTCATACCTCACACCAGCCCTGGACAATATACTGATATATCACCCAGGCCTAATTAAGACTAGCAAACTAAAGCAGCTTATAAAATGAGGAAACAGAAAGTGCTAAGTCTGAGTGAATGTCAGATCTTTAAAACTGACTTTCGTATCTTATACAAAACACACACTTACTCTCTCCATCCAAAGGGATTTTGCTGCAAACTTGCAACCTTTACATTTGGTTTTGTGTATTTCTGGCAGTGTAATGTTTTCAAGCCCCCTTGAGCTGTCTGGTTTCAGGAGGATGCCTTGTTTTACTCTTCTTCTTGGCATCTTGAGGAGCGTCCCAAGCCAACTACACTCACACACACACAAAATGCAGAGGCACTGCTCATATGCACCCCTGTAATGGTTTGGTGCAGGCATAGGCAAACTCGGCCCTCCAGATATTTTGGGACTACAACTCTCATCATCCCTAGCTAACAGGACCAGTGGTCAGGGATGATGGGAGTTGTAGTCCCAAAACATCTGGAGGGCCGAGTTTGCCTCTGCCTGGTTTGGTGCATTCACATGGGAAGAATGGCTGCAAGTGATGGCTGAGGAGACTGGAAAGGAGCATAAATCAAAGAGGGAAGGATTGGGTTCAACAGTTTGAGACCCACTGTTTCATAGCAGTATTTCATTTTCTTAAATAAATATAGAAGGGTAGCTGCAGCAAATAAATTTAAGACTCTTGTGGCACCATAAAGATAATATTTTCATGGCAGAAGCTTCATCACATGCATTGAATCCAAACTCTTCTCTTCTTCTTCTTGAATGCATTGAAGCTGGCAAGTAGGAATACACATGGGGTGGGATGGGGGAGGGGGTTAAGCAGTTAGAAACAAAGGCAAGGGGAAAGGAAAGGCAAGACAGAGAGAATGGCCTGATTCACACTTCATGGTGGAATCCGCTTCTGCTTTGCTCCTCTCCTCTGGGGGAGAACAAACTGCGATCTCTGGAGGAGATCAGCAAGCAGGAGGAACAAACTGCGATCTCTGGCTTACTGTCACATCCAAACTGGGGATTATGGTCTGTTTTGGTCATGATTTGTAGGCGAATAGCAAACCTTGGGTTAACAGAGTTTGTTTGGCGTGAAACAAACCACAATCTAGGAGCAGACAGTTTTCAAGGCCCCTTGAGCTGGCTGGTTTCAGGAGGACGCACCTCAACGAGCTAAATCTGTATCACCGTTCACCATCCAGGGGGAAAACTTTAAAGTGCCAATACGTTTTCCCCTACAGGGCAAACAGTAACTTCAGCCATTTTAATCAGGACAAGGGTGGGGGGAGAAGAGTTTAATAATAAAATAATAAAATAATAATAATAATAATAATAATAATAATAAATAATTATTGGGCGGCTCCCAACAGAATATTAAAAGCATGATAAAAGCATGATAAAAACATGATAAATCCGCCCCTGGACCATGGTTCCAATCCAACTCCTGACTCCCAGCTCTTTAAATGTCTTTAAAATGTTCCTTTTAAAGACATTTATAAAGAGGGAGACCCTGTTCAATGATCTTCTGTGTCCCTTCTAGTTCGGCCCCAAGTGTCTCTCTCACTCACAGCTGATGATTGTGTTAATGTAACCTGAGGTTTTACAGGACCAAATCGGACACTGACTACTACACATTTTCTCCCTGTATGCTTTAGGTATGCTTCCTCAAAAGAATAGGTATCAGAGTTTCATAATGTTGTAGTAAGTTATGTTTACAAAAAGAAAATGAAAAATTTTTGCCTTTAGACAACACTTCTTCTCTGATGAGTTGCTTTGCTCTGCCAGTCCATTTAGGACTCCCAACAAAATATATACTTGCTTATAGAGCAGGCACAGGCAACCTCAGCCCTCCAGATGTTTTGGGACTACAATTCCCATCATCCCTGACCACTGGTCCTGTTAGCTAGGGATCATGGGAGTTGTAGTCCCAAAACATCGGGAGGGCCCAGGTTGCCTATGCCTGTTATAGAGAATAGTAGAAAATGGAAGTCATTTGGCACACCCTGAACAGCAAACCTTTCACTGACAGCTGTTGTGAATTTATGTTTCACTCTGTTGCTTTTTAAAATAAATTCTGCAATTAGAAGCATGAGTAATTTCCATTAGTATCCACTTGGAGAATATAAAATAACAGAGAACTGTATTTTCCGAGTAAGGTATTGACATGCCTTTAGAAATAATGGGTTTGGATTAGTACATACCACTTACAGAACCTCAATTAAACGCTAAACAATTCATTTAGGTGCACTGCCACGACAAATTCACCACCAAAAACACCAGAATATAGTTGGATAAAGGCCATGAAACAGTTATTCTTTAATGGGCCACTTCAATTAGGCAGGAACATTTTCTCTAGTTCACATTTCTTTAAAAAGCCAATTATACTAATCCCATCTCACCAGGACTCACTTAAGAGGCCTAAAGTGGGAATGAAAGAAGCCTGTCTACCCACTAGTAAAGCACAAGGATGAATAAGGTACAGAAATATTTTGCCCCACACAGGTTCTAAATAGGACAGTTATGTGATCAAGGAAATCCTAGTTTAATTAATCATGAGCCTTAGTACAGATTTCTAGGATTTAACCGAATCTGCATAACGGTTCATATGAATAAAGCAAAGGCTTGACAAAAAAAATAATCAGATTTCTATTGCAGCAGGTACTACTATACACTCACATAGGAAAGAATGTTATTGTTATGAGTAGTAATATTAAAAGTTCATATCAATTAAATGCTGCAGCCTAACTCTTAGGAAGAGGTGGGAAAGACGTTATTCCATTTACTTACCCTATAAACATTTACTTACCCTATAAACATCTTCAAGTACCATTTTAAAATGTTTGTGTGATGACCCTGCAAACAAATGTGCTTGCTTGGAGACTGTTTTGTATCAACATTCAGTAATGTGTGCCCAGTTTGCAAACCCCACTAGTTATAGTAGTAAATTACAATTCCCCTACATAATTTCCTTTGTGAGGTCATTATTAGTTAGCTCACACTGGTAGTTTTAAAGCCCTACTAAGGAAAGATATTCTATTACAAATCTATTACATCAACTAGGAAGACTTCCCTAAAACAAACTGCAACATGTGCAAATTAAGAGATTTTGCACAGCATACTCTAAAATTTATAGAGCAGATGTTCCTGTATGAATACTGCAGCTTCTTTTGTCTGCCACAGTGCTAATGGGCTGGAGAAGGGAAGAGCTCAGAGCTATACTCACAACACATCACACTCAAAACAGGTGTTGTGTCAAACCGTGAGCATCAGCAGCACAGGGCACTGCAGGCAGGTAAATCCTTTAGATTCTTCTGCAAGGCATCAGTTACCATGCAAAACAAGACGAACAGAGGAATTGTAAGACCATTAAATCTTATGATCATTTTCAAACAAATTCCCTGCACATGAAGTACTTCTGTAGGCACGGGGGGGGGGGGGGAATAAATCCCAGGTGTAAGAAAGAAAGCAGGAACAAGTGAAAGAACTTTCTCCCGACAGCCAGAACATGGGAAGCCCTCTGCAAATTTTTAATTTGGAATGTATAATTGGCTTTATTGTTTGTATTATGACGTTGCAAGATTTGATTTGCTACCAATTGGAATGTTATTAATTGAAAATTAATAAAAATTATTTTAAAAAATAAAAATAAATCCCAGGTGTAATAACTGCACATATCTAACAGGCATCACAGATGGTTTGTATGGTTTTTCTTACTCGGCTCGTAGCCAACAGTTTGCCACCTGCTACATATATGTCAATGATGACAGGTCAATCTTATGCAAACAAAAAGAGAGTGGAATATAAATGTTACTGTGCTGTACACATATGGCAACACTTCAAAACAAGCAGGTGTGTCCAATTGACCTGCGATCGGCAAGTCCTTTAGGACTCGGAACAGGGAGTGGGCACTTATACGAACTCCGCCAATGTGCAAAGGGGCCAGGAATGGAAACACACACACACACACACAAAATGGCCACTGCTTGCACTGCACATACATATGCTCACTTACTAAAAGGACACCATTAATCATATCCTATGAAGGATTTATCCAAATGAGTTGGCATTTGAGGCCTATTGTTTAAGAATTGGCAAGCTATGAACATTAGAAATCAGTGACAGAATTACAGTAGTACCTTGGGTTACATACGCTTCAGGTTACATACGCTTCAGGTTACAGACTCTGCTAACCCAGAAATAGTACCTCGGGTTAAGCACTTTGCTTCAGGATGAGAACAGAAATCGGGCTCTGGCGGCACAGCAGCAGCAGGAGGCCCCATTAGCTAAAGTGGTGCTTCAGGTTAAGAACAGTTTCAGGTTAAGAACGGACCTCCGGAACGAATTAAGTACTTAACCTGAGGTACCACTGTACACAAATGAACAAATAGCACTTGGGTGTGGGGCATGAGATCGTAGAAAGATGTATTACTCATACTTGTGAAAGCCGCACAATTTCATAATATGAAAAAATAACCCACAACACAGTGTCAAGTTACTTTCCATTTTGTCAGTGCCTTCTTCCAAAAACACTATTAAAGTACCAATAACTCCTGCCTGAAAAAAGCAGCAACATACCCACCCACCCTGGCAAACCAACCAGGAATATTGTTGGCCAAAAGCACAAATATCCTTTGAGCCTCACAAAGGGCCCTCATTTACAACCCCATGCTGTGAAAAGACAGAGCTGCTGTCTATGGGCACAAATAGTAGCATGCCCAGCATAAACTCATGTTTCATCCTGTACAGCAAGCAGGAGAGTGGGTAGTCAAGTTCTGCCTCTTGGCTGTAAACTTCCTTGGTTAGAGAAGAATTGTGCGAGTACATTGTTCAGTCCAGTGATAATTGCCAAACGGCACCTTAAACCCCGGTTATGGGCACAACAGAATATCTAGGCGCCTTTTTTTACATGAGATTTTATTATTATTACTTTCACTTTACAACACATTAAAACATCAAATAAAATAATCCAGAATAAAAGAAATTCAAGTTTCAAGGAAAACAGTTCAGATCCTTCTCTAAGTAAACTCTAGGGGGCCAGTGTGGCGTAGTGGTTAGAGTGTCAGACTAGGCCCTGGGAGATCAGGGTTCAAATCCCTGCTCAGTCAGGAATCTCACTGAATGACCTTGGGCCAGTCATAGCCTCTTAGCCTACCTTGCCAGGTTGTTGTAGAGATTAACTATGGAAGGGGGTGAACCATGTACTCCCTGAACAAAAAGGTGGGATATAAATGTTGTATATAAGCTCTTCTGCATACCGGCTTAAGAAAGCTGGAGAGGCCAGCCAGGGACGTCAGTCACCAAGCTAGCACCCAGAAATCTCCACATGGTCGCAACTGGACCTGTGCCAGTCACAAAACATGCCTAGCTAGTTTCAAACACTCCTGCTCACAAGCTGCTACAAGTCCCAGGTTGGGAAACACATGATGTAGTTACCGTATTTTTCACTCTATAACACGCACCCGACCATAACACGCACATAGTTTTTAGAGGAGGAAAATCCGTAGGCATGCCACCCGTAGGCATTCCCTCCATAACACGCACAGACATTTCCCCTTACTTTTTAGGAGGAAAAAAGTGAGTGTTATGGTGCAAAAAATACGGTACTTTGCTGGAAGTAACAAAGCTGTGTCTCGTTAGTGGACAGAAGGGAGAATGTTTGGAAAGCCTATGCACTCTTGAGTTCCACTTGTGGGGGAAAGGTAGGCTATAAGTATTATAAATACCATACCAAAGCTTGGATTAAAATTACTATGAGTGACAATCCTAGCAACAAACATCTCACACACTCTATTCAGATAACACTCTATTCAGCATGTCATGCATGCTACAATTAAGGAACCTTAACTACGGTTTGATGCCCTGTCCACAAGCTGTGACCGTCACACTGTCTCCTCAGGCTGCCAGGCCATGAACAAGGGAGTGGGGCCTAGAAAGTTTTGAGTTCTGATAGAAAGAGAAAGCAGATCAAATGCTCTAAAGTTACTGTAGTTTGCTCGAGTCCTGCCTTGGGTTCTGAAATAGAGTCAGCACAGCTTTCTTGACAACATCAGCTTTGTTCACACAAGCAGTGCCTCAAGTTATGTTCTGTAGTAATCACACATAGAGTCCTCAGCACCAACACTGTGTACTCCTGTGTATGTCTGAAGCCCCAATGACCCTAAATTCCTGGTCAGTGCATTTAGGAATTCAGCCCAAGTGAGGAAGCTACCGGTATATCCCAAATCTGGAAACCTACTTCTAACACAGCAGTTGAGGGCAGAGTTACAAAAAATGCCCACAAATTTGAATTTGAGATTAGAAAGGTCTCCCTATCTTAATTTGAGCTTCATAGGGTGCCTTTGTGTATACCAAAATCAGTACTTTTATCATAAAAGTACAAAATTCTTATTTACTGGAGCTTGGCTGCTGAACTATTCCATACACAGCTACCCACACGCAAATTAAGACCCCAGAGTGTGTACCAATAACCTCCATCCATTGAGGATGGCTACAAACAGGTTGCTCATCACAGCTGTTTGTAATGGGCATGGCTGTGGCGATCAAGTTGTCTGTAGCGTCCAGCCAAATTAGCCAGGCAAATTGCACCATGTACTCACAACTAATCTGATAAATGGAATAGCAAGAACAAAATACAATTTGGCTCACTGTATAAAAACATGCTAACCCTCATCCCACTCCAAACTAGCCAATATTATTATTGTTTGGAAGCATCTACCCCTGTGTATCCCCTGTTGCCCAAACACAGGTTTACCACCTCAGTGAAACTAGGCCCAGGAGCAGAGTGGCTTGGTGGCAGTAGTGTGCCAGTCATTCCACAAACCAGAGCAAACTAGGGCAGATTCCAAAGGGAGCTCCATTTTCCAGCCCTTAATTCCACGTTCATGCATCATTTTAAAAATCATTTCAACTTCACTTCTCGTGCAAAGGTGTTTCTAAGGCTAGATGAATAGGCATTACAAGCAAGGAGAGTCTCTCCAGCAGACACCCAACAGATCATCAACATGCATCATGGGTGTAGCCAGGGGGGGGCAGCTGCTCCACCAATTAATAAAAATACATAGCTAACTGAGGTTCTGCCCCCCCAACAAAAGGCCTGCCCCCCAACAAAAATCCTGGCTACACCCATGTGCATCATAAGCAGTTAGCAGAACACCCCAGGAAGATGGCAAAGATGCAAACAGAAGACTCAAGCAAGCACTGCCCATCCAGCTCAACAACTCAAATGTTACTGAATTCTTCTGGTTGTTGAAATTTGAACATGACTTCATGTGCCAATCGGTGCTAATATTGCTTGGGGAGCTGAAAACAAAATGACAGGGGCATGCTGGGATGAGGAGCAAAGAAAAGTAGCCATGGGATGACAGAAGCCAAAGTGCGCCCTTTAAAGATGCACTAAAATGCACACCAGTTTTTTACTTAATGGATATGGCACACTAAAAGGAAATCCGGAAGTAAAAAGTACAGGCTGGCGTTTTGAAAACGTCATGTGGATGGTACAAAAACTTGTACAACGACTCCATAATAGACCTCCATCTGGAAACATACAGAAGCTCCCCGTTCCGAGGCAGTAGACATTCCGGGGAGGACGGCTGCCTTCCCGCCGTGTTTGCAGGCTTCTCGGCGGGACCTGAAAGAGGATGCTGACCAGCTGGAGCCACCTCCGCGGCGCAGCAATTCGGAGAGAGGCGCGCCGGGTCCCGCAGGGAAGCCAAGAGCCTCATCGCCGGACAGGCAGGGGCCACTCGGCCAATGCGCCCCCGGCAGCCTCGGGCTGGCGTGAAGCAGCAAATGCTTGGAGGATGGCGCTCGGCGGCGGCGGCGGCGGCGCAACCCGTTGCCCGCTTACCTGACCAGGGGCTCCTTCTCTGGAAGCGCCGCGTCGCCCGGGCATCGTCCTCGAAGGCAGCCGCAGCAGCAGCACCAAGCCTCCAGCCAGTCGCTCAGCCCCATGGAAGAGCGGCCGAGACGCCCGCAAGAGCCTCGCTCAGCTCCTCCGCGCCCCAGCGCGCAGCACCGCCCGCTTCATGCTCGCCGAAATCCCCTTCGCGGGAGCACCCGGCTCCTGCTGGCCGCGCCGCGCGCGCTCTCGCGGCTGCCACCTCCCGGGGGAAACCGGAGAGGCTGACGGACGCGACCGTCTCCATGCACACGCGCATCTCTCTCGGGCGCTGCGCACGATCCGGGCTTGAATTTGCGCCGCGCAAGATCGAGCTGGAAGGAAACAGGAGCCCAGAGTCAGCGCCGGGACCCCCGGAATCTCACGCGGCTTGGCGACTGGGGGGGGGGGCGTGAACGCAGCAGCAAGGCACAGCTGGCACAAAATTAGACCTTTCCATTTCTGCCATAAGGGCTGCTGTCTGACGTTTGCTAACTTTAGTGGCTTCTCAGGACTAACAGAAGAAATTTAGCAATGGTTATTAGCCATGGAATGGAACCTCCTTGTTCAGAGGAAATAGACTTCTGAAGGCCAGTTACTCGGAGGCCCTGTCCAGCTTCACAAAAACAGCTAACAGCTGACCACAATCTGAACCAGAATGCTGAATTAAATGGGCTTTTGCTCTTACCCAGAAGGGCTCTTATTAGATTCTTACATAACCTTTCTTTGGTTACATCCTATTTTGTCAGAAGTATGAGGTGTTGTTCATCGTTGACAGATGCAGACACACAGATTTATTTATTTTTTAAGAAACACTCCCATCCATCCTGTGGGCTCAGAGTAGCTTACAGCTGCTTTTCTAAAAGTTAATAGTCCTGCCACAATGTTTTTACTTTTAAAAAATTACATTTTTATTCATTTTTATCGTAAGAAAAAAAAGTATACAAAAATATAACAACTGAAACATAGTAGGAAAGATGCAGCCTGCACATAATAGGATGTCATTTACATTATAAGTATATTTGATCAGAATTTATTTATTTATTTATTGCATTTAAATCCTGTCTCTCTCTCCAAGATGGCATACATGGTTTCCCACCTTCCTACTCATTTAGTCCCCACAACAACCCTCCAAGGGAGGTTAGACTAAGAGGCAGTGATTGGTCCAAGGCCACCCAATGAGCTTTGTGGCTGAGTGGAGATCTGAACCCTGGTCTCCCAGGTTCCGTACTCTACAATCACTACACCACACAGGCTTTCACTGACAGAATTCACAATCAGTGAGAGGAATGATAGCAGTTGTGATTCAGCAAATTGTTTTTCTATTTAAACTTGTTCAATATAGTTTTTATTCATTGTGAAATCACTTGGAAGTGCTTCAAAGGAAGCATGAAATAAACATCTGGATGGCATCAGGTTGGGGGGGTTCATTCCAGAAACAGCCACTGATAACAGAATAAATTAGCATGTGAAACTCTTGCACCATGAAGATAAATGTAATCATATTATTATGAGGATTTTGTGGGGGACGGATAGTCTGTATGCCATGACCCTGCTAATGCCTGGGGCCCCTTCTAATTCTTGGAATAGTTAGGCTAGCTTCCTGGTGGGGTAGTAGTTTAGGTAATGGGGTATTTTGTCCACGGAGTTTTATATGCCTGTTGCCTTTGTCCATGGAGTTTTCTTGGCAGGGATACTGGAGTGGCTTGCCGGTTCCTGCTCCAGGTGGATCACGTTTAGTGGCATGGAGCCACTATGACCTGTCCATCTTGGGTGGCCCTGCACGGCATAGCTCATTGCTTCTCTGAGTTATTCCAGTCCCTTCACCACGGCAAGGCAGTGATCCATGAAGGGGAGTCACGAAGAGTTGGACACGACTAAACAACTAAACAACAACAATAGGCTATTAAGAGAACAAAGAAAGTAACTGGGTGGAAGAGTACTGGGGGTGGGGGTGGGGGGATAATAAAAAAAATAGTAATAATAATACTTTTAGTTACCGTATTTTTCGCTCTATAAGACGCACTTTTTCCCTTTCAAAAATGAAGGGGAAATGTGTGTGCGTCCTATGGAGCGAAGATGCCATAGCCCCGCGACCCTCTCCCGGCTGCAGAGATGACGCGCGGCTATGGCAGGAACCTCTACAGCCCCGCGTCACCTCTGCAGCCGGGACAGCGCGCGCGGGGCTAAAGAAGCCATAGCTCCGCGACCCTCTCCCAGCTGGAGAGGTGACGCGCGGCTATGGCAGGAGCCTCTCCGCTGCGCCTTTCCGCTGCTCCCTGACCTGCTCTTTGGGGCTGGTGGTGGGCTTCCCCCCGCCAGCCCCAAAGAGCAGGTCGAAACGAACCTGAAGCCTGGAGAGCAAGAGGGGTCAGTGCACACCGACCCCTCTCGCTCTCCAGGCTTCCAAGGTAGCCGCCTGAACGCACCTTAAACGGCACCTTGTTTTAGAGCGGGAAAACAAGAGGGGGAAAGTTCTCCCCCTCTCTGTGCAGCGCCTCCTGCTGCTTCACTGAAGGGGCGCTGGGCAGTGAGGGGGAAAAATTTTGTTTCTTGTTCTCCCCCCTCTAAAACAAAGTGCGTCCTATTGTCCGGTGCGTCCTATGGTGCGAAAAATACGGTATTTATAGGCCACCTATCTGATTGGGTTGCCCCAGCTACTGTGCAGCTACCAACAAAAAATAGTAAAAACACAATACAGCACCAGCCTCTAAAAGCTTCCCTGAACAGGGCTGCCTTCAGCTGTCTTTTAAAAATCACATAGCTGTTTATCTGTTTGACATATGTTGGGAAGGCATTCCACAGGGAGCGTGCAACTACTGAAAAGACCCTCTGCCTGGTTCCGTTTAACCCAGGCGTAGGCGAACTAAGGCCCAGCGGCTGGATCCGGCCCAATCGCCTTCTAAATCCAGCCCGCGGATGGTCCAGGAATCAGCGTGTTTTTGCATGAGTAGAATGTGTGCTTTTATTTAAAATGCATCTCTGGGTTATTTGTGGGGCACAGGAATTCGTTCATTTGCCCCCCCCCAATATAGTCTGGCCCCCCACAAGATCTGAGGGACAGTGGACCAGCCCCCTGCTGGAAAAGTTTGCTGACCCCTGGACCTAGACGGTCTAGCAGGGCTGGGAGTTGGCGTCTGAGGCGAACCACAAAATGGCACCTCCCTCCTCAGCAGGGAATAAGGGGTGAGTGGAGATCTGCATCAGGAACAAGGCTATGGGGGAATAAAGATCTACATCAGGAACTGCTGCCCTGCAGATCCTGCCACCTGAGGCAGTCACCTCACATTACCTCATGGGTGGGCCAGCCACGAAGGCAAGCTACAAGCAAAGATAAAGTAGTCACTGCCTCAATATCGTACAATATTTTTGGGAACTGGGGTCTGTAAAATGCAGTGCTCACTACCATGGAGGAGGGAGAGGTGGCTGCCTCCACTGTTTCCCAGCTGTTGTTGGACCGCAACTCCCATCATCCCTGCTGCCAAGGGATGGGGGAAGCTGTAGTTCAGCAGCTGGGGACTTAACTTTGAAAAACACTGCAAGAGACTCTCCAAAGCACCCCTATTTTCCAGGGACATCCCTGATTTGATCCCCAGGTCCCACTTTCCTTCAGGATGTCCCTATTTTCATTGGAGAAATGGTGGATAGTCTGGAGATATCTGACCCCAGAGGCATCTAAAGACAATCCTGTACAGTATAGGGAAGTTTAAAAAAAAATGTGTAATGTTTTATTCTGTTGATGTATGTTGGAAGCTGTTTTTATATATGTTGCCCCGGACTGTGCGCGGCAACCCAGTCAGATGTGTGGGGTATAAATAGCAACACTCCCATTGCGGAAGGGCACGTCCCTATTTCCCCCCCCCCGTCGCCCCCCCCCCCCGCCGCCTGAGGGCCAGAGGAGGCAGCCGAGGGTGAAAGGAGCCCGCCCGCTCCTTCGCAGTGCGCACGCGCCAACTCGGCTTTTCGTCCCGGCGGGTCTTGTGTGTGTCCCTCGCCCCGCTCCCTGCGGCTCCATAAAGTTCTTGTTGCGCAGCTGTCAAGCGTTCACCCCGGGAGCTCCGCCCCCGTTCCTTCCACTTCCGGCTCAGCGAGGGGGGAGGGGTGAAGGGGGCGGGGTTGCCGCCGCCGCCGCCGCCGCTGCAGCTGCCGGAGGAGCGGGAGCCTCGCCGGGGATGGTGCTTCTGGCGGCGCTGGCTTCTCCGGGCGGCTCGACGGCCTTTCCAGGTGAGCAGCGCCGAGGCGCCGGCCTCCCTCCGGAGAGCCCCCTTCAGCGCCCGGCCCGACCCCGGCCGCCCTTGGCTCCCCCCGCCACACACAGGGCCGAGGGAGGCAGCGCAAAGGGAGCGCAGGCGCGCGCCGTTAACCCGCGGGATTCACTGCCGCAGGATCTGAGGGCGGCCGCTGGATTTGGACGCCTCAGGAAACGGGTCGCGGGGGTTGGTGGGGTGCCTCTCCCCTTCCCACGCCCAGTGACTTGATCTCTGCGCAGGGCAGCTCCGTGGAGGCGTCTCCGTAGACTAGGTGTTGGGGTGACAACGATGGTGCTGGTGGGATGGCTCCCCTCCTGCCCTGGCTGGCGGCATTGTGAGGGGCAGCTGGCTGGCCACCACGGGGAAGTTTCTGCTGGCCTAGCTGGCCTGATCCTCCGGGGACTCTCTTCTGTGCCTGCCCACCCCAAAGAAGCGCCAGGAGCGGAGCATGAAAGCAATGGGCACTGTGGTGGAGGGTCTAGCTTTAGATTTGCCAAACCTTCTTATTTTGTTTTTTAAAAAGCCATTTAAGTTGCCACCACATCCCATCCCAGTGAATTCTGTAAGTGCATTGTGTAGTTATTGGGGCAGCGGTGTTCTGTCTTGAAACGGCTTTCCTGGACTCATGGGTTGTCTTCCGCCAGGCAAGTGGTAAGCCAAGAGCAAACCTTGGCTACAGCCAGTGGTTTGTCTGGAGCAAAACAAACCATGAGCTCATGTTCAGACAAATCTTGGCTTACCTTTTGGTATCATGGCAGTAGGGTGACCAGGGACTGTCAAAGCAAACACTATTTTTATTGTGCATACCTGTGCGTTCATGCTTAACCATGGGTTAACTCGGCATTCTGCCTGAACTGAGATATCCTGACTTTTATTCTTCTGTAATCTTATTAGGTAGTTGTTGGAATGTTCTAACTCTTCTTTTTTTGTACTTCTTACGAGCCAATAAGAAGGCTGCTTTGACAGCAGTGTCCATAATGATTATGGTAAGGGACCATAGTTCAGTGGTTGAGCACATGCTTTTGCCTGCAGAAGGCCCCGGGTTCAATCTCCACTAGAGTCTTGGGTGTATGGATTGGAAAAGCCTGAAACCCTGGACACCTGGTCCCAGCTAAAGTAGATAGTACTGGGCTGATGGAGCAATAGCCTCACTTACCAGAATGCACATTTCTATGTTTATAAGACTGACTTAATGAAAACAGATAATTTTATGTAAGGAATTATGTATTTCACAGGTATTGAGCCTATTGCTGTGCATAGGTTATACAAGGATAACTATGCTTTCATGTAACTGAACCTTACATTTGGAAGAAAATACAAACAAGGTTTTTTAAAAAGACTAATTTACTTTTATTTCATATATGCTTTAGACGGAAGATAGCAGTAATGCTAACATTGGCAAGCAAGCTAAAACGGGATGATGGTGTCAAGGGGCCCCGTTCATCCAACCCAGGTTCTGATTCAACTCGAAGAGTGTCTGTTAGAGATAAGTTACTTGTTAAAGGTAATGCTGCTTTCTATATGAAATATCACTGTTCTCCTAAAATTTAATGCACTGTCTGATAATTGAACTAAATGTGCAGAGGTTTGCAGAGTATAAAAAACCCTTTTAAAGAGAAAAGTTAAGATGCTTACAAATTCATGAACACGCCAAAAAGCATGGAAACTGTAAGTTAAGGATCCACATTAATTTCCATATCATATAAACAATTAGTGCAAAGCAATCATGTACATGTTTACCTAGGAGTAAGTCCAACTGTATTCCATAGAGTTTACTTCCAGATAACTCTGCATAGGATTGCACAATCTTACATCATTCTGCTCACATACAATTTAGCCTCCATGCACCTTCAGTCTTTTGGCCCCAGTCCTCTTCTTCAGGCTGGGGGACAACTGAACTAACAGCATTGTGGTATTGGTTGGCTAGGTGAACACTGACATTCTTGTTTTCTCTGTATGCTTTGCATTGGTTCAGAAAGAATGACATATATTACTAAGGATAGGTTGCATATTGGGGTGGGCAGATGATGAATGAAAGACTACAAAGTGTAGAAGAATGGAGAGAGACTGTGGTACATGCCTGTATTACTATGTGACAAAACATGTTGATGAAAGAACAGAGAAGGTAAGTCCTGTTTTTATGACTAAACATGCATGGGATTGGGCTTTGGAACTGACTGGCACTATTTAAATTGAGTGAATTCAATTATCTGATGTTCTAATAAAACTTGAATAGTTATTTGGTTTGTTTTATTTTCAATTGAACATGCACAAAATTGCCCTCTGTGGTTCAAAATAGACATTTTATTATACTGTTAGAATTTAAAATGTGTCCCTTATATATGAAATACTGTTCCCCCAGTCTGCAGAGGAAGAACAAAAAATCCTCAGGGGGAAAATACTTTATTTCTGAACTTTGATAAGTCTTCATATCTCTGGAAAGGACTGTACCATGTGCATATCAAATCTGTGCTGAACAGATATTTAACAGTAAAAGTTCCAAGGAAATGGAATTCATCCTCAGATATGAACTGAATGAGTCTCATGAGAAATTGCATCCAGGTCAAACCAGCCAATCTATATTTTTAAGCATAGAGGAAGCTTGAAACCAGCTGCCAGGTATTCTAGGGCATTGAAAAGAAAATGGGCTTTTCTGAAGAATTACACCAGGCTATGACTGCTGTAATAAGTCTAATTTTTTTCTCCATGGCTACTGTTTGACCCCCATCATAGCATATCATAGCACAAGAGAGTGTGTGCATGTGGCTGTAGAGCATGCTGCTGTTTGCACGTCTGCCTCACTGCATTTTTGTCAGTGCTGTACCTAAAATGCTTATCTGAATCCTATAGGTTAACTTTGAAAGAGTGCTTTGTGAATTTGTGAGCATTTACAAATAATTGTGTGTTCTTGGACAGGGAAAGTGGTCAGTTGGCCCATTCCACTAGGCTGAATAAGAATACGGTTCATATGCCAAATACTAGGAATTCTAAATCCATTTTCTGCATCTATAATGGGAGGGGGGTTGTCGCTAGTATTGCTCAGGAGCAAGAGAGACCGGGCTTCTTTAATAAAATGAAATAAAAATGTGGGAATGTAAAATTTAAGATTCATTCATTTAAGCACAATCAGCTCTGCAGCAAGAATAATGATAAGCTGAAGAGAATACAAATGATGGAAAAGATACAGAGAATAGTTGGCTTTACCTTGGTTGGGGAAAATATAAGCTACTGGAAGCAGGAGAGGAAAAAGTAGGTTGTATATTAGTGGAAAGAGGATCATCAGGTTGCCTTTTGTCTCTTAAGCTTTAAAGCAGGCACCCCCAACCTGCAGCCCTCCAGATGTTTTGGCCTACAACTCCCATGATCCCTAACTAACAGGATCAGTGGTCAGGGATGATGGGAATTGTAGTCCAAAACGTATGGAGGGCCGAAGGTTGGGGATGCTTGCTTTAAAGTGTGCTGTCAGTTTTGCATTGAGTGGACTAGGTTTTTTTAAAAGCAGACCGCTAACCTTTATTTGAGGCTTGAAAATATGTTTTACAACATACATCTGGAGGGTCATTCCAGATCAAGTGGTCCAATTTTTGATGACTTTTTTTACCTCATGTCCAATTTTCTTAATATTTTGTACACTTGTTTAATGAGCAGAACTAAGTTTAAATCTAAAATTTATTTTATCTCATCCTGTTTTTGAGTTTGAAATTTCAGAATATTGACAATTTTGGCTTTGCTGGATTACACAAAAACCCTAAAAGCGCTTTTTTGGGGTGGATACTTTTTTGACATTTAAAATCCTATTAATTTAAAAAAAATATTTTAAATGTTTATATAATGTAACTTAACTTTAAAACTTAGTCCATCATGTGCCATATCACATCAAAGCCCATGAAGTTCTGAAGAGATTGGTATTTTTAGTTTTGAAATATTCAATTCTGGGCTGAGCAAGGCCAAAATTGTCATTTTTTTGAAACTGCAAATCCTCCTAACTCAAAAAGAGGATGACATAAAAAAAATTAAAAACAGAGATCTGGGACCTTCTCTTATACAGTGGTACCTTGGTTTAAGAACAGTTTAGTTTATGAACAACTTGGATTATGAACGCTGCAAACCCAGAAGTAGGTGTTTTGGTTTGTGAACTTTGCCTTGGAAGCAGAACATGTTCCGCTTCCTGTTGAGTGTGTTCCATTTGTAAACTGAGTCCCCCACTGCTATGGGAAAGCATGCCTTGGTTTAAGAACGCTTTGGTCTAAGAACAGACTTGTGGAACAGATTAAGTTCGTAAACCAAGGTACCACTGTACTACTTTTAGGAAATTGAAACTGAAAGCAATATAAAATGGTAAGGTAAAAAGTCTGAGGATCACTTGACATGACTTAAGGAGCAGAATTGTAGGGACACGTTTAGAGCAGGGGTGGGAAGAACCTATAGCATGTCACCCTGGGCTTAATTTCATGCTGATGAGGAAGGAAAGGGGGTGGCAGAGAGGGAGGAAAGGGGTGCTCTACCCACTTATGCACCTGACATTGGCCTGCAGCCCTAACAAAGTTCGCAACCCCAACTGAGAAGTACAGTCATACCTCGGGTTAAATATGCTTCAGGTCGAGCATTTTCAGGTTACGCTCCGTGGTGACCTGGAAGTAATGGAACGCGTTACTTCCGGGTTTTGCCACATGCGCAGACGCTCAAAAAGACGTTATGCACAAAAGCGACGAATTGCAACCCGCAGACGCAGGTTGTGTTTGCTTCAGGGCTCCGGAACAGATCCCATTCGGATCCAGAGGTACCACTGTACTTTGAATGTGCTAAATGCCTTATTAAAATGGGCAAAATTATACCTAGGGTCCATTCCAGGAAAAAATTGTCACCATTAAACCCCTTGGAAAACAGTGGGATTGTGACCATCTTGTTTCATTAATTTTTATGGGACCTAGGTAATAATGACTGTCTGAATTGCGGAGGGTGTCATACCGTTTAAGTTGCTGCTGGCCTTTGGCTCTGTTGGGTAATGGGCCTGTACTGGGTCATTGCTCTGTACTGACTCTTGAAAAATATAAAGGTGAATATTAATACAGGTAATACCTTGCTTTTTAAAAATTTGTTGTGATTAACTTGGTATTTTTGTGTTAGGGTGATTTAAGTGCTTTAGACTCCAGTCCTACACTTACTTCCCTGGGAGTGAGCCCCACTGAACTCTGGGGCTTACTTCTGAGTATACATATGTAGGATTGCATTGTCAATAAGCTTAGGGTAGTGTTATTTCAATATTATCCTTTAGCAGTTATGTGACTGACTTCATTGAATCATTTTGTATAATTATAATTCAGTTGTTTAATTATAGCCTTAGTATTGTTTATTGTACCTTATATTTTAACATGAATATTGTAATATCCTCTATATTAAGATACTGTTTTTGCTGTGACTTTTTATTATTGCTTTGTCAGTTTAGATGTAAGCCAAAATTATCTTGAGTATTATATATAGAAAGATGCTATATAAATAAAGTTGGCATTGACTCACATTTTTATTTCATTTTTAACAGAAGTTGCAGAACTTGAAGTAAATTTACCTTGTAAGTATAGTGTTCAGAAGGTTTTCTGAGGAGTGTGCAAACTCTTCTTTTCCAATGCATATCATTTTCAGGTAGCTGCAGATATTGCAACCTGGGACTCCTTTGGGAGGAAGGGTGGGATATACATTTATTTAATAAGTTAATAGATTTATGCATGAACTCAGCTCAGATTGTAGTTATCTTTTGTAAATATTAACTGCGCAATAAATTCCCTTGTGAGGCCTTTTTCTCTTTCGTTCCTATGTTTGTTGCCTTCCCCTCTACAGCTTGTCAGAAATGTCACAATTGGTGGTTATTTTCAGATTTTTAAATTTTGTTTTTCAGGTACATGTGAAGTAAACTTTCCTGACCCAAATAAACTCCATTATTTTCTCCTAACTGTAAACCCAGGTAATCTTTTAAGAATGTATTTTGAAACTGTTAATGTTAAGTGCAGAGTGTTCTATAAACACTCAAATCCGTTTGTGAATGCGCACACACAATTTTCAGCCTTCTCTTTTGAAATTATTTGGGGAAACTGAAGGTGAACATTTGTTATTTGAAAAGAAATGTAGAGTAAGAGGATAGATATATTTATATTTTGATGGTTAATTGACAGCCATACTTGATGCATCAAAGCTATGCAGTGCCAAAAAAAAGAACTACACTAAATCAAGAATACAGTAAAAGCAAGTGGCAAAACAAAAAGGTACCATTTTTAAAAAAAATACTTATGTTTTAAAATCAAATGTAATAGACTAGGTATATGATAAGTTAAACAACAAATTAATAAATTAGAGCAAATGTTCTTTTTTTAATTCTATCAAACTCTACAATTCTATGACTCTGTGGTTTATATGCCACCTTTTCTTCCAAGGAGCTCAAGGTGGTGAACATGGTTCTCCTCCCCAGTTCATCCTTCTGACAACCCTGTGAGTTGTAGGTTAGGCTAAGTGATGGTGACCCAGTGAACTTCATGGCTGGGTGGGATTCAAACCCTGGTCTCCCAGGTCATAGTCCAACACTCTAACCATTACACCACACTGGCTCTATGACATCACAAGAAAAGTTAATGTTCTTGATCTTACGGCAAGCTGTTTTCCAAAAATCTGGTATCTTTGGTCATGGACAATGTACAGTACATGGTATGTATCAGAACATGGACAAGTACATCTACAGCACCTTTTGCTGATTCTGGTGTAAATTTAACTTGGCCTACTAGCATCTGCACAAAATTATATAAAACCTTTTTGGATGAGTTTGAACAAGTTTGAGTAGATGTAGTCCTCCAAATCCAAATGTCCCACGTTACACATTTGACTCAGAAATCTTATCCGTTGATTGCTCAAAATCAGCACATCATTCTGTGTACTGTTATACAGTTAGTGTCTTCACAAAGTTTTCATAAATGTCTTCAGGCGTCTTTACACGAGTTACAGATCTATACAAGACCATCTAAATAGCAGGGAAATCAGCCCCATACTACTTCATTTGCTACACAGTGTAAATAAAACCTTTAGCTGTAAAGCTTAACAAAAGATAAATTGCTGATAATTCAGTTGACTCTGCCAGATAACTATTTCGGGGGTTTTTGTGTTACATATACTATATTCTACATATCGAATATATGTATTCTACATATACTATATTCTATAGTATGTAGAGAATGTGTAGTTTGAAATTTAGCTAGTACTGCCACATTGATCATGCTGGTTGGAGATCGTATTTCTTGAGTCTTTCGCAGGATAAGTAGTAAGTGTTCAGCTTGCATGAAAAATAATTATGTGGTTTGGTACCATGTCAATGTAGTTGCTTTATCTGTATAATTTTCGGTTCCTTTTTAGATGGCTAGAAAGCCATCTACACTACACTACTATAGTGTGTAGTGAATAATAGGCCAAAATATTTTTCACTAGTTTTGACAAGTTGGGAATTATTGAACTTCATAGATATGGGCACTAGATGGCACTGATAGAATAACTCTGTTGTACTGGTGATGTGTGGTTGTTGGCAGTAGAACTCTCAATTCTTTAGTCTTTTCCTTCTCTCAAGTCATGAAAGTTTGGAGGCAGAACACACAATATGGCAGAACAAACAAATATGGGTCGTGATTCTAGATGCATATTCATTTACTTCCCAGGTCACTTGCCCAGAACTACCCTGTTTCCCAAGCTGTCCATTCAAATTCTTCCAAGGTTCCATGATCCCAGTTGACTCTAGTCTGCCTTCGTCCTTCTTTGAACTCCTTCCCCCCCTCCCCAGGCCCGCCTTTTGGGCTTCCCATAGCCGTCTGGTTGGCTTCAATGAGATCAGGATGTTGTACTGAGCCTGATCTAGCAGGACTTTCCTTATGTTCTGCTGCCATCACATCTCCTTTGACCATAAGCCTCATCTAGCTGAAATATGCTTAAGAACAAAGGGTGCTGAAGCCAGTTGTCTCAAACTTTCACCACCTTTGGTTAGAAAAAAAATATGAGCAGAGGGTGACATGCAACAGGGCTTTCCCTTCCTCCCTCTCCCTCAACCCCGACCCCCCACATCTGCTCCAGAGTGTCCCCCAACCCACTGTTCCTTCTGTTGGCAGATGGACACCATTGGATTCCACCTGTAACTTCCCTAGATCACTGTCTTTTCTGTGCTGTTGCATATTTCCTTTAAGCTTCTGTTTTTCCTTTAACAGATGAAGGTTATTATCAAAATGGAACATTTCAGTTTGAAATTGAAGTTCCTGATGCCTATAATATGGTGGTAAGTAATTAGAACAGTTTAATACTTACTGAGTTTCCTTTTACAATAGGCTTAGAAAAGCAGTTGGTTTTTAACTGTATGGCACTGTACTTGATTATGGCCATATTGTCCAGGTTATTCATATTCTTTTTTTAAAAAATATATGATTTTCAGTTATATACATTTCAGTAGTTTTACAGTCATTTTAACATTTCAAAGCTAGACTTCCTTCCTCCTCTTTCTGCAGTTCCTTAAATTTATTTTTATCATTTCCTGCATATTCTAAATTAACTTAACTTTTTCTTTTATTCGTGTATTCTTATGAAACTGCAAGTTATTACAAAAATCCTGCCAATGTTCTTACCTATTCACAGTTTATTTGTACATTTTCAATAAACCATTTCCATTCTTTTGTAAAAAGTTTGTTACCTTGATTTCTTATTTTTCCGGTAATTTTTGCCATTTCTGAGTAGTCCATAAGTTTTTGTATCCATTCTTCTTTCATCAGTACTTCTTTCCATTTTTGGGCAAATAACATTCTTGCCACTGTAGTTTCATACATGAATAAATTTCTGTACTGTTTAGGTAGGACTACCCCTATAATTCCCAGAAGAAAAGCTTCTTCTTTTTTACAAATGCTATTTTAAACATCTTTTTCTTCAACTTCTCTTGCTCCCTTTTTGTCTCTTGCCTCCACTTGTACTTTCTTGGAGGATTCATCCAAATTGGAGGTTTTAAGCTTTAATTCTTGCACTGTTGTTTCCAATTCCAATGTTTTATGTGACAGTTCTTTAATTTCTGTTGTCAAATTTGCGACCTCAGCAGTGTTATTATCTGTTTTCTGTTCCAGTCTCTGTATTCCTTCCTTCATTTTTTTCCTCATTTCTAATAAAATTATCATTAAATCAGACTTTGTGTCCCCTTCTGTAATTGAACCTTTTCTTTGACCTGGTGTTGTAGTTGGGCCTCATGGTGGTTTTTTTGCTGTATTAGCCATGATTTTATCAAAAAAGTTTTTTTTCCTTTTTTAAAAAAGATTCAAAATGCAAAATAATTTTTGTTATTTTAAATAATAACTAAATAGTTTTAAATAAGTTTAAAGAATATTTTAAACTTCAGTTGTCAATTTCTATATAAAATCAATACTTATATCAAAATACCAATAGGTGGCGAGCTCTCCTTTCTTATGAGAAAGTACTTAAAAAAAAGAAAAAGCCAAATAAAGAACCCCTGTAATAATTTTTCCAGCCACACTGTGTTGCTTGTGTTTCTGTCCTTGTTCTCTCACTCTGCTTTCCCTCTTATCTATTGTTTTGGTTTCTTATTTCCTGTTTTCCCTCCTTTACCACAGCATATTCACAAGATTTCACAGGATCCACGAAAATAAAAAATAGAATAACCTTTAATCCAATTATTTTTAGCTCATGTGAAAGTTTTAAAAATCTCCTTTTCCATTCACTAAAACGGTATCGTTCCACAGTGTATCTTTCTTCAGCATCTTCAAAAAGCCCTCATAATATCCACGTGTGTGGGGGGGGGGTGAGAGTTTAAGATCTTTTCGTACCAAGTCTCCTTTTCCCTTTTCTTCAGCTTCTTCAAAAGCCCACCAATTACACAGACAAGGTTCATTTAAAAAAAAAAAATGCCCCCATCTCCAAACTGTTTCTGATCTCTATTGGACCCAAATAATAAAAATAATAATATTTAACTGTCCGATTATGATGTGCTCTAAAAATATTTCCAAACCAGTCCTGATTTAAAATTTTAAATCCATACAGTTTCTGTCTCTTTTAGTTCATAAAAAGTAGCAAAGGAAATAAATATGGTTCTTAAAGTATTAAGATGAATAATTCACAAAGTTCACGTCCTGCTTTCTTCTCTTATCACCCCAATGTCTAAAATTCATTTCCAGTTTGGCAAGCTTGTTGGAAAAGCACTATAAAGTCTTAAACTTATGCATCCAATATTAGCTCAAATCACAATGTTAATTCAATTCATCCAATGGAATGCTTAAAAAGAAAAATCATTAGCGGGTAATTTATTTATTTTTTCTTAGCCCCTGCAGATTTTATTCCATGCCGATTGATACCTGCTTCCCAGGAGGGACATCCTCTTTACCTCCCTGGTGTGGATCCAATTGATAAATTCTTCTTAAATATATATATATTTTAAATTATCTTGTGCAAATTGGCCCAATTTCCTTTTACTTTTTAAAGAAGTCGCTGCTTTAATGGGGGGGGGGGCACTTGAGGCATTTTGCTGTGTTCAATCTTGGTGCTCTCGCTGCTCCTTCCAGAGCTTTGGGGGCTCTTAGCCTTCTCCAACACCGCTGGACCCTTCAGAACCCAAATGTTCCTTCCGGGCTTTTTAGAGAAGGTTCTTTTCCCGCGCTCCCTTTCCGCCTCCTCGCAGCAATTAGGTTGCTCAGGACGAGCGATCCCCGGCGTCCACCATAGCCTGCAGCAGACCCAGAACTCCCAGGTTATTCATATTCTTTATCCATTAGGAATTTGTAAAAATGTGAATGAGTTTTGTATGATACTTGGGAAATTTTCAACACTGAAGAGCAATTCTCTTGAATTAAATCTCATCAGATATAGATATAATTCTGCAGTTATCAAAAGAAAACTACCGGTATTTTGCATAGAGTGTATTTATATACTCTGTTTCTATTTCTGAAGAGCACGCAAGATACCATTCTGAATTGATTTTTGGGACTACAACTCCCATCATCCCTAGCTAACAGGACCAGTGGTCAGGGATGATGGGAATTGTAGTCCCAAAACATTTGGAGGGCCGAGTTTGGGGGTGCCTGTACTAGATGGTGTCTTCAGCTGCTTCCTGCTCTGCCCATTGTGAATCATTAGACAGTTTTTGTTTTAATTATTATTTTGAAAGCAGAAATAAAATTGTAGATAAAATCTGAAATAAAAAAATTAGCCTCCCTTGGATTTGTTCTCATGTGAAAGGTACACATATGTGTTTGTGGTTTAAGGTTTCTTAGAATAGGATTATATAAATAGCAGCTGCTACAACATTCTCACCAGGCTCTTGTTGTATTATTTGCCTCGCATAATCAACTTTTATAGAAAAATAAGTATTCTTGTTAATGTTTTTCGCACCTTTTCTGGATGAAAAAATAAGCCTGGTAATTGCAGTCAAATACACAACAGCAGCTGAAGTTTGAATGTGTGAATATGATTGGCAGAGCTATGAAATTAATTTCCGAAAGAGTTAGCTGTTGTTTTTACCAGTACGGATTATTTTGGAGCTGCATATTATAATTGTATTTTCCATTGTTAATAAAGAATCTGTTTGTTTAAATCAGTTCAAGTATGTGATACAAAGATTTGTGGGGATGAAAGAGAGAGAAAATAGAAATATTGGATTGACTTTAGAATCTAACCAGACTAATTAAGTTAGATGGTTATTAGTTATAATAAATTACTTGAATTGAACATCTTATTTTAAAATATGTTTGGTAGTCACATTTGTCTGAGTTTTGCAGAGCTGATTTCTAAAAAATAATAATACAGAATGTTACTATAACAGCTACTCACTTCAGTAAAAAAGCAGCAAAAGAAAAAGCTCTCCTCCATCCATCCGTATTGCGGTTTCTGGTTGCAGGTTAACTGGGACTGAACCTGGCCACAGAATAAAGCGGGGAGCGAATATCGCTATTTTAAGTGTCTCTTCCTCCCATATTGTTCCTGGTTCATATTTTTAAATTGTTGTTTTTATTGTATATTACCCTGAGATAATTGTATAAAAGGTGATCAATAAATTAATGATAATAATAATTTCATACATTTACAACCACACCCTTGCACCTACTCAGACCTTCATGCACACAACGGAAAAAAATCATATGAACTGAAGAGCATTTATTTTTAACGAGATTCTAGAGAGCTGAATTAAATGTACTCAAGGATTGTAGTTGTAGATCTTCTCTGAACAGATTCAGCATGTTCCTGCTTCATAATCTGCCATAAATGTTACTTAGTGTTTGCTAATGTTGATGTGGCAAGGATTAGAAGGAACATGGAGTGAGGGTTACTAGACCGGCAAATTTAAATATGCGTCACGTTTTGATGATGTTGATGATGATGATAAAACAGATTTCCCCCCACAAATGTAAACCAGAATCCGTTCCAGAAGTCCGTTTGACTTTCAAAATGTTCGGAAACCAAACTGCAGCTTCCGATTGGCTGCAGGAAGTGCCTGCAGCCAATCGGAATCCCAGTTGGATGTCCAGCTTCCGAAAATCATTTGAAAACCAGAACACTCACTTCTGGGTTTCGATCTTTCAGGATGCAATTTGTTTGGGAGCCAAGGCGTTCGAGATTCAAGTTACGACTGTATAACAAAATGCAATCTGGGATGTGGTATTATGATTTGTAGGTTTTTTTCTATGTACATGCATGCCTAATGAGAAGTTGCCTAGGAAAATAGATGTGCAAATAAAAAGCATAATTTCACAAAAGGTGGGAAAACAGTTTGTGTTGAGTCACTTCATAATAACATAAGGAGATCATTTTAAAAAAAAACAAACAGCCCTGCATTTTTGGAGACTTTGTAGAATGTAAGATGCTGCTACTAATCATAGCACCCCTGTTGCCCCCCCCCATTTTTTTTATCTTGTTTAGTAAATAAAAGATCCACATAAACTTCCTGTTTATAATTACATTGTGAAGTTTGGCAAGATACATTTGTCCTTTTGTGTGCGTTATACAACCATACCATCTTCTCCACCTCGTTCTCAAAATTGAAAGCATTGCATCTTTCTAGAGCTAGAGCCTATGGCTAAATTGTTTAGCTATACAGTCGTACCTTGGATCCTGAACGCCTTGCAAGTTGAACATTTTGTCTCCCGAACACCCCAGACCCGGAAGTGAGTGTTCCAGTTTGTGAACGTTCTTTGGAACCCGAAAGTCCGACACGGCTTCCAATTGGAAGCCGTGCCTTGGTTTCCGAACATTTTGGAAGTTGAATGGACTTCTGGAACGGATTCCGTTTGACTTCCGAGGTACCACAGTACTGACTTTTCCTCTGGCAATAGAGCAACTTAAACTTTTGCCTCTGCTACTTGCAAATTGTCTCCTTGAATGCTAACCAGCAAATAAAGCCCAACGGCAGTAAATATTCTCTATGCAATGTGGATTTACAGTTGCAATTGATATTTTTTAACCCCCATTGCCAATTTGGTTTATTATAAAAAATTACAGACTTTCAGCTGTTTGCAATGAACAGATCAGACAAAAGCAATTGAAATAGCTCAACACAGTGGTTGCTTCAAGTGGGTTCCCCAAATTCAGCTGAAATTGCAACTTTTACTGGCTTCTCCAGTCTCACTATTATTCAACCCCTTCATGGCAAGCATCTTTAGTATTTAGTAGAGCAACCTTTCGCTGCTATAACCTGCTGCAAGTGAGATGCGTAGCCATACAGCAGCTTCCGGCAGCATTCCTGAGGAGTCTGAGCCCATTCCTCATGAGCAATGGCCTGTAGTTCAGAGATTTTCTATGGGATTCAAGTCAGGTGACTGTGATGGCCACTGTTCCTTTAACTTTGAACTTGTGAACTATGCTTCCAGTGGTGTCTCTAGGAACATTCAGTGCCCTCACTATCTTTTTGTACCCTGCTCCTTGTTTGTAAAGGGGGATCTTTTCTCTTAGCTTCTTGGACCATTCTCTTGACTTAGCCAGATTTCTAACATGCAGCCAAATTAGACAGTCAGCAAATTCCTAGCCAGCTCAGGTATTTCATATGTTCCAGCTCAAGCACACCTGGTGCAATTAATTATGTTGTCTCATTTTGAACTTATTCCTGCACCACAAACCTTGCTAGAAGATATGAGTACTTGATAGGAAAAGACATTGGCTACAAAACTGAGGATGGGTGCTGTCTGTTCTCTGTATAAGTAACTGGGGGGGGTGCGGGCTGGGGTGGGCACACAGTGCAGATTTCTGGAGAGCGGATGTCCAATACAATGTGATCTCCTGATTTGTCCTTCAGCTTGGGCAGCTTTGTAATCTTATGTTTTATTTTCTGGCAGCCTCCCAAAGTGAAATGTTTGACTAGAATCTGGCATCCCAACATCACGGAGACAGGGGAAATCTGTTTAAGGTAATAAATAATTTTTATAGCTCACTTCTCTTATTCTGTTGTCAGAGTTAAATGCCAGTAGATGAAATGGCTATTTCTTGTGAGTATGTAGGAGGAAGAGAAAGAGCATAGATCACTGCCAAGTGGCTCCTCCCCAAATGGGAATTACTATAGCATAAGTATGCATGAAAAGTTTCTCCTGGTTTGCTCAAACTCCACACCAGGCAGTAATGTTTGTAAAACAACAACAAACAAACCCCCCATACAGAAGCCTGTTTTATGATGGTCTGTAGCTGAACCAACCTGGCTAACGCAGCCACCTCTCTGCCAAGAGCTTTGTTTGCTTTAAATGCTGTGCTATTTGGATCTTGCTAACTATGAAAGAGCAAGTTCAACCTGCTGCAATAAAAGAAGAGAGGCTACAACATCTTACCAAGCTGAATGCACACAGGCATTTCCCACAGGAAAGGTGCCATTTCACTTTCCTCCCCTAACCTATGCACATGTGAGACACTGATACACACCATATTGAGGCCAGCAAAGCTTGGTAGGTCTCAATCAGCTGAAAAGGCCCAGCAGAGGAGTAAGTGGGACTGGGCTTAGGCTCGCAGTTGCATTGCATTTGCTGCTACCAAGTGGGCAGGGAATCTCACTGAGGAAGAAAAGAAAAGAAAACGTGCAAGCCAGACTAAACAAACAATAAAGAAGAATCAGAGAGGGGATTCAAATGACTTGCACCCAGAACTCACCTTCTGTTGGTCACACATGCACTCACCACATACAGGCAGACACAAACCTCCCTTCCTCTCTCGATCTACCCAACTGCATTTCTTGGTCACCTTTCTCACCCTTAAAAATGCATGTCCAGGCTACCAGATAGGCAGAGAAGCAATCAGGAAAACCATCCCAATTGCTTCTCCAACACTAAGACAAAAAACTTTTTGGGGTTTTGCAATCCCACAACAGCCACAAATGACCAGGGAACTCATCCCCATCACTTTCTCCAACTACCACACACAAAGTTATGACAAAAGCCCTTTGGGGGATTGCAAGCCCCCCCCCCCTCTGCAATGAATCGGTGGGTGGGGATAATATTTCCTTCTCTTCTCCAAAGTGACCAATAGCAGAGCCAACCAGTTGGGAGATGTGGATCCTGGAGGCAGAGGTCCCAGGGCTGAAAGGAGGGCTGGCAGCAGAGCAGGGGGGCTGACTTCGCTTGGGCTGCCCAGCCACCACCTCTTTGCCACACTGTGGTTTGCAGCGTCACCTGTCTGTGGCCAAGTGAACTGCAGTGTGACAACATCTTACAATTTTATATTAGTTAGATTCATTACCCACCCTTTACCACAAAGGCCCAGGGCTGGTTACTGCAATGTAAAATGCAACATTAAAAACAGATTAAAACAAATTGCAATCACAACCAGTTGATACAAAATTGTGGGAGCAAAATGGACTGATTGAATTAAGAACCTTGATGAAAGACACAGTAGTCAGAATATATCACCAAATGATATGAGGTGGGACAAGACCAGCTGCTTACACTATTTGCCAAGTTTGTGTGCAGTCGCCTATATGTAGGGGTACACATACACACAAATGACTTTTCAGCTATTAATATCAAAATTTCTGCCATTCCTTAGCAGGCAGTTGTCTGTGTATTTAATTTGTCCCTTAAATCCTAGAGTAAGCAAAGCACATATGAATTCAGTGTATAATATGTATTTGCATCTTTATTTCAGTTTATTGAGAGAACATTCAATTGATGGCACTGGCTGGGCTCCAACTAGAACATTAAAGGTAGCATTATCTTAAACATACAAATGTGATCATCTTTATCAGGTGAAAACTTTCATAAATCAGAAACATTTGTGTAAATCTTCAGGGCAAATTTTAACAAATTTTTGTTATCTTGATTTGAATGGTGAATACATGCTCTCTAATAAGATTAGTTTCTTGCCTCTTCCAATAAATAAATGGGACCTAAATGTGGTTTCATTGTTGTTGTTTTTTAACCCAAGCTGTATTTTTTGTGTTCTATGAAAGTTTTGATTTATCTGAGGCATATGCCCCTGTTCACCTATGAAGTGGATGTGAGAGGTTGTCTCGTTAAGGCAGAAGGGAGTATTGGGAGAAGTGGGATAAAGCCTATTCCACTGTATGGTCATGCTGGAAATGGTTCGCTTTCCCCACCATAGGCTTTGCCTCATAGATACCTTGAAATCAAATGCTTTACATAAGGGTCGGGTGTTGTTGTTTTTTACATTCTTTATGGAAAGCTCAACATTTACTGAACATTTTGTGCTAGAATTCAATATTTTTGCATTTTGCCTTTGGTAAAAAATAAGTAAGAATGTGTTGTTCAACTTCTTTGACTGAATCCACTTCTTTTTCTTTTCAGGATGTTGTTTGGGGATTAAATTCATTATTTACTGTAAGTAACAAGTGCACTCACTGGCTGAGATCTTTTTCAGGTGGCCTCATCACACTTGCCCTTTGCAAAAGAAAACAGTGCTTACAGCTTCTAGAAGAGTTACCATGTGAATTTGTTACCTCAAAGGTGTTGTAGGGCCTGAAATATCACCATCTTATTTATGATTGCATAAGGTTCAGTCAACTAGAGTCTCCTTGCATGCACTTGATTAGGTAGACTAAAGCTTATGCCCTAATGAAATTACTTCTCTTCAGAGTGTTACAAGACTCTTTGTAGTCCTTATAAACATCAGGAGCCTACTTCCCCCAGCAAATCACATTGACAAGAAAGTATGTACTCTTCTCAGGTATTTTGGCACCTAAGGTGAACTACAAAATGGTGCCTTCCTCCCTGTTAAAGAAAAAGAGGAATAATGATCCACATTGGGATCTGCTGTCCCGGTGGATCCTGGGTCAACCCCGACTCTTCTGTAAATTTGGCGTTTTAAGTTTATGTTGTGGTTTTATTGGGCTCTCAGTTAACTTCTATGGATGTTACCTTATGTAAACTTCTGGGATGATAAGATATAAACAAATCTGAATCTATGTACTGTTGCTTCTTTAAATTAACATTTCTGTAATCAAACGTTCATGCTATTCTTCAGGAAAGTAAAAGGAAGGATAAATAAGGTCTTAATTGCTTTTTTCCTTTAAAACATAGCTGTCAACTTTTCCCTTTTTAAAAGGGAAATCCTATTTGGAATAAGGGAATTTCCCTTTTAAAAAGGGAAACGTTGACAGCTGTGCTTTAAAGTTATGTAGTTACAGCATCAGATGGAATATATTTCTGCTCTGCTGTTCAACTTGCAATCTGAAGTAGAGATATATGGTTTATATTTATGTCTTTGACGCTGGGAAATCTAATGATTATAAGGTATTGACAATCTACTCAGAGGAAGAAACAGTATCATTTTTATTCAATTTTATTAAAGGTTTTCAACATATAATAAAAACCAAACAAAGCTAATATTCAAAAAGAGCATAATAATATAAAGGGGGGTGAAGGGGGACACACACTCTCACACAAAAACAAAATTTTATATTCTTTCAACCTTCTATCTTAATTTTCAGTTCACAAACATAAATCCACATCTTCCCAGCTCCCACCTGGGACAGTTCCCATCTTTATCCGCCTCACACCCTGAGAAAAACCACTTGATTCTGTCTCTCACACAGAGCTCTTCTATCATTTTTTTCTCTGTATGTATCTTCATATCATATTATCATCTCATCTCATACTTATAAGTAATATTATTTAATATCAATCAAAACAAACTATAAAAAACTTAAATAATAAGGGGGGAGAGGTACTTCCACCTTCTATCTGCCAATTATGTATAATGCAGTTGTTTCCAACATTTGGCAGATACACTCCATCGTAACTCCGAGCTGTAGGTGGCATGCGGCTTTCTGCCATCTGCTAATGGTATTTCTTCAAATTTCCTCTGCAGGCCTCCATCATCGCCAGTTCTGATACTCAATCAGTTCAATATGACGTTTCATTTTAGAATGTCCCAAACTAATATTTCTCCAGTTTCTTATGGGATACTTCTTTTTGTGGATTCCAGCACATCTCAATAAAATGAGAGTTCACATTTATTTGCCAAATGCTTAATCAATAAATCATAACCTCGTGCTTTTCTCTCCTGCTTTTCCAGTTTTTTAATCAATCTTCCTTCAGGAGATTGGCAACATTTTCATCTGACTTCTCTTTAAGGACGTTTCGATGTGAGCATTTTTTATTTTTGAATGATTTTCGGCTCATGAGCTTACGACAGGCACTTTCCCCAGTAATATTTTTGTATCTCTGTCTCTGCTCCGCCATCTGCTGGGTTGAATTTATCCTCTCTTTCTGAGTCTTCATAATTCATTAAAAATGGGTCCTCTTGTTTTTCATCCAGACTCACATCACCTCCCATTTGTCTCATCTGCATTCCAATGTAAGGTTACCATATTTTTTTCAGTAAATCAAGGGACACTTGTCAACTTCAGTGGATTTTGTATGGGGACTGATTTGTAAATCCGGGGACTGTCCCCAGGAAACGGGGACGTCTGGTAACCTTATTCCAACGTCTCTAACCATACTCCAAAATTCCAATTTCAACTGCATTAACTGCTCTTTAAGCATTTGTTACAAGAGGCCCAAAATCAGCCTTCATGATCACTGGATTTCTCTTCCAGAGCTGTGATTCAGCTGTAAATTCAGCCACCGTCTCTCATCGACTCGACACAAAGAAACGGCGAGTTATCAAGTACATAAATTATAGGTTGTAGACAGTTGAAAAGTCACAGTCTGATCTACATTTTTCAAAGTTATCAGATATTTAGAGCGTCTTGAAGATATTTCCAGCCTGTTACGATATTGTATATTATATTTGTAGTCCTTAGCAATCTTTATCACTGGGTGCTATTGACAAATAGAGAGTCCAGTTTACTTTTCTTTCCAATCCATTAAAAATAATTAATGCAATGGAGATGCAAACCTGACGCCCTCGTTTCAGGGCGATTATTCGGTGTATGAGCTGCTGTAACGCCTTGTTCTAAGCGCCCCTTCCCCGGAAGTTTCACCTTCCTCCCCATAACAGTGGGCGAGCGTCTCTTCAGAACTGAGTCTGGCTTCTTATTAACCTCTTATTAACAAATAATTATCCCTGATGGCAGACAAGCTAGCAGTGGATTCCCTTCAGCTTCCTGTGCTCCACCAGAAGTCTGAAACAGCATCATTTTTAAACCTCCCTTGTAAATAATTATGCACCCAGGACCATATTTTCTACATCAAAGTTTTCTTTCTACTTCAAAGGCAGACTTTGTGAATTAACTGAATTGTGTGTGTCCTGCCCCAATTTAAGCACATTCTACAGTATAAACTCAGAAGAACCATCAGACATTGGAAAACGTAATGCCTGACAAGCTGTAGAATCTGCATACTCTGAACTCTTGGCAATTGGCTGTATATGTGCTTTACGAGGATTTATATTTCAAGAAGTATCCACATCTTCCCCCCCCCCCCCAAAAAGGTGTAAACAACAGATTATTTCAGATCACAGGTTCTGAATACTGCTCAGATTGAATAGGCTAATGACCTCTTCCCTCAGGGCTGCTGGTCCAATTAACTTGGGATGCCTTGGGCAGCTTTTATGTAAAAATAAAAATATCAGATGACCTGATCACATATAGCATGTGCAATTTAGGCCTGAGCTATGTTTTTAAAGCTTGTATAATATTTTATTTTTGTTTAAAAGACACCACATTTTGGGGATTTTTGTTTAGGGGATTTTAAAAAAAATACCCATAATGAGTGACTGTGATAGCAAGAAAAGCAGAATATGGGAGGTGCAATATTATACCACTTTCAGCACCAACCACTGCAAAAATAATTGCCAGACAATCTTCTATTTCCATAGTGATCATTTCTTTCCCCCCCTTCTCACAGTGTCTTAATTACTTCATGAGATTGTCAACTCTCAGGCTGCTTTGATTTGAACAAGGTTAAATTTTAGCCTTCATGCAAAAGAGTAGTAGTGTTTGTTGCAGAGAGCATTTTGGAACTTTGGACCTTATTGTCTAGTAAAACTAGCTAAAATTAGTCATATCTGAGACTGCAATCCTACACACACTTGGAATTAAGCCTCATGGAAATAGTGGAAATCCCATTGAAACCACTTAAGTCCCATTGCTTTCATAGGATTTATAGTTCACTTGTATACATATCTATTCTGAAGGAATTCATTCAGGTAAAAATTTATAGAACTGCAGCCTTATTTTAACTAATTTTAGCTAGATTGGGAGTGTTGCTTTCTCCTATAGGGTAAGTTGATCATTGTTTCTATTGAGTGAAAAGTTAATGGAATTATGGACATATTTATTTTGTGGAGATGTAATGTTGACATGGTTACTTGCTTGGAACTGAAGTATTGCTCACCCAGTTCTTGGATAACAGCATGTTTGCACATGCACACGCAACCTGCCGAATGGTGAACCTTTGTTGAAATGGAGGAGTGGGTGTTCATAAGCTGTTTGTGATAAGGCATAGCAACCTGATTCTTAAAGGCTTAAAGTAAAAAATTGCAGTAGGCTTCCCTAAGGGTTTTGGTTTGCCTTTAGGTTCCAGATTTATTTATCTAATTCTTATCCAGCTGTTGTTCTGCTCTAAATTCAATCTCTTTGGCTCAGTTAAGTGTCACAGATCACCTTTGTTTGGTCATCATGAATGGGCTTTGGACTTAGTGCACTCCTTCCTCCCCTTGTACACTTCAATTCTTTTCCTCACTTCCTGGTTTATGTTAACCATAGTTTGCCAGAGTATATGAACTGGGCAAACAATGGTTGTTGCAAACCATAATTCAGCTCCAAAGCAGAGTTCAAAACTTGTTTGAAGCAGGTTTCCAGTGCTATTTTGGAGGCAATGTTAGTGTGGTTAGTCCATTGTTTTTACAATTGTTGGAAATCTGATCAATAAATTCTGTTGTCCATTCCAACCTTGTAACATTAAAACAGCAACAGCAGTCGCCCAAGCTTTCTCGGTTATGATTCCAATACTATAGAATATTGAAAGAGATTGAAAACTTATTTACTGAGCTTTCAGAGGGTAAGAGATCTGCCTCTTCATTTTTCTCTGAGGCTACCAGTACAGCTTTGTGGGGTTTTAAATATATATTTCTGCTGTTGTGACCAGCTACTTTAAACCACTAGGGAAAGTGGTATGAAAGTGAAAGTATTTAAAATAAACAAGTGAGGGAAAGAATTGAGAGTGTAAATTGAATGGAAAGAACCCAAGGCACAGCCTGTTAACTTGATTGTGACATCTGAACCAGGTCTTTGCAAACACCTTAATAGTAAAACATTGGTATATAGCCTCTGAATGCTTAGATTTTCAATTTGTATAATGAATTTTCGTATATATAAGAATTTTAGTTAAATTCAATGGATGGGGTTCCAGAGATCTCATTGAGTCAGTCCAAGAGCTTGTACATTCTCTATGAGACATCTGACTCTTTTTTATGACATCAAACCATTATACCACATCATAAACAGTTTGCCGTGTGGTAGAAAGGGTTAGTTTCAAAGTTCATTTGTGTGATAGTTATAGCCAACCATTTTCTTAAATGTCTGGTTTTTTCTCTTCAGGATCTCTTGAATTTTGATGATCCTTTGAATATTGAAGCTGCAGAGCATCATTTACGCGACAAGGTGAGTAGCAATGTACTAAATATATTATCTTATGAGAATACGGCTCAATTTTCTAATCTCTTGTGTAGTCTTTGACAGGGAATGATTTCTGTGCATCAATATTTAACAAGCATCATTTAAAAAAGTATTCAGTGGATCTTGGATCTACCTTCTCCACTGCACAATGATATGGCATTAATGTTTGTGCAGAATCATAGAATCATAGAGTTGGAAGAGACCACAAGGGCCATCGAGTCCAACCCCCTGCCAAGCAGGAAACACCATCAGAGCACTCCTGACATATGGTTGTCAAGCCTCTGCTTAAAGACCTCCAAAGAAGGAGACTCCACCACACTCCTTGGCAGCAAATTCCACTGTCGAACAGCTCTTACTGTCAGGAAGTTCTTCCTAATGTTTAGGTGGAATCTTCTTTCTTGTAGTTTGGATCCATTGCTCCGTGTCCGCTTCTCTGGAGCAGCAGAAAACAACCTTTCTCCCTCCTCTATGTGACATCCTTTTATATATGCTGGATCTTCTCTTTCTGCCTGCAGGCCCCTGTGCCCACCCACCCCCCACTAGTGCCAGAGTGTTCGGTGACCCTCCACAGTGACTGGGAGCAGGAGCAAGGTGCAATGGGTGGGAAGAATTGGGGAGGGAACACCCTACAAGCAGAAGTATATTCAACTTGTGCACTTGCATCTTTCTATCCAAACCACCATTATTATACTGTGAACTCTATAAAGTTTATTGTGTCATACAATAAGAACAGTAATGAGTTATAGCCAAAGAGAATCTGATTGTAGAATCTGATTGCACAAACAATTGTAGAACAATACTGTTGGCCTATGCTGTGGAAATCGATTCTTGGAAAATGGTGAAATATATTTTTGGGGAAATTTTTAATCATATTAATTTTTTAATCACTTTCTTTTTAAAAAATTGTAACTTAAATGTAGAAGTTAATGTAAGCCCATGATATGGCATATCATATTAAAGCCCATGAAGTTCTGAGATTGATATTTTTAGTTTTGAAATATCTCAATTCTGGGCTGAGCCTTTAAGGCCAAAGTTGCCAATTTTTTTAAATTTCAGACCCTCATAACTAAAAAACAGGATGAGAGAAAAATGTAATTTTTTAGATTTAAACTTAGTTTTGATCATTCAACAAGTGTACAAAATATTAAGAAAATTGGGTTACATGAGGTAAAAAAATTAAATGGATCACTTGATATGGAATGACTCTGCACTGCTATCATCAGTACATTCTCTAGCAATTCTTGTGCTTTCCAGAACATTTTTGAGATTGAGTTTCAGTTTCTAGCACTAGACATAAAACTGCCTTTTCACAGTGAAATCCAGCCCAATACATAAATGTGCACAGGTGTTCAGGGTTTGGGTATCTCCTTACCACGCTTCAGAGATATTTTGCGGTGGTAATAGTGGTTCAGTAGCTGGCATGCACTTTTGCCTTAAGACTAATTTATCGGAATGTCAAGTTTTATCATTAGGACTAGGATCTAGGAGACCAAAGTTGAAATCCCTCACTGAGTTACCGTGGACTGTTCTGTGTGTCTCAGCCTAACCTGCCCCAAAAGGTTATTCTGAAGATGAAATAGGGAGGGAGAGAATCTCCTACAGCTTGGAGGAAAGATGGGACATAAATACATTTTGAAAGTAAGGGGTACGGGTGTGGGTATGCACAAGATACAACAAAATGTTGCAGTGTAGAGTCCTTCATGCTGTCTTGCACTCCACCCACCTTTCTAAAATAGGGATCTCTGCTGTTGCAGGGACTTAGAAGTAGGTGACACATCAGGCATCTGTTGAGTTTCTAGTGTGTCCTTTATAACTGAGTTGCTTTTTTATTTTATGAATTGTTTTTATTGCAGTGGTACCTTGGTTCTCAAACTTAATCCGTTCCAGGAGTCCGTTTGACTCCCGAAACTGTTTGAAAATCAAGGTGTAGCTTCCAATCGGCTGCAGGAGTTTCCTGCACTCAAGCAGAAGCCGCGTTGGACGTTTGACTTCCGAAAAATGTTCGCAAACCGGAACACTTACTTCCAGGTTTGCAGCGTTCAGGAGCCAATTTGTTCGACAACTAAGCCATTCGAGAACCAAGGTACCACTGTATATTACTTTCCTGGGACAATCAAAGCCATTTCCGTTAGCAGAAAGAATTACCGTATTTTTCGTCCTATAGGGCGCACCGGCCCATAGGGCGCACCTCATTTTGGGGGGGGGGAATGAATTAAAAAAAACTATTTCCCTCCCCAGCCATGGGGGCTGGGGCGGGGGAAGCCCGAGCTTCCCCCGACCCCAGCCCCCAGAACAGGCTGCTGCCCGCAAGCCTTGCGAGCCCGCGGGAACTCCCGCCGGGCATGCAAGGCTTGTGGACACCTGTGCGAAGCACGGGGCGCCCTCCGGGGAAACACACATTTCCCCTTCATTTTTGGAGGGGAAAAGGTGCGTCCTATAGGGCGAAAAATACGGTATTCCATACCAACAATATAACCAGCATAATAGAAAACAATATTGAGAACAAAGGTGCAAGCAAGACATGTCTTACATCTTTTCCAAAACAACAAGCAAACCCCTTTTCTCAACTGTTCAGGAAGGAGGGCCCACAAATTCAGTTCTGCTACTATAAAGGTTTGCTGTCTAGCCACCACCATGCAAACCTGAACAGTAAGGCTTACTGACTAGTGACAGCAGACAGGCCTCTGTGCTCAGCACATTGAAATGTTTAGCCACAAAAGAGTATTATTTCAGGGTGCATCATCAATTCTTAGACTAGCATTTACCAATGAATAAGCAATACATATCTCATGGCAGGAAAGCAAAAACACTTTTCAGAAGAAGGAGCTGCTATTTTGTGTATAATATGAATCCCGCAGATAGCTGAGCAGAGGGGAAGGGCTCAAGTGTAGCTACTCTACTCTCTTATTTGTTTGCTTTTGCCCTTCTTAATACTTTTTGTGATCATTGTAATGAATACCTTGAATCAGACTGAGATACCAAAAAAAGGGTTAATGTCTCCTAGGACCTGTTTGCCACGCTGTACGGCATGTTGCTTTGGCACTAAGGGGAATGTGAGGTCTCCTATATTAAGACAACCTGAAAAACGCTGCTTGTGCCTACATCTCTAGGAACACCCAGGGTATATTTTGTTGGATTTCAGCTTCAGTATTTTGTGTGTGATGCAAAGTGTACTACTCCTTGGCAATTAATATTTTTGGGGTGGGGAAGAAGGCAGAAGGTTCAGTTCATTACAAATCACAGTTAGTGCTAATGAACAAATTAGGTTGCATTGCACACCTGACAATCAAGCACAAAGGGACCATCTGTCCAGTAGCTGTATGAATGTCCCTGTTTTTGATTCACTCACTTAGACCTTGTCACCTTTTCAGGAAGTTGTTCACAAGCAGCAGCAGCAGCATCTTCATGAGGGTTTCTGCTGTATTTAAATCGCTGTTTTTCTACTAGAAATTCAGATGCAGAACTTTAGAATTGCCAGAAAAAGACTTTTCTGTAATTCACTTTCCACATCTCTAAGGCTTTTCAGTAACTTCACAGTACAGTGTAATCGCATCACACACACATTTTACTTGAGTGAATTCAATTACACATGCTCGACTCCACTGGTGGCAACGGCTTTCCTGGCACAGTTGCAGCACAGGAGAGGGAGATATTAAGGCAGGAGAGTACAAAGACGCCTGTCTCTCTCAGCTGCAAGACGAGCAGGGAAGTAGAGACAGCTGGAGAAGAAGAAACCCTAGTTCCATCAGCTACAAAACAAGTGGGGAAGCAACAGAGACAGGCAGAGGAAGAAGAAACCCAGCCTTCATTGCCTGCGGAAGGGAGGAGAGAGGCAAACAGAGAGAGATGCAGGCAGAAGATAAAGGAATGGAGCTTTCTTTTACAAGAAAGACTTTTCTGGCCAGCTGTATACCCCACCTTCCTATAGCTCTTTATGGAGTAAGGACGCTCTGTTCACTTTCTGGTCTGTTTCTCTGGCTTTCTAGACTTCTTCTACAACTGGTAGTATCCTGGGACTATAATGCAGACGTATGCTTTGTAGTGGGTAGAAGGAGGAAGGGTCTTCTGTTCTTCGGAGGAGAAGCAGCAATAATTCCCTCCTCCACGCGCTAAAATCTACCCCACCACTTAGAACTCAGCAGAACATTCTTCCCTTGTAGCTCACCAGAACACAAGCTAAAAAACAAATTTGTGGGAGGGTATCTAGTGAAGACAAGCATCCACTGGGGACACAGAGCCGCCAGGAATTGAGACAAGGAGTTGCAGAAAAGAATCCTTGATCTCTGTTGTGGCACAACCTTAAAAGTGCAATTTCAGCAACTAATATTACCAAAGTTTTGGATATCAGTTAGTGAAGTGTACTTAGAATTGGCAAGTGAAGCAATCATTCACCTGTTGCCATTTGGTAGCACCTGTCTTCATGAGCAGGCTTCTCAACAATGGTGATCCTCAAAACAAAAACAAAACCCCAATTTGGTTGTACAAGGTGAGCTGTGAGTTAGCTTTTCACTTATCACCCCCCACTGGAATTAAATCTGAAATTATGTTTGCTCAGATGTCTCATTGAAATGGTGAGTCAATCAATCAATCACTGGTTTTCAATAGCTTCTCAGTCTTTTGGCTAAGAAAAAGTGTAAAAATCACTGGTTTTCATTTCATACTAATGCCAAAGTAGCACTATGTATGTTGCTTTGTGAATTACCATTTCAATAGAAGTGAAGTGTCTTATTAGTGCTATTAAGTTATAAATCAAAAATGAATATGTGAAGCTGGGTCCCATAATACAAGTTGGGAGTCAGGTAGATCTTGGGTCTGGACCCGTTGAAGTCCACTGGAACATACTATTTGCACGCCACCTCATTCTGAGTGGTATGAGATTCCAGGGGTTCCATGCACTTACCAACAGAAGCAAGCCAGCTGTTAGTTACACGAAGCAAGTGGAATTAACTCTTGATTAGGAGAAAACAGGATCTGCACAGGAGTGCCAGGCCTAATGAGCAGAGCAACTCCTCTTCGGTAGCAGAAACTGAAGGTCCCCACCTTCCCACAGCGATTTGAGTCCCCTCCTCTCCAGGGCTTTTCCCAAGCAATCTCTGACTGTGCCTGCAGTTTTTTCTCCTTCTGCTTTTGGGAGACCAGGGAGAGGGGAACTTGGTGTAGCAGGAGGGGCAGACAACCACACCTCTTCACCAGCTGGACTCCTCTCTGCCTCTTGGCCTCCTTCCTCTCCTGCTTCAGCTTCTGGTTCCGATTCTGGACTTCTCTCTGGCACAAACTCTCCCTGCTCACTAAACCCTGTTAACTCTTCAGCTTACAACACCTCCCAGTCGTCGCCTTCTCCCACCACCAATACCTGGGCTCTGAGCCTTCTTCCCTTTGGGGTTCCCCAGCTGGTTCTTCCTACCATTTGTATGCGTCAAACCAGTCTGTGACACCCAGGGTTCATGTTTCATTCAGAATGGGACACAGTGGAGCCTGTGGTGTCTTAATGATATATCGTTTACTTACACATATATACAACCTGAGCCTACAGCATCAACATCCCCAGATGGCCTTGCTTCTCCCATAGCCGCAACCTTTGATTCAAACAGAAATCAAACATCACTCTCTCTGGCTTCCTAATCTGCAGCTTTTCTGCTAGCTTCTAGCTCACATCACTCAACTCTCAACTCTGGCCTTTTGCCCTAGCTACCCATGAGTTGAAGGAGGGGCCCCTACCCATTTGCCATCTCGCACAGACCACCTTCCTTTGTCCCGTTCCTTAATGGCCCATCACCCAGGCCAGCACCTCACCAGGAAGCTCACCTGGCAATTAAAAGAATTAGAAGGGGGCCTGGGCATTCAGTCTTCGCTCCTAAATCTACTTTCCATGAAATACGGAAACACAAGCTTCAGATGTTTAAAGTTTCATATCTCTCTGCACAATCTAATGTAGTGAGTCATACCATTCTATTTCTTTACATGTATTGGCAGGCTGAAATGCATATATTTCCAAGTGCAGATGCTTTCTTTCAGCAAAAATGTTACCAATATTTCTGCAGACAAATCTTTCTCTATTCCTCCCCCCCACCCTCACTGGTGTAGGAGGATTTCCGATCTAAAGTGGAAGATTACATTAAGCGCTATGCAAGATGATGAAGGGAGAAGGCAGGACCATGGATTGTGTATGCAATGTTGATTGGTAACTTGATAAAACATCAAAAAACCTGGAATGTGCTTGTTCTGTATCCATGTTGTTCTGAAGAAGATAACAAGCTTCAAAATAGTTCATGTCAAATGGTGAGTTCACCATCAATACAAGAAGAAAATTGTGTATGTTGGTTGGAGAAAAGGTTGTTTTCTTAACTCTTGACAATGTTTTCTTTTCTGAAATTGTACTGTATATCTGGAATTGAGATATGCTTGAAACTTAGAAGAAATCACTATTAAGATTATTTTCACTCAAAAAATTATTCATGTCTAGTAAAAATTAATGGTATGTTTACTGGAACACTTAAAAATTGGCAATAAAATTGGTCTTTATAGAACTTTTAAGACGCATAAATATTTGCCTTTGCTGGAACTGAAAAAAGAGTCCTGCACTTGAGCAAAGGTAATTGCATAAAGCCAGTTTATACCTACTGTTGAAGTTCTTATATTTAATTTAACTTTTTAAAATTGCTGCTTTCTCTTCCTTTTTTGCCTACAGTGTTTTTAGTTTGCATTTATTGTGCAAAGCACTTACTGAACCCAAGGCTGATTCTATGGCCTACATATAAATGCAGTGTATTATTTTTAAAACCCAATATTTTACATGGAGGTGCAATGAAAGGGAAGTGTTTTTTTAAACTATCTTTTTAAATTTTAGATTTTGCTGTGGAAAGTTGATATTTCAGACTATTATATAATAAAGTGACATGAAGTTTCAAGTAATAACTTGGGAGAACTACCCAAAGCTCTAGCACCTAATCCATGAGAGCAACTTACTTCATGCTGCAATTTCATTATCACACTCTTGCAAACCAACTCTTCTGGGATAAAGGCATAGTTTATGAAGAGTGCTTTTAAAGCCTACTTAGCTAGCTAGCTCTATATCAAAGAATGTATATATCAGGTTGCAGCATGCCTGTTGGGTGGGAGGGTGCATGTACCTCAGGAACTAGTTCAAAGCAAATGCCACACACAAAGTGTGTTTATTATTTTAGCCTACTTCTTCCTGACATGTTGATCACAGCTGATACTGTAACTGGCCTGGGAATCAATTGAGAGAGCCATAGTCATCAAATTTTATTTAGGTTTCATACATAAAAGTGAAATGTATTTTGGGTTACTGTGATAAATTACCGCTAAAGCCAGAAATGAATAAATGTTTGTGTAGTTTCATGCATATGTTGTGCAAAACATTTCCTGCCTCAACAGTTACCTGTGCCATATGAAAGAATCCATTTAAATTCATCAGGTGCTTGTGAATTGCTATTATTGTAAAAACTGTAAACTTTGATAATGAAAGCCCTGAAATTGCACCATGATTTTCATAGATTTTATCAGTGTAAGACATTTGGCTGTGCAATTGTTACGATCTAGCCAAAGTTATATGCTTTTAGGTCCCATCGATTTGAATGGGAAATATTTAAACATAAGTTTAACTTTCCTTTTGCCATCAATGATACTTTAAAAGTACTTAACCTTTGGCGGGATTGTACCTAGTGTGTCTTAAAGATCTGTTGCAAAACATATAGTTCCTTAAACTTGCAATGCTGCTACTCAGAACTTGGGTAAATGACCTTTTCTAGTCACTGATGTTGGTGTGCAGAGTTGGGCCTCTGAGAAATTATTCAAAAATATTCCTCTGAATCTATAAAGCAATGTGTAATTTTATTGAAAAGTATGAAAGAGATTATTCCTAATCAGGGCAGTTTTCATGAGAAGCATTTTCCCCTTTCTTAAAAAGAAAATACTGAAACAGCAGGAAAGATAAGAGCCACTGCACATTCATCTTTGTAATCAGTAACATGAATATAGCCTGAAGGACTGTTTCCCCTGTTAAACATGTATAATGTGGAAATACATTTCTTTAGGTATGATTAAAGTTATCCATAGTTTTACCATCTGCTGATTTGTCCAATAAGTGACCATCCATTCATGTACCTGGGAAGAACTTTTCACCTTAAGAAAATATCCTAAAATGGGTGCTCAGTAATTCATGCTCTTTGATATTGTATTGGTGTCAGATACTCGTTTTGTAAAACAAAAAACCCTGGCCACACTCTGGACCTTGTTTTCTCAACTGGGCAGCAAGAGGGTGACCTGAAAGTAGGGGGATATTGACATCAGTCCCTTGTCATGGTCAGATCACTTCCTGTTGAGAGTCAGGTTTTCAGCACCTTTCCCCCTCCGCAGAGGTGGGGAACCTAGGAAGATGGGCCACCCTAAGAGGCTGGTGAATCCAACAGGTTTCTAGGTGGCTCTGGAGTGTTTTCCATCTGATATGATGCACTCCTGTCGAAGCCCTAGCTGACCTCTGGAATATCCAAATGATGTGGGCTGTTGACACGATCACTCCAGAGCGCCCTCTTCTACTTCATGGAGTTCTTTTGGCTCCCTGGTATATCCCAGAGCTTAGGCCAAGGAAACAAGATGGGAGACTGCTGGAACGCAAGTCTAAGAAAACTCCAATGCAATTGAAACTGGTGAGGGCTCCTCATCAAGCCCACCTAGTGGCTTACTTTGCTGCCTCCATTGCATCCTTATTGTGCCATTCAGCAGAGCTTTTCTGGGTAGTGTGGGGCCTGTTACAGTCTGGCATAAAGGAAGTGACAGAACTGACAGTAGTTCGCTGTGACTTCTTTGCAAAGCATTTTGAGGATAAAATCACTTGCATCTGCCAGGACCTTAACTCCAGTGTTACAGCAGCTGAATCTTGAGAGGCGTTCAGCACACTGTCTAGTCGTGTTATGTTAGATGCGTTTAAGCTAGTAAGGATTAAGGATGTGGACTGGGTCCTTGGGTAAGCCAGCGTGACCACGTGCTCTGGACCCCTGCCCCTCTTGGCTGGGGGCAGCTGGCTGGGCCAGGAAGGTGATTTTGGGAAATAAGTAATTACCAGCCGGTTGCTAATCTCCCCTTGGGCAAGCTTCTTGTGTGGGTGGTTGTGGACCAGATCCAGGTGCTCTTGGAGGAAACTGATTTTCTAGATCCATTTTAATTGAGTTTTGTGCTCAGTTTTGGCACAGAAACTGCTTTGGTTGCCCTGTAAAATGACCTCTGCCATCAACCATGGTATTCTTCTGGAGCTGCTATCCAAGTTCTGGGTGGGTGGCACTGTTCTGTGGTGGTTCCAGTCATACTTGGATGGTTGTCTCCAGTCCAGAGGGTGTAACTTGGGGAGTTCTCTTCGGCTCCGTGGAGCTTTCAGTGTGTGATTCCTCAGGGTTCAGTTTTATCCCTCATGCTGCTTAAACAGTTACATGAAACCTCTGAGTGGGGTCTTGGAATATGTTGTCAGCAATAGGGCTTTGCCCCATATTGGATATTGAAATAACATTGTGATAAGTGTTTCAACAAGGCAATATACCATTGAACAAAAGGTGAAACCTGACAGCTTCCCAGGGGGTAGCTCAGCTGAACTGATTCTTTACAGATACTTTGCACATAATTTGCAGGCACCCTGTCTCCTGCTATGTTTGCTCTCTCCCTCCTAACCAATAAGAAAAGATCCAGCAGCAAAATAAACAAGGCAAAGCAAATAAATAACTAGACAAAGAACTGGAAAGCACTTCCTCCTTCTCTCACACTCACCCCCGCCAGTGGAAAAAGGGTGGGGAAGAGTTTTTGTTTTTATTTTCTGGTGGTGTTTACATGGTTGATTCCCCCAGCTTTCCTCCATATCAAGGGATTGGTGTGATGAGGGCTTTTTGCGTGTCTACTCACAAGCAAGCCCTGCTGAATTCAATGAGGCTTACTCCCAGGAAAGTAGAAGTAAGCTTAGTTGAACTCAATGGGGCTTATGCACGCACAGATTCCACTTAGACCTCTGAGTGGGGAAGCAGATGCAACTTTAATGGTAAAGGCCCTCCACCGCAGATAGGTCGTGATATATTGAGGTATTGCGATACTTAGCTGGTGATGTATCGTGATGTGGAAAACCAGACATTGCCCAGCCCTAGTCAGCAATATGCTGATGGAACAGCTCTACTCCTTTACATCGACAGATGTGGCAGTGGACGTGCTGGACCGTTGCCTTGCCTTGGTAATGGACTGGATGAGATCAGGTATGTCGCTTGGGGGCACGTCTGGATCCCCTGCTATTGCCTGAGACTCAGGTGACCTCAGTGGCCTGCAGCTTCAGGAGGTGGCCTGTCGGTGCCACAATCTGAACAGGAGAGCCTGACTTCTGTAGTCTGTGCTCTGGTAGCCTCTAGGTTAGATTGCTGCAACATGTTAAATGTGGGGCTGCCTTTGAAGATGGTTCGGAAACTCCACACAATTATTATGTTTTCTGAGAAAAAAGCTGGGTGGTGGTGAAGCCCAGAATTCAAGAGGGTAGAGATGGGGGTCTTTTATTATGGCAGACAGGTCTAGTTTTTTTATCATAGTCAGTTATTTTCTCACAGCAATTTGCAGGAAAAATTAGCAACTTTCCCATGCGGATCTATGCCCTCCTGAATGCAAGAAATTGAGAGATCTCCATTGTATCTCCAAAAATCCATTGCGGGGGAGGGGGGGACAAAGGCCAACCCCACACTGACAAAATGACCATTGGGATAACAAGAAAGGTCCTTCTGGGTGGGGACTGCTCCTAACTTTGAAACACCTTTTCTAGAGAAGTTAGACTGGCTCCCTCCTTGTTGCCTCTCAGTCGGCAAGTGAAGACTTTCTTGTTCCAACAGGCTTTTGGGAACCAGCTGCTTTTAATGAAAGGGCTGGTCCCACGCTGTTTCTATTGTAATCATCTGTATGTTTTAAATAGATTTATACATACATATGGAGTGAGAGTGTGTGTGTGATTGTTTTTTAATTATTATTTTTCCATGTTTTTTACTGTTCTTAGTTTTTCTGTAAGCTGCCTGGAATCCCAGTCAGGAAAAGGGCAGGCTCAAACAAACAAACAAACAAACAAATAATGGGGGGCCTATTCTATTTCTCCTTCACCCTTTCCCCTATTCAAGTCAATGAGAAAAGAGGCTTTTATCCCCGAAAACTTGTTGAATGGTAATGCTGGCCCTTGTGGCAGATTCACACTAGTTCTCATTCCAAAATTTGTCATGTTTTAGTCCCTTAAAAGAGGCGACTGCATGCCTGCCAATTTCATTCAATTTTGTAAAAATGTGGATGGAGCTACAGCCATTTTTAGATTCCCCATTACTGTCATACCTCGGAAGTCAAACGGAATCTGTTCCAGAGGTCCATTCGACCTCCAAAGCTTCTGATTGGCTGCAGGAAGTGCTTGACTTTTGGCTTCTGAAAATCGTTCGAAAAACAGAACACTCACTTCCAGGTTTTGATCGTTTGGGAGCCAAGGCATTTGAGATCCAAGGTATGACTGTATAGAAAATGGGAATAAGCTTTGTTTTTAATTGATCTAATCTGGTCCCAAATAACAAGCCAAACTGGAAAGACACAGAACAGCTCTTAAGAAATTCCGCTGCTTTCTAAAGGTACAGATAAAAGCCTACTGTTGTGGCCAGTGCACTACTAACCAGTATTTCTATCTTTACAAAATTTGGAATGGCTTCGTAGATATGCTCTCTGTAACATTTTGTTTTGCCCTGAGCAGAGAAGAACATAGCATTCATGTATGTAAATGAAATGACATAGTTGTGGACTACAAAGACTGAAAACGTAAGTGCAAGGGAAATAACTGTGTAAACAGATGGCCATCACCTTAGTAGTTATTAAGGAATGAAGATGAGTGGGATCTGATTTCAAAGAAGAGGAAATTACAAGGAAGATGGTCCTGAAGTGCTTTATAAAAGGTAAGATGCACTTAAAAGCCTGAGCCAAAGGGAGATTCAATCAACCAACACAGAAAAACAACAATAGTGTCTCAGAACAGAATTTCATATCCTGTAGAGTAGATACACAATCAAGTACATTTTTTAAAAAGTTTTCTATCACTTTGATTTATTTGACTAGTAAGTTGAATGTGCAGCCCGATTCTATGCATATTTGCTCAGAAATAAATATCCACTGCATTCAGTGGACTTTCTGTCAAGCACATGGGCACAAAATTAAAGCCTTACTTTGTTTTAAAAAACTATTGCAGTGCTTGTGAATCCTCGTAAGGTGTAATGGGCAGATAGCATAAAATATCAGTGATTATAATCATGTCAGTCTGTATAATTTGAAACCAATAAAATTAATTTCTTGTGATTATGGTTACGATTGGAACTTTAAAAAAATGAAAACTGACAGTTGTGTACAAAACCACCACACTTCTTAGTCACCAGTTGTGCAACGCAATGGAAATTTTCAGAGATCTTGCATTTCTTCTATAGACTTGAGGGGAATTCTGAACTGGTGAGAATTGGGGGGGGGGGATTGCAAAATATAGGGAGCAAGAAGTTTGAAATAATCATTATACCGTATTTCAATGCTTTTCATTCAGTCATAAAGCTGCTTATGAACAATACATAACTAACATACTAGAACATTGCAATTAAAACATAAATCACTTAAAAGAATTAGGATATAGATTTGTAGAGTTGGAAGGGACCCCAAGAGTCATCTAGTCCAACCTCAGAATAACAATTAACAAATCATCAGTAAAACAACCACCTTCTATAAAATATTATTAACAAAATTCACAAGTTCCATTAATGAACTGAATTTTTAAACTTCTTATTTTTCTCCAATATTTCCTCACTTGGTTTTAGCTTTTTAATATATTTTTCATAGTTTTCATAGTTTTAACATTTGAAAATATAGCTCTTACCCGTTCTGCTGACAAACATCCATCCTCTTCCAGTTCTTCCATAACTTTTTCTCCCTTTTTGACATGTATCAAAATAAAAACATATCAAAATAATTTTGCTGGTCAATGGGCTTGAATCCATACTCTCAGAATCAATGGGTAATATTTACTATGTTATAATTAGAATTGTAATCAGTGGACTTAAGCCTATGGGTATGGCTAACAGTACCCATTAGGAAAAGAAAACAAAAGAGTAAGACTCTTAATTGTTTGTTTGTTTTTTAAAAGATCCAGTGGACAGAGCAAGATCAGTTGAAAGAAAAGACATTTGAGGAGTAAAATAATTCATTCAAGCTCAACTGCAACATACTTCACAAGCTCAGTTCAGTGGGATCAAAGTGACATGAAAGCTCCTGACAATCTGTTAATCATTCATCCTGATTTACTCACACAAAAGCTCATGAGGTGGTTCTCAAACCTTTTTCTCTGAGCCACATTTTCAGAATAAAAATTTCCTTGTGCCACATCAATATTTTTACTGGTAAGAAATACATTGGAAAACAAAAAGTGACAACAACTAGCAGCGCTTGATTTATAGAAGAACACAACTACTTTATAATGTGATCACTGGACATCCAGAAAGTATAAAACAAGGCAGTGACAGAAGAACATGGATCATTCCCAAAATATATTGATTGCCCTTGAATCTCCCCACCACACTTGCCTTCCTCTCCTGCCAAACCCTTTGAGAACAACTGGACTGGGCTATGCCCAGTCTTTACGGAGCATTTCTTCTGCTAAATTTCCAAGAACAATGAGCATTCATCTTGATTTGCTTGGGCAGGGCTTATTCATTTTCCCATTAGCCATCCTGCACTTTTCAGAGCATTTACCATCACTTTCTGAACTGCAAAAAATCTTGGGATTTTTTAAAATTAGATTTGTTGCACTAGGGCGGCAGAGTGGTTTCATCCACTTAAATGGCACACTCCCAGTATGTCTGTGAATCCCTCCCACACACAAAATGACAGTCTGGAGGAGAGCACCCTGTCAAGACCACCATCACAGAGCAACAGCGCCAGGTCCGCAGCAGCATGAAATTGGCAGCAAATACAGGATAGCAGAAGGCAGAATACAAGAGCAGGGTGGAATTAGCAGCAGCGGAGCCAGGTGAAGTTGCACTAGGTGCAAACTATTAACAGCTAGAAATCAATTTAACGAGAAAAGGTTAACCAAAAACGTCATGTTAAGTTCAGTAAGCATTATCTTGTGCCTAGAGAGTAGTATTGGAATTCAAATAGCTCCGTGTTAACACCCCTTTTTTTATGCACTTCATAGAAACAGAGAATTGAAGATTTGGAAGTGATCTCCAAGGGCCATCTAGTCCAACCCCGTGCAGTGCAGGCACCACAGTAAAATAATAAGAGCAGGTTGTTTCTCTGCTCACACGGGCTCTTTTCCCTCCTCTTCTGTTATTGGAGTCTGAGCCCCCACTCCTATTTTCTCCTCTCTTTTACCCATCCCACACTTGCTCTGCAACAGTGCTGGGCCTCCCCCTGAAGCGAAGGCGAGTTGCTCTTTGGGGTGCATGAGGATAGCAGCCATATTTTGAAGAGCAAAACAGAGGAAAGCTCATGCACAGACACCCACCCGTGAAAGAGCACGGCCTGTTATTTCACGGTGCATAAACCTTAGCCACGTGGCTGGAGGTCTTTATATGTAGCCAAACTATTCATCACTATCCTACTTGCACTCCTTGATGTCTCCCCCTTAAAAACACTTCTTCCTGCCAGTTGGGGTATCAAGCCCTGATCCGCCAGAACCCGAAAGATCAGCAACATGCAGGTACCAATAACAGCAGCACGATAATTGAAAGTGAGATGATGAAGGAGAGAAAGGAGGGGGGGGTTAAAATGCTTTTTAAAAAAACTTTGAAAAAGAACAACACCCTTCTGCCCAGGGTTGCCCTTTTTCCAAGAAAAAAACAAAGTAAAGCCACTTTTCTTCTTTTTGCAAACTGTAAAGGTAAAGGGACCCCTGACCATTAGGTCCAGTTGTGGCCGACTCTGGGGTTGTGGCGCTCATCTCGCTCTATAGGCCGAGGGATCCGGAGTACAGCTTCCGGGTCATGTGGCCAGCATGACTAAGCCGCTTCTGGCAAACCAGAGCAGCGCACGGAAACGCCGTTTACCTTCCCGCCGGAGAGGTACCTATTTATCTACTTACACTCTGACGCGCTTCCAAACTGCTAGGTTGGCAGGAGCTGGGACAGAGCAACGGGAGCTTACCCCGTCATTGCGGGGATTCGAACCGCCGACCTTCTGATTGGCAAGTCCTAGGCTCTGTGGTTTAGACCCCAACGCCACCCGCGTAAGCGTTTACAATTGTTTAAAGGCCCACATACATTACCTGTGTTCTTAAACTCTCTCTGCACATGTTTATGGGCACTGTAGCTCTTTTGGGGTGGTAGAACGTCTGTACATGCTCAGAGGTCCTCTCTCGGCCAGACTGCTAAGTGTACTAGCAGCCTGATCCTTGCTTGCAAACTGTCGGACCTGTCAAATCCAGCCGCTGAGGGAGGCATGAGCTCTCCCCGCAGAAGCAACAGGGTGTAGAAGCCGCCTTCACACCTTGGGAAGAGGAGTGAAAGGTGAAGAGCAGGCAGACTCTGCAAAACTTCACTGTTCATTAAGGGGGGAGAGAGAGACTTGTTCTAAACAGGTGGGGGAAGGATTTCCCACCACTCATCCTGAGGCGCCGCCTCCAAAACAGCTGCAGAATCTTTTCCTGCCCCAGATGCAACTCACCAGCCAGACCTCCTGCCTTTCCTCTACCATAAAATCATGCAATGGCCAAAAGTAGTGAAATGAAACCAGGAGGGGGGGGCTTTCCCCAACCTGGCAGGAGAGCCATTCATCAGCTGATTTGCCCCATCCCAGCAGGCACCATGGGGGCACACCATAGAAAGAGGAAAGGGTGAAGAGGGATCCTTGCATGCACACTTCCTGGCTCTGCTTGCAAAGCAAGTCTTTGTACAGAGAGCAGGTGAGTCCATAGATATGGGGGAAAGGAAAGAGTGATACACACACACACACACACTCTTCCTGGTTCTGTTTGCAAAACCTCAGGCATTTTGCTGATTTTTAAAAAATTCCCCCAGATGGTGATTTCACCCTTTGAATCTCATACAGGTCTGGGGAAAACTGGACATATGGCAATCCTGGATAGCACTCAACAGGGTGGCCATTGGCGACATACCCAGGCCATCTCTCAATAGCATGAGGAGTGGGGTAAGGAGACCTCCATACTGAAATGAAGTTTAGGGAAGGGTTACCTTCCAATGTAATCTGTGCATTGCTGAAGTTTATCCTTTCAACCTTTACCACATCTTAAAGAGTTATTAGAATGCCAAGAGTTCATTGCCAACTCCACAGAATCACGGTTCCAATCTTGATCTTTTAACATACCCCTGTGCATTAATGTCAGGGGAAGGGAACCCCAAAGGTTCTCTGTCTTCCATGGGCCCACACCTGACAGCACAGTCCAAGAAGGCAGAGATTCACATCTGGGATGCTGGAGGGACAGTTTTATTTCACATCTGCTGCTTCACAGGCCCATCTCCACCCAGGCCCCAGGCTGTTTTCACCTATATGTAAGATCTTTCAGTGGGCTTCCCCTCTGGGGTGCCTGTCTCCTGTGCCCAGGACTGCTATGCCTACCCATAGGAGAAGGGGACTGATGCAGGGATTTTGCCCCCACCCTGTGGGGTTCATAGGCAGAACCTGAAGATAGCCTCTGGCAGGGGACTCCTTGCAGGGAGATAACATTTTCACCTGAAGCTTTTTTGTTTCCAAAAAATTGGAAAAAAATGACTATGCTGGAATCTTTCTTAGTCTTCCAAGAGGATGTCCCCCCCGCCCTGCATCTCTTTTTTTCTCTGACACACTCATGCCACCTAGCCCCCCCCCCACTGATGTATCGCCCAGCTGCCTCCCTCCTTCCTGTTGCTTAGCTACTATCTCAAAGCTGGGCAGTTCCTGTCTCAGCTGTGCATTCTCAAATCTGCCTGTCTCTCTGCTTCATGAGACTCTGAAAATGGGGTGGGGTGGGGGTGTTGAATATTCCCCCTCCTCTTCTGTTAGAAGCTGATGTTCCTGCGATTGCATTCCCCCATCTTCTGATTCAGACCAGCCCCTGACACAACTGGATTTCGTTGTATGAGTTCACAACGCGTTTAACTGAAATGCTTCTTTGTTGTGTCTAGATCCAGCCTAATAGTAAACAGTAAAATTAAATATCAACAGTTCACACTTATCAACCACAATAATTACCAATTTATAATCAATAAAAATAACAGCAAACCACAATGCATAAAATACCACAAAACATACAAAACAATGCAAAAAGATCAAATTGAGAAACAAAGACACACAACTTATAAAACTGTTTTGAAAAAATATCCCTGAACTCTTCTCTTCCCAGCTGCTGTTCTCGAACAGCAGTACATGTGAAAAGGAACCAGGAGTCTTAGTAGACCACAAGCTGAACAGGAGTCAACAATGTGATGCAGCAGCAAAAAAAGCTAATGCTATTCTAGGCTGCATCAAGGCTAGCATCCTGATCAAGGGAAGTAATAGTCCCACTCTATTCTGCCTTGGTCAGAGACCACACCTAGAGTCCCGAGTACAGTTCTGGGCACCACAATTTAAGAAGTTGGTTGACAAGCTGAAACGTGTGCAAGATGATCAAGGGTTTGGAAACCAAGCCCTATGAGGGAGTTGGGTATGTCTAGCCAGGATAAAAGGAGACTGATGAGCAATATGATAGCCGTCTTCCAATATCTCAAGGGCTGTAACATGGGAAATGGAGCAATCTTGTTTTTCCTGCTCTGGAGGCCAGGACCCGATCCAATGGCGTCAAGTTCCGAGAGAGGAGATTCTAATTAAACATCAAGAAAAAACATTCTGACAGTGAGAGCTGTTTGACAGTGGATCAGACTCTCTCAGGAGGTGATGGGCTCTCTTTTCTGGGAGATTCTTTTAGCAGAGGCTGGGTGGCCAGCTGCATTGCAGAGGTTGGACTAGATGACCCTTGGGGTCCCTTCCAACTCTAGAATTCTCTGATTCTATAAAGCAGCAGGATGAGCATCATCAACTGAAGTTCTTCTTACCACACAGCTGTTAAAGACGCATTGGCAATCATATCCAAAATAACTCCATTTAAGCAAACTAAATTTATGCATATTTTCTTACAGGCCCGCCCAATCAGATTTACTTCCTAGTAAGTGCACTTAGTTTTGCAGCCTTTTTCTCACTCCCACATCACACTTTGCTGGAGAGGTCAAGTAGACCCAAACCCTTGCTTACTGTTTTGTGACATCTTGATTGGTTTTGGTTGGTTTGAATTTTTCAAGTTAAGAGTCACTCTGGTGCTTAGCCATGCTTAATTCCTCTGCTTAGCTTATTATTCTCTCTACTAGAAAAGCTTATTTATTTGGCATTGCATATAGCAATGGCATATAGGATTGGCGAAGAGCAACACTGACCCTGCTGAGAAATAAGTGTCAGAACGTTGTCCCTGCTCCACCACATCCCTAGGTGTGAGAGATGTCAAGGTCATTGAGAGCACTTGAGCACAGAGATTTCATCCAAGGACTGTAGCAGGAGAGGAAGGGGTTAAATTCATTTCCCATGCCTGATCTGATGCCATTAATTATCAAACAGACACCCAGCTGTTGTTGGTAAGTTGTTGTGAGGTGAGGGGTCTACAAGAGCTTATTCCCAGGTAAGCACATATAAGATTGTAGCCTTAATATTATGCCTCTGTGTACCAGAAGCAGGAAATAAAACCTACCGTATCTTAGGCTATGTTTCCATGCAAGTCTTTCTTAAATCAGTTAAACAAATTGTAAATAGGATAATTAAAAAGGACAAGCAGTTCCTTTCCGGAGCTTTCTGACCTGTATCCGTCCTCTGTTATGCTAATTTCTCATTAACATTCCAGCTTCCCTGAATTCACAACTGTTCCATCCTTTGTTGCTAGAATTTGAAAGGTTCCATAAATAGAAGGTTCTGCAGTAAATTTTCTGTTGCCTGCACTTATTAAAAATCAGAATTTAATCGCTGTTGACAGCTCTTCAGCTAACTAGGCTGCCTTCAGCATATGGTCTGCCTTTGGCAGCTCTTTTACCGCAATAATATATCTGAAGCATGCATTTAGCTTCACAGTTTGCCTGTACCCAAACTGGTACTGTTTCTTTATTACTTCCCTCTCCTGATTGCTTGAAGACTGCAATCCTGTACACTCTTACCTGAAGGTAAGCCCCACTGAGGGGAGTGGGACTTTCACCTGAGTAACTAAATATACATAGAACTGCACCTGGAAAATATGCTCCAAATAAACAAAGGGAGGTGGAGTGATCCTTCCTAATTAGGAAACTCAGGAAGCTGCCTTCTACTAAGACAGTCTTTCTGTTAATCTGTCCCAGAGGTAGGCAGCCTAAGACCCATGGGCCGGAAGCTTAACCAGCCCATGAGCCACCCCCGAACCAAGCTGCCCACTTGGTGAGTCCCCACGCACTGCACTAAACCGGTGCAGTGCAGCACGGGGACTCTCTTCCGTGGCTCCGGAAATCACTTCTGCGCATGTTTGCGGCACCGGAAATCGCTTCTGCACATGCGCAGATGCCGGAAATTGCTTCTGCGCAGGCACAATTTTCTGTATCTGGGCATGCGCAGAAGCGATTTCCGGTGCCGCGAACATGTGCAGATGCAGTTTTTGGCGTCGCACTGCATCGGTCCGGCCCACAGAGGATCTCTGCGGGAGTGTTCCAGCCCATGCCCGTTAAGCCTTGCTGATCCCTGATCTAACCCTCTATCATCAACACTGACTGGCAGAGGCTCTCTCCCACAGCAGGGAGCAATCCTTCCAGAACATTTGGAAGTTATTCCCCGTTATCTCTGTTCCTCAGAGATAATATGATAGACAGTATCTATCGTTAATCACCACTCAATTATTTCTGTCAACCAAGATGACTAAGTGGCCATGATGCCTCCCCAGAAGTCCCAGAACTTTTTGCTATGTATCTCAAAATCCTTTTGTTAGTAGATCTTACATGAGATTTAGTCCATCCCCATTGTCTCTTTGGTTCCTCATTTTGTGAACTTTGTGTGCCTGCTTTTCTTCCTACTTTCCAGCCTCCTGCTCAAGAATAGATTTAAACATTCTAAACAAAAGGTAAACAAGTTGAACATCCTCTTCCCATACTTGTTTACAGCATCTGGAGGTGAAGCTTCAACTGTCTGCATATTTGGAGTCAAGGCAGCTGTTCCTTTGGTCACTCAGTCTTTTAGCATACATGAGCAGCTGCTGTTGTGTCTTGGGGTGTGTCTTAGGAGGACATACCCAAAATAGAAATTCAGTCCACATTTGGCCTGGATGTTTTCATGGTTAAAGTTTTGTTTCCATCTTTTATTTATTTTTATTTTATTTTATTGGGTTTTATAAACAAGAATAATGTTATACAAATAAGTATACCAAGTTTTTAATGTCACTTGTAAATCACAAAATAGCATAATAAATGTTGAAACCTATCTACAGCATATGTTTCATTATGAGTGGTCAATGTAAAAATTATTGGTTTATGAATTGGTTTAAACAATTAGGAAGAAGAGGAGGGGAAGGGGGTGTTTCCATCTTTTATGATTGTTTAAAATTATTTGTATGCCACTTACCATTTAGATAGTCTTGAAGCAGTTCATAATGATGAAAAATTAAATTGATTTTAAAAAGTGAAAATATCAGATGATCAAGAAATTGAGGACTTTAGAATTCAGCATTAATGATCAGGAAATGCCGGAGCAAGAGGAAAGTTTGCAGTAAATGTCAGAAACACGTCACTCTTCATTGTGTGCAAATAACTTTTGCTCAGGAGGATTCAGTGTCTCTGAATTATGAACAGCACAATCCTCACCATGTCCACTCAGAAGTAAATCCTACAGAGGTCAATGGCGCTTACTCCCAAGTAAGTGGGTTAGGATAGCAGCCTTTTTTTCTTAGGGATGCCTCTTTGCTATGCCCTCTTCAAGCTGTTTGAAATGTAGTGGTTACTTGGGCATCGATATAACTGTAAGAAAACACCTAAGTCTGCCATTTGATGTAAACAATCAGGATGGAGCACTGCTGACAAATTCTATTTGCATGTCCGTTCCACAGCCTGCCAGACTTCTTTAATTTTCATGATTTTTTTGCAGAGGGCAACTGATGTATTTGTAACAGCAGCTCAGCCAATGACTATGTGGAACAAGCAGCCTAGCCTCTGATTGGCACTGGGATGGCACTGATTGGCACAGTGCCTGTCCTAATGGAACACAGGAAATTATAGTAGGGCAGTGGGAAGAGTTCAGCTCCCCTTACCAGCCTGCACTTTTTGTGGTAAATATTAGACTTTTGAACTCACACGTAATGTGTGAATGGGGCAGACCCATAAGCAACAAACATGGCTGCCCTCACCATTTCTAGTTTGGCCCATTTTGACTTTTAAATGTTAAGAAACAGTTACCCTCTATCTAGTTTCTGAACAAGCTCTGCTCTCGAGAATAATAATTATCATTTTATTATTAATACTCCACCCATCTGGCTGGGTTTCCCCAGCCACTCTGGGCACCTTTCAGCACATATAGAAACATTGTAAAATGTCAAACATTTAAAACTTCCTGAAATAATAATAATAATAATATATTATCTATAAAACGCTGTTCCCAAGATGGCTTTGGAGTCGGGACTGAGAGAGCTCATGAACTTGATAAAGGAGCCCTTGTGGGCTTCTGGTGTTCAGCAGCTGGCCAAACAGGGACCTTGCTATGGCCTACAGCCGCAGTAGTAAGTAGGACTTCTAAAATCAAGCTGCCTCACTCAGCAGCAAGCCATCACCAGCAAAACACTATGCGTTGCAAAATCTTACTAGCTCAGGTAGGAGCTTTATTTACAGTATTTGCGGGCATCCTGCTCTTTATGGTGTTGACTTACACAAAGAAATCCTTCAGGGGCTCTGGATACCTGCATTGCTTGCCTTCATATCAAATTAGGAATATAAGGGGACTTCCGGAGGCGGCGCCATCGGCAATGCCGGATTCCCTCTAGCTTTGAGGGAGTAGCTCCGTGGAAATCGGGTCTTGCCGCTACGGCGAAGCGGGGACCCCTTCGAAAACCACAGGCGGGTGAAGCCTGTGACTGTGGGACTCGGCGGTCACCTTTAGCGCCCCCCCAATCTGCGAGGGAACCCTGAAAAGAGTTCCGGAGCGAAGCGGGAGTCTGGCGCGGTGCTGAGACTCAACTGCTTCTTCCGTGGAGTGAAGCCGCGCAGCTGTTGCCGGAGAGCGCTGACCTTTTTCCTGTGACAATTCGGCTAATAAACAACTACCTGTGAGTAGGTTAAGTTTGAAGACCGGGGAATTTAAGGGGGAAAAGGACTAATTTGGCACTGAAGCAGGAAGGTGTAAACAGGAAGTCCGCCTTCCTTTTCTGTAAATAGATCAAAGCAAAGACTGTCTAAGCTAAGACCCTGAAAATCGTGTTGAAAAAGACTCAAATCTTACTTCAATAAAAAGAGAACTCCCTCCCTGTGGTGCGGGAGAGGGGAGGGAGAAGGGGAAGTATATTTTTCCCGCAAAAAAAGAAGAGAGAAAGGGAACAAAGACCATCACTTAATGCCTGGGAACGGACTGTCAAGGGACAATGGAACTGCCGTATTGTGAAACGCGCTGTTAAAGGATAATGCAACTTTTTGACAGCTAGCTCTGCAAGAGGGATACTTTGATTCTGAAGGGTCTCTCCTGACTTGAAACTGTTGTTCTTTTTGGCTAAAGGGGGGATTTCTGAAAGTTGGAAAAGTTATTTTATTGCTACAAGTTGGAACTGTTACTGTGTCCCCCTAGAGGAACTTTGAAATTGCTACAATTGGCCAGGGAATTTTCCACTCTAAACTGGCCACACTAAAGGGGAATTTTCCACTACAAACAAGTAATCGTGGGACTGACCTTGATCCTTAGATAAAGTGTTATGACAGACTTGACTCAGGAAAAAACAACAAGATCTGGTAAAATTAGACTGCAGCAGCGTAGACCGTCAGCACCCGGCCTCCCTGCCCCACCAGGGGAAGATTTAGCCCAGGTGGCGTCTAAAGGAATGGCAGCTGAAGGGGGCTTAGCTTCAGCTCTAGACAAAATTTTTGAATCTTTGGAAAAGTTGAGCAAACAAGTTGCTGAAGCGACAACTAAAATTGACCAAAACACTTCAAGCATCAATAACTTGGGGCAGAAGGTGAACTCAAATACAGAATCTATTGAGAAACTGCTGCAGGAATCTACTTCGAATCGAAAAACAGCTGAAGAAGCCAAGGAAAAAGCATTGGCTGTAGAGGAAAAGATAAAGGAAAAGATACCACCGATATGTAGGCAGCTAGAGGATCACAAGTCATTTCTGTCTATGATTGAATTAAAAGAAAAACAGATAAATCTAAGGATCCGGGCTGTACCTGAACTTGAGAAAGACAATTTGAGCGACTTTCTTACGCAGGAATTTGCAGACTTTTGGAACTTAGACTCGGATAAGTTAGATTTCAAGATAGTAAGTGCTTTCAGACTTGGAAGAGGGGGGAGAAAGAACAGGGTGAGAGACTGTTTGATTACCCTCCGATCAAGAGAGGAGAGAGACAGAATATTGAGTCTGCACTTCCAGAAGACCTTGGAAATAAAGGAATCAAGAGTGGAGATATTTAAGGACATTCCTAAACATCTTTTGGATCTTAGGTCCAACTACGGAGATTTGGTGGCCCTGCTAAGAGGAAACAGAACCATTTTTAGGTGGGAATTCCCCCAAGGCCTATCTTTTACTTTTAAAGGGAAAAAGTTTAAAATAAGATCAGTGGAAGATAAAGAAAAATTTCTGAAAGATCACGGAGAAGACCTGCAAAAAAGAAGCCGAAAAAGAGCCAAGAGCTTTAAAACCAGGAATACAGGACATAGTACCACTACCTTTGGGATTGGACAAGTTAGAGAAGGTGATACCACCAACAGAACAAGAACAATTACTTGGCGCAGTTGGAGGAAAAGTAAAATAAATATACCATGTCTCTGCAACTTTTAAGTTGGAATATTCATGGATTTAATTCCCCGGAGAAAAGGAAAAAAGTCTTTCATTTATTGAAAAAGGAACAATTGGACTTGATTTGTTTGCAGGAAACACATGATAAGGCTCCATAGGAAAGTACTGATTAATAAAAGATTGGGTCAAGAGTTTATCTCGTCGGACAAGGTCAAAAAGAGAGGAGTTGTAATTTACACGAAAGAGAGCCTATCACCGAAATTTATTTTTAAAGATGACCAAGGAAGATATGTGGCAATTGAAATCCAAACACAAGGAGAAAAATTTCTGATAGTAGGAGTATATGCACCAAATGAGGGGAAATCTGAATTTTTTTAAGAAGTTGCATGAGACATTGTTAGACTATATGGATTACAACATTATTATGATGGGAGATATGAATGGAGTGGTATCTACAAACATGGACAAGTCGCAGAGACAGGTAGTTACTAAAGATGGCAGACTACCAAAAACCTTTTTGAGATGTGACTGACAATATGGACTTGATTGACATTTGGAGAATAAAGAATCCCTTGGGCAGAGAGGGGACCTTCTTCTCTGAAGCCAAAATGACATGGACAAGAATTGACCAAATCTGGATAACTAGAGGACTGGCACCTAAGACTCGAAAAGTGGAAATTTGTCCTAAAACTTGCTCCGACCACAATGCTGTGAAAATGGAGATGAAATTAACACCTACCAGTTCCTTCAGATGGAGGATGAATGACACCTTGTTTAGAGATCAAGAAGTTACCAAGAAGGCCCAAAAAACCTTGAGAGACTATTTTGAGATAAATATGAACACTACCATCGAAAAAAGAGTAATCTGGGACGCAAGCAAAGCAGTTATGAGGGGGTTTCTAATTCAACAGAATGCAATAAAGAAGAGAACCCAAAATGAGAAAAAAGATAAAATTTTAGAAAAAATAAAAGAGGGTGAGAAGAAACTGAGAGTGAAACCAAAGTCACAAGAGATTCTGAGAGAAATAAAGTTATACCAAGTTCAATATATGAAGATGATGAATCAGGAAATAGAATGGAAAATTAAACAGATGAGACAAAGGACATTTGAATCGGCCAATAAATGTGGAAAACTGTTAGCTTGGCAAATGAAAAAAGACAAAAACTTAACACCATTACTAACTTGGAAGTGGAAGGAAAGAACATCCAGAATCCAGTGGAAATTAGAAAATGCTTCCAGAGGTACTTTAAACAGCTATACACACAAGGGCCACAGAAAGAGTGTGATTTAGACCAATTTTTAAAAAACAAATGGACTTCAAAAATCTCTCAAGAAAACAAGTTAATGTTGAACTATAAAATAACAGAACAGGAGGTGGAAGGTGCCATCCAGAACATGCAATTGGGCAAATCTCCAGGGCCAGATGGCTTAACCTCAAAATATTATAGGTCCTTAAAGATTGGATAATTCAACCACTAAAGGAGGTTTGTAATGAAATTTTGGAGGGGAAAAAAAGCGCCAGAGTTGTGGAAGGAAGCTTATATTACACTAATACCGAAAAATGAGTCTGAAAAGACACAACTTAAGAATTACCGCCCCATATCCCTGCTTAATGTGGATTATAAAATTTTTGCAGATATTTTGGCTAAAAGGTTAAAAAAAGTATTAGTGGAGGAGATACATAAAGACCAAGCTGACACTTGTCTGATAACACGAGGAATATAATTAACATTTTGGAGATGTTGCAAGTGAATATTAATACTAAAGCTGTCTTAATATTTGTAGACGCGGAGAAAGCCTTTGACAACATTTCTTGGAGTTTCATGAAGAAAAATCTTCAGAGGATGGGGGTTGGTCAAGGGTTTGAAAATGGTATAAGTGCAATTTACTCAGAACAAAAGGCTAAACTAATAGTTAACAATGTGGTGACAGAGGAATTTAAGATAGAGAAAGGGACACGACAAGGCTGCCCAATTTCCCCATTGCTTTTCATTTCGGTCCTGGAGGTTTTGCTAAATATGATCAGAAGGGACCGTCTGATTAAAGGTATACAGGTCGGAGCTAAACAGTACAAATTGAAAGCTTTTGCAGATGATTTAGTATTGACGTTACAGGAGCCAGAATCTAGTACTAAAAGAGTATTAGAATTGATTCAGGAATTTGGTCATGTGGCAGGATTTAAGCTGAACAAGTTAAAAACTAAGGTGCTTGAGAAAAATTTAACACCGATTGAGAAAGAGAGGTTTCAGAAGGAGACAGGTTTAACATTGGTTAAGAAAGTAAAATACCTGGGGGTTAATATGACCGCCAAGAACTTAAACCTATTTAAAGACAATTATGAGAAATGTTGGTCAGAAGTGAAAAAGGATCTAGAGATATGGTCAAACTTGAAGCTTTCCTTGTTAGGTCGAATTGCTGTTATAAAGATGAATGTATTGCCAAGAATGTTATTTTTGTTTCAATCATTGCAAATTTTGGACAAAATGGACTGTTTCAAGAAGTGGCAGAGAGATATTTCTAGATTTGTCTGGCAGGGCAAGAAGCCCAGAATAAAATTTAAAATATTAACTGATGCAAAGGACAGAGGTGGATTTGCCCTGCCAGACCTCAAACTTTATTATGAATCAGCAGCATTCTGCTGGTTGAAAGAATGGCTACTTCTTGAGAACACAGACATTTTGGATTTAGAAGGTTTCAATAATGTTTTTGGGTGGCATGCATATTTGTGGTATGACAAGGTTAAAGCACATAAAGTATTTAAAAACCATATTGTCAGGAAAGCATTGTTAAATGTCTGGATAAGATATAAGGATTTACTTGAAAATAAAACCCCAAGGTGTTTGTCACCAATGGAAGCAAAGTCTCAGAAAAGGCTCAATATGGAGGCCAAATGGCCGAAATATTGGGAAATTTTGGAACAAGAAGGAGACAAATTGAAATTGCAGAGTTTTGAGAAATTAAAAGATAAAGTGCGAGACTGGCTTCATTATTATCAGATAATGGAGGCATATAATTTGGATAAGAAAATTGGCTTCCAGGTGGAAAAATCAAAACTAGAAACAGAACTGTTAGAACCCAAAACTAAGATTTTGTCAAAGATGTATAACTTGCTGTTGAAATGGAATACTCAGGATGAAACGGTGAAATCTGCTATGATTAAATGGGCACAAGATGTTGGACATAATATTATGTTTGCTGACTGGGAACAGTTGTGGACCACAGGTATGAAATTTACGGCATGCAATGCCCTAAGAGAGAATATTATGAAAATGATATACAGGTGGTACATGACACCAGTCAAGCTTGCAAAAATCTACCATTTGCCCGATAATAAATGTTGGAAATGTAAAGAAAACGAAGGTACATTCTTTCACCTTTGGTGGACGTGCCCAAAGATTAAGGCTTTCTGGGAGATGATCTATAATGAATTGAAAAAGGTATTTAAATATACCTTTCTAAAGAAACCAGAGGCCTTTCTGTTGGGCATAGTCGGCCAATTGGTGCTAAAGAAGGATAGAACTTTCTTTATGTATGCCACAACAGCAGCAAGAATACTTATTGCAAAGTATTGGAAGACACAAGACCTACCCACTCTGGAAGAATGGCAGATGAAGGTGATGGACTATATGGAATTGGCGGAAATGACTGGCAGAATCCGAGACCAGGGAGAAGAGTCGGTGGAAGAAGATTGGAAAAAGTTCAAAGACTATTTACAGAAATATTGTAAAATTGATGAATGTTAGAATGATGTTGGATAGAAACTAAGTGGTTTTTAGCTGTAATATTATAAGGGAATATGAAAAAATGGACTATTAATAGGTAAAAATTTAATGTTACAATACTTTAAGATCGAAGACTAGGATAAACAAAGAGGGGAGGGATTTGCTAAACTAACAATTGAAGTGGAATACAGAAAAGGGAGGCGTGAGGAGGTCTGGGAAACAAGCAAATGAAAGATAAGTGATTGAAAGACTGAATTGTTTTTAACTATTTTTATTTTGTATTTTTCTTTTTTCTTT